CCCCCCCTCAACGTCGCCTTCCCACGGTGACCCCTGGATGCAGATGGACAACGCCAAGTCTATCTCCGTCGAAGGGCCCTGCACCTCTGTGGCATCTCCGAACTTTGTGGTCATATCCGTCTCCCCTGGTTTCCCTTGCGACATGTGGAGCCTCGCCTTGCCTTACATAGTACACGACAGCCTTCCCCGTGAGAATGAAACTCGGGGATCAACATATATAAGAACCAGCTCCCAAGTCAGACGGGGACTCATGCCCTGGTTCCTACCCTCTATTTCCCCCACAACACACACCCGCCACGCGATCTTGATACCGTCTCACAAAACCGCCAGTTCTCAACCCAAGACTACCCGCATATGTCGTTTCAGCCTTCCCTCCCCGCCACTACCATGGAGGTTCTTGGGGATTTTGTCGACTTCCCGTCGCCGCCGCCTTCAATGTATTACGTCTACGGTGAACAAGAGCCATACCTGTCCGAATCGTCGCAAAGTCCAAATAACTCGAGCGTGAGTTTCTTCCTTTTTCCATCATCTCACAGTCACCTCCTATGTTCCCTGAAAAAAATAAAATGGGGTTGAACTCTAACAATTCTATGCAGTACGACCGCGGGTCAGTGGGAGACAGCAGGTACCCGAGCCCTGGGCAAGATGAGAATGAGCCCGCAGAATCATCAGAGCAGCAAAAGCCAGCGGCAAAGCGGAAACGCGAGAACCGTTACAAAAACGCGCCCCCCGCGGTGTTGTCCGTATGTGCATGTCTTGGGCCGCAGGTGTATCAAACGCAAAAGCTGACTTTCTTCGATTCAGCGACGGAGAGCACAAAACCGCGCCTCGCAGCGGGCGTACCGGGAGCGCAAAGACCAGCGGATAAAGGATCTCGAACAGATGCTCAGCGACGCAAAGCAGCGAAACGACGTTCTGAGCCAAGCGTACGCCTCGCTCCACGCCGAATACCTCAACCTCAAGAGCACTCCGCTCGGCGACGCCAGCTATCCACCCCAGTTCGACAGCATACCGTACGGCAATGGCAGCGCTCATGGGACAACAATGCCGATGAATCCCAGTGGCGTGGACGGGATTGGGGGTGTCGACATGTTCGTCTACGGCGATCTGAGCACCACAAACTACACCCTTTAAGCGGCGAGGAAGGGACGGATTGGTTCGATGTCCTCCGATCTGGAGGAGCGGTCGGACACACTAAGGAGGCAATGCAATCCCCATCGCTCTGCCTTGGCATCCACTTTAGCAGCCGACACTGGGAGCAGTCAAGCTTTGCGTTGCGAGGATCCTAGAGATCTCACGAGGTGAAAGCAGATCCCAGACCCCGCGATGCTGCGGAGCCTCCGCGGGGCGGAGGGGGGCCGAGAACAAGAGCAAGTTTGGGTGGAGGGTCAGAACCACACGGAGATGGCCCGGAGGCCTCTGCTTACTTAAGAAATGCGGCCGGAAACCGGGGGCAAAGCTTCGTCAGCACGAACCCACTTCCAGGGTTTCCAATGGGACGAACAAGCGGGCGGGAGAAGCTTGTATTTGCAGGGGACTCACTCCCCGCAGTCACCTCAAACACACATTCATACCCTCACACACATACTTTCCTCACTGCACACTCTACTCAGACAAAAGAAGTGACACCACTTCATCAAAAAGGAACTGGCGCAAGAAACTGGCTTTAGACAGTGGGGAATGTTCCAATATCGGAAAGGGGGGGAAGGTTCATATGGGAACGGCCCAGGCCGCAAGTGGCGTTTTGATCAGGTATCGGGAGTATTCCCACTCTCCCCTTTTCACCTCTCTGGGTGGTTGGTCGGACTGGTTATTGTTTAATTTCTTTTATCAATCAATGTATGCTCTTCGGAGAGAGCTGGGTGGGAGTTTCGGTGGTAGGCTTCGGGCTAGGTCAGGACGGGGACGGCGCATCGAAGGTTATGACACCCACACACACGCAATACACGACACCAAATGTGTATTTGTGATGGGACGAACGGAGGAGAGGATTACTTTTTTGTTTTAGTTCTTGTTGTCTTTTTTTTTTGTGTTCACACAGCCACCCACTGGCTGGGACGGGATGGTCGGGGGATCATGGGATGGGATGGGTAGGGAATGCATTGGGGCTGTGTGTCCTTGGGAAGGGTGGGCTTTGGGGGACTACCGAGTTACTTCAACCAATTCTTTGTAATGTGAATTCATTACGACTGTGATTTGACATCTTCTTTCACCACTTTTCAGTCGAGTCTTTAAAGTCTTGCTCACGATCCACGAACTTACATGTTTCCCTTATTTCCGCCACGGACCTCTGATCACTCAGCCCCCAGTCCAGCCTTGCCCAGTCCTAAGCCGAGTCTTTGGAATCTTGGTGGCAATTTCTCTCCCTTTCTTTGTCAAACCGCCCGGGTTCTTCGGGTTCTATGTGTGGCTATGTCAAGGCAGCAAGCTACCTACATACATAACCGTGCTGTGCTACCGAGGTAAGTAGCTGCCAGCTAGCTACCCGGCTGACTACATACATACATCAACCCACCACCTTAGCGCGCATACAGCTTTACTACAACTTGTAACCTCCTACATACTACATGCAGGCCCTGCATGGACATACCCACTCCCCATTTCTCGCCGTGTAACTGGTCCATCCTACCTACCTACCTCTACCCATCGGGTTAGCAGATCGTGACCACGCCTGAGTTTGGACTGTACGCTGTGTGCTGGAGGCCAGTTGCTGGGGGGCAGTTGCTGACTGAGCACCGCCTACCTACCCTCACCCTTGTTGGAGGGTTAATTAGGCAGGCTTTGACTTTCGCAGGGGATGGGAAGGGGGTGGTCAGGGGGGGGGGGGGGGGGGGGGGGGGGGGGGCGGGAGGGGGGGAAGTGGGCTAATTAGGTTTGCGGGATTACCTAGCGGGACCACACTACACTAAGTACACTAGGGAGGCTCTGTGGAGGGTGTAGGGTTTCTTGGTTGGTTGGGTGTTTTCTAGGTGGGAGAGGGTAGAGGTTTTGTAGTGGGAGGGGTTTTGGGGGGGATAGATGGCTTTGATGGGTCTATAAATGGGCGGTGCGTGTTAGGGATGGGGAGATGCCGTACCTTGACAGCACATGTCTTTGCTTTCATGGGGTAAATAAAACGTTGAGTTTCCAAAAAGGAGCGTGAAGATAACGAAAAATGCACAGGAATCAAATGATTATCCGGCGTTTCGATGTCTCACTCCGTCAGAAAGTGTCAGCTCCCAAAAGCGAGTTGGCAAAACCCTTCACCGAGAGCTCGTCACTCTGCCTGCGAAGCCACATCCGAGTCCATTACTTTTCTTGTGTACGTCAGATGATGAAGATTCTTGAAACGTCCCCTAGAGCTACCACCCCCAGTCAAACGTGGCAGTTGATTGTCCTAATTGAGGCTTGGAGCATTACATTGAGTTTGGAATACCCCCGACTGTTGTCTGGAACAAAGGAACTTGGATAGGGAAATGTCCCCACGGTTGAACATACCACTGCTCAACCATGTTACAAGCATATAACGAGTCGCTGTCTGTCCCCTTTCTTAAAAATATCATCAGCGTGTACGTCCAGGCTTGCTCCAGGAGAAACCCCAACACAACAACAACGTCAATAACCGCACATTCAAACCACTCGTCGCCCAGAAAAGAAACAACAATATTGCACATTTCTAACACACAATATTATAGTGCCGTGCTAGCATCGTGATCAAATAGATGTATGCTAATTCATCAATAATATTGCATGAAGTAACTCAGCGGGGTTAGAGCCGCTTCCAAAACTATGCCACCCATCCCACCGTATGTTGATATGCAATCTAAGTGATAATAACCCGAGATAAAAAAGCCTGTGTGATGCTTGTCATGAAGTTGATACCCGTGCACTTGTCGTGTATGAGAATGTCAAAGCCCAAACGGAAAGAAAAGAAAAGAATTGAGACCGGACGGAAAGAAAAAAGACAGCAGGCCCCCATAGAGAAGACAAGAAGGCGATGCTACATGCATGTGTGTTGTTATCGAATCGATGGTCTTCGGCGATGAGCTGAGGTCGCCCATGGGCTTGTACCAGCCCTAGTCCAGACATCGTAGCTCCCCCGTGCAGTTGACAAAGTATCGCGATCGACGCGTCGTAGTAAAGAACCTTATTATGCGTGTTGTACCGAACATCAAAACTAAATCCATCATCAGCGATCATCCCCAAGCCCAGGCTAACAAGTCAACAACACCAATAAAGATCTTCTTACTAGTAAACATCAACACCATACAACTAACTTCCAACGATAAACCACCACCAACTACGAGCTGGCATCCACAGCGGGAACCAACCTCGAAGTCGGGCGCGGCCAATCCGGCGAAGCCGCAAGAGCCCCAACACCACCCCCCCTCAAAGACGAGACCACAACAGCAGTCTTCTTTTGGCAAACCGCTCGGCGCATCTGGATAACTTCCACTTCCCTGGGTGCGGTGCTATCGGAGAAAACTCGGCTTGTCGGAGCGGCTCGGCCGAGGAGCGAAGGGCCGGTGGGTGATGAAGAGAGCATGGTTGCGTCGTGGGAGAGGTCGAGTCCAATGGGAATCAGTGGAGTGGCGGTGTTGATACTACTTCTGTGACCGAAGAATGGGTACAGAAATGGAATGGAAATGCGGGATGAACGGGTGAATACTTCCTAGGGTGTGGGTGAGTCAAAGGTCGAGTGGTAGGGCTGAACGAGATGTGCAGCGAGCCCGCCGCAGACAACGGTACTCGACCCCCTTTTCTATCACCGAGTCTCCCGTCCTTCATCATCTGCTCACAAGGCCCGCGGCGGGATTGTCGATGCATCGACCTTTTGCCCAGTCGATCATGGCGTGGACATGTCTGAGATGCCTGGTTGCTGATTCAGCCGTCTCACTCGCTTCTCCTCCCCTCCACTCGGAGACCGCAATGTGTCGTTATACATAGTAAGGCTGACGAGGAAAAGGTATTTGGGTAAGCTGCATAGGGAACCGTGCAGATGCGCTGCTGCAGGAATCGAAATCACCAGTCGTGAGAGGATAGCTCTTTGGAAAATGCCGTGACGTCGGCTTCAACACGGCTTGGCTTCGGTCAGGTGAAGCCAGTTAATTGGATCTGTGTGTTTGTGGCACTTTGGGCTGCTGCATGTCAGAAAAGGCAGCGTCATGACTTACTGAAGAGTGGGGCGCAAACAAGACCGGTCTCCCGCTAAGCTACGAAGCCGGTCATGCCCCACGGGCCGTCCGATCTCGTGCCCCGTGTCCCGTGCGCTCCGGGCTCGTCGTCGTCGGCTTCTCCATAATAACCCGGACCCCCGAACCCGGATTGTGTGCCGCAGATCAGCAAGGACTCTACCGCAGGGGCGGATGCCAAGACGTCGTATCCAAACCGGAGGGGGCGCGAATGCCGAGCTCGGTTCCGTGGACGAAAACGGCAAGCTGGATGAATGGGTCTCGGTGCGAGGGATGCCAGTGATAGGCTAGTGGATAAACGGCTCCATTTACCCTAACAATTCATTCCCCCCAAAACTCCTCTTTCGCAATCTGGGCGCCGTCTTTCCTCGTGGTGGGAGGATCCTCGCCCGGGTTCCGAGACCCATTCGAGGATTTTGGGGAAGAATGCCGCGCAGATTCCGGCAGAACCGAGTCACACCTTTGACGGACCCCGAGGGGCAGAAAGGCCAGGTTTCTTCGTGGGTAGTTAATGGATCCTTTCCTCCTTTTTTGTAGCCATTGTACGTCTGTTGGTCAATTGACGGGTTTGAGATTCCCACTTCGATGCCCACGCTCGCTTTTCATCGGCCCGTGCCACGCCCAGCGCAACTTCTTCGAGCGGCCGCCGCCCCCAACCTGCGTGTGACTGCGACACGGGCTCTCGCTGCGCTGTGAACCGGCTCACCGAGAACGAAGGCGAGCCGCCCCGACGATTCGACCTAACTGCGCCTTCGTCGCGGCCGCCAGGCTTGCGCCGGCGCGAGCTTTGCCCTTAACTCAATGATGGGATTCAGCAGCGTGCTTGGGCAGCTCCTGGCGACCTTGATTTTCTGCGCTGTCCGGGCTACGGCGACGGCAGCTTTCACCAACTCCTTCGCAGATGTCACGAGCGGGTCTAGTGTGTCGTTGACGTGGGATTCCGTGCCATCACAGTACTACCCACTATGCATTACGGCACAGGTTATTGACAAGACCGGCGATGGGTTCAGCGCGAATGCCTATCGTGCTAACATTACGAGTAGGTCACGTCTCTTTTGCCCATGGTGTTTGTTCTTTGCGCAGCAGCGCTGAGTGGGCCTCAACATCCTCGTCGTGTAAATCGGCCTCCGTAACGAACCCGGCCGCATCTGGACGGGAGCATCGCAAAGACTTTGGCTAATAGAACGTAGCGGGCGCAAGCGGGACCTCGTATTCGTGGTCAGGCATACCGTTTCCGCTCCGCTTGATACCCGGCGGGTTGTATCAGCTCGAGCTCCGGCCCATCTCCCCAGTCGCCGGCGAAGTGCCAGTGCTGGCCAAATCGCCGTTCTTTGGAATCAGTGACCCGGGGAATGAGGCGCAGCCGGATGGACCGGCAGAAGTACGTACACCCCCCGAGGCAAATTGGCTCTGGCTTGGGGTTTTCTAGCTGACACCTCGTGTTTCCCCAGTCAACACCAACAACCCCGGACGACAAGAGCGGCGGTGGTGGCAGGAGTGACGACTCGTCAGGAATCAGCAAGCCCGTCGCTATCGGAGTCGGCGTAGCCATCGGGGTACCCTCGATCGCGGGAACGTTATTCATTGTGTGGTATCTGCGAAAGCGGCACCGCAAGGCAGCCGCAGAAAAGCGGCGGCTCAAGAGGAGCGATTTTGTTATCAGTTAAATGGTAGAGGGAATTCATACATACCTAGTGAAATACTTTGGCGTTTCGATGAGTGGGTTTGAAGAGGTGCCGCGCCGTTTACGTCGACTGGGCCGCATGCTGGGCCAGGCTAAAGAGTTGCATCTGCAGAAGCCGAGTGCGTTGTGCAATGTTTGTGCGCAATTTGTGGAGGTGCGAGCCCTGGGGAAGTTGGACGAAGAAGGGGACGGGGGAGGAGGAAACAAAAGGTGGGGACTTGAAGGAAGGGGTGACCGAAAGCGAGCTGGAGAGGGGGAAGGTGCTTCTCACCAGCGTTTGCTGTCGCTCTGGAAGGAACATTCTATACTTTGTTTTCCGTGCCTGCCCCTTGCTGAACCGAAGCGGGGTTTTGTTTTCTCACTTGAACTCTCGCCACCTTCCAGCGCAATAGAAAGCAACTAAATCGGCGTTGACGATGTTGGGTGCTTGGTGGTTTGTTTCCTGGTCCCGGTCCTGGGTTGAGGGATCGACGCGCCCTGTATATTTTAAGAACTCCCGCAATGTTATCTCCGATTTGTTTTCAACAATCGCTCGAAAAGCGGCGATCTTTTCAAAAAAGGAACCCCTCACCACACACAAGTCCTCCAGGCCCAAGTTAGCGACCGGGCAGAAACACGGACGGTTGTTCCCGTTGATTCCATCCCGCCGCCCACCAGTCGTCCGCATCTGTGCCGCACAACCCGAGCCAACCCAGGGAGAGAAACACGAAACAAACAGCATGCCATTCAGGCACGCCAGGCACAGTTCGAACCCGAGCAAATGAGAATTCGAGACTGTCGCCCGTTCGGACGAGGACCCCACAAATTCCCCGTGACGCCGTTGGTCTGTCGCCGTTCCTGCATCTGGACTCCGGATGGCAAACGCGGCCCACATCCCAATCCGACGTTCTCGGCCTTTTCGGATGGGAACGGGCGCTCACCAGCCAGTCATTCAGCTTGCGCTTGCCCCCATCGCCAAAAGGCCCGCGAGATCCAACGGTCGCTGTCCACCCTGCAGGCTTCTGATACAAGAGCCCTGCAACCCTCAGGGGCAATACTCGCCAAGAGCTCAAATGTTTGGCCGAACACGACATCAAAAGTCTTTTCTCAGGCACGGTACAACTTTCAAGGAAAACGAAGAGAAGAAGAACTGGAGATATTTTGCTTGAGGCAATGGAACTCAAGTCATATCGCTTGACGGCGTGTGGATCAATATTGGGCTGACACTCGTTCCATGCCGCCGTGAAGCTGCCCGTTCCTGCATCTTGTGGGCCAATGAGAGAGTGCTGGGCCGCCCGACCCCGATTTTCAAGCGCCCTCGAGCCGCATGACGAAGCGGCGCCAAGGGTCAAGACGGACCTGGAGGCCTGGAGTTCTGGACTTCGTGGGCGCTGGCGATGCGCCCGGAAAGTGGGAAACCCTGGACAGGGGCCCGATTATTGGTTCCCAATCTGGTATTGGGGTCCCTTTCGGCAAGAGAACTCACCACCAGAACGGCAAACCTTCCCAGCAACCCCGATTGAGAGAAACAATGGGGCCCACGAAGCTGGCGGTTGCTCCGGATGAAGCCCCCCTTCTCCGTCCGAAACTGGGCCCATTCCTTTGTTACTGCTTGCAGCCATGTGTGAGTTGTATCGTGTAAAAGGAACCCCATTGACATGACTGGCTGGGGCTTTCCCCTTTCTCTCCTTCCAACTTGATGCTTCCATAGCCAAGCCAACCAACACACTGTACCTCCAGCGAGAGCATCGCTATTTTTGCTCGTCCTCTGACGTATCGCACGTCGATCACTCGTTGAAACAAACATATCAACTTCATTGCTCTCCTTCCCCCCTTTTGTTTCACAGGTATCACACAGTATTTACTTCCGTACCTTTCTCATGGCTCCCTCAGTTCTCCGCCTGGGCACTGCCGCCCTGGCCTATGCCACAACGACCTTTGCGCTTGAGACCTATCAGCTCAAGGAGTCTTACAACCCGTCCAACTTCTTCGACAAATTTAACTTCTTCAGCTCCCCCGACCCTAACCAGGGCTTCGTCAAGTACCGGAACAAGCAGGACGCGACCAGCCTCAAGCTCATCGAGAGCAGCCGCGAGGATGTGACCATCCGGGTCGACTCGACCAGCACCGACTCGGACGGCCGCAGCAGTGTCCGGTTGGAGAGTGCCAACACTTATAATGGCGGCTTGTTCATCGCCGATTTTGCCCACCTGCCGAAGCAAGCATGCGGTGCGTGGCCTGCGTTCTGGCTGTCCGGTCCTTCGTGGCCGCTGGACGGCGAGGTGGATATTTATGAGGGCTGGAACTTGAATAGCCGGAACAAGATCGTTCTCCACACCGACGACCCGGCTCTTGTTGGCTCTTGCACCATCACCGAGGGCGACTTTTCGGGCAGCATGGTTTGGAACAACTGCTGGAACCATGCGCCGGGTCAACCGGGCAACACGGGCTGTACGGTAGAGGAGGCGGACGGGTCGTTTGGTAACGCTGCTGGCGGTGTCTGTAAGTTATATTTCCCGAGACCGAGGTCGCCGTGTCGTGAAGAGTTTGCAGCTAACATGAATAGACGCGACCGAGTGGGCCGACGACGGCATCAGGGTGTGGTCGTGGGCCCCCAGCGGGGTGCCCGCCGACGTAGCGAGCGGCAAACCTGACCCGAGCAAATGGGGTCCTCCCAAGTTCTCAGCCGGTGGCAACGGTTGTGACGTGAAGCGAGCCTTTAACAACATGCGCCTGATTCTGAACATCAACCTGTGCGGCGACGCGGCGGGCGGGCTCTGGGGCGAAACTTGCGAGAAGCAGACCAAGGTGGACGAGTGCTATAAGTATGTGCAGTGGAACCCGTCAGCATACGCGCAGACGTACTGGCAGATCCGTGGCATCGATGTGTACCAGCTGGAGGCCGGTACACCGCCCACTTCCACCAAGGCGACCAGCACGAAGGCGACGAGCACCAAGGCCTCGACCACCAAGGTAACGACCACCAAGGCTTCCACTACCAAGGCTTCCACCACCAAGGCCTCCACCACCAAGGCCTCCACCACCAAAGTGACGACTACCAAGGCCTCCACGACAAGCACCAAGACCCACGCTCCTAGCAGCTCAACCAAGGCCTCGGTCACTTCGATCCAGAAGCCTTCGACCACCAAGCACAGCGTGACCTCGGCGTCGACCGCCACCGAGACCGAGAGTGAGTGCTCGGATGACGCTCCCTCCACTACTGAATTCCCCGGCACCACCAAGACCGCGGCCACGACCACGGCCACCGAAACGGATACCGAGTCGGAGTGCAGCGACGAGCCCACTGAGACTGCCACTGGTACTGCTCCCGAGACCACCCACTCGCCCCCCGTGGTTACCCTCACCACCACGGCTTCGCAGTCCTGGACCGTTTCGACGGTGTACACCACCAGCACCTACACCGTCACATCGTGCGCGCCATCAGTGACTTCCTGCCCCGGCCATGTCGTGACCAAGACCATTGCCGTCTCGACGACCATTTGCCCCGTGACCGCGACCGAGACCGGCTCTGGGCCCGAGCCTACCGGCGGCAATGGTGGCGACAACGGTGGTGACAACGGCGGTGACAACGGCGGTGACAACGGCGGTGACAACGGCGGTGACGAAGACACCACCACCACGGTGCACTCTTCCACGACCATCTCGCTGACCACTACCGTCGTCATCCCGCGCCCGAGCGATCAGCCCTCTGAGAGCAGCGAAAACCCTAGCTTCATCCCCAGCTACACCACCAGTTACGCTCCGAGCTTCATCACCAGCAGCGATGTGGCAGAGCCGACGGGTGATAACGGCGCTGTGCCGCCACCTGTAGAGATCGTCACGACGACCGGGACGGGGACCAAAACTGGCGTGAGTGGGCCGGTGGTTACGGCGGGTGCGGCCAAGGCCGTCGGGGGCCTAGCGATGGTGGCTGGAGGGTTGGTGTGCGCGTTGATGCTTTAATACCCTTTTACGGGTAGACTTGATGCGCTGATTTATGTACCTGTATAAAATCATTTTCTGCTTCTTTGGGGGAGACTTTTTCTAATGGTGTTGTTTGGGGATATAGACGGTGGTGAGGTTTTTTGGTATAATTTCGCGAGATTTAGCTTTGGATTATCAAACTTTGACTCTAAACCCCTTGTGAAACGAAAAGTTGTGATTTGACAGGTTTTTGATCCCCATGGTGTTGTCGCTTGTCTTGCTGACCTTACCCTGGAGCAATGCTTTCGCGCCAGGGTTAGGGTTTGTCTTTGTTGGTGATGACCTCCTGGATGGTTTGTCGCTCGCCAGACGACGGAAAAGTGAGGATCTTCCTGTTGACTGGCCCAGGTAAGCCCAAGGAGAAGGTTCTAATAAGAATCAACCCTCTGGTTCTTGAGTTGTCGTTGCAACAAGGTTGTCGACAGCATGTCGATCGTGATTTCAGATCTCGGAACACAGCGCAATCTTGCCGCTGTGCAGCACATGCAGGGGTCCGCCAGCGGGTACCAGCAGGCACAAGCCCTGACATCAGCCATGCCGAACAGGCCGGGCCCCGCTGTGAGAGCTCCGAAAGCCCCACCCGCAGCCGAGCTTCCCCAAACACCAACGTCACTACGTAACTAACTTCAAACACCGAAATCGTGTTCTTCTGCGCTTGCGAGGAGAGACTGAAGGCGGCCACGCAACGCAAAGGACCTAACTAGGATTCATTCTCGCCCGAGTCACGACCACCGCCATGCTGGGCGCCCCGCGCGTGCGAGCCCTCGTCGCGCAGGGGTCGGCTGTGCTGCGACGACCACTACCCGCATCATCTCCCTCGTACCAAATCCGAAGCGTACGGCATGGGATATCGCGAGGGATAGCAGTCGATAGCAAACCTTCGGTACGATTACGATTGCGGGCCGCTCCGCCGTCACTCACGAAACCGATCGCGACGGTAAAATCGGGGCCGTTCCTTCGCAGTGCCTTGCCTCGTAACGGGCTATCACGTCATGTGCTGGAACAGCGCAGATTCAACAACTACTACCCCGGCCGCGGTCCCGAGAAGCCGCGGATGGGTGAACCCCAACAGCGCTCGGATGATTGGTTGAATCCCAAGCCGTTAATCGGTACGTTTGCCTCTATAATCATGATCTAAAAGACAAAAAAGGAAGAAAGAAAAAAGAAGAAACCCCCTAACCTCTCACCTCCCAGAATGGCGCGGCATCCGCACCTTCCACAACAAGACCTTCTACCTCTTCGTAGCCGTAACCCTCGGCAGCGGGGCGATCTACTACTTCGCGCATCTCGAAACGGTGCCCGTGTCCGGGCGCACACGGTTCAACGCCTATGGCCCCGAGCGGTTGCGCGAGGCGGGCGAGATGGAGTTCAAGCGGGTGATGTGGGAGCTGGAGAAGAAAGGCGTGCAGATACTGCCGGACTGGGACCTGCGGACGGTGCGGGTGCGTCGGGTTATGGCACGGTTGATTCCGTTTAGTGGGATGCAGGATGAGGATTGGTGGGCTATTTTTCTCTTCTTTTACCTGTTTTGTTCTTTTTCGAGAGGGTTAGAAACTGACAGGTTGGCTGGCGGTACAGGGAAGTCTTCGTGGTCAACGACCCACGCATGGCCAACGCGTTCGTCATCCCGGGCGGCAAAGTTTTCGTCTTCAGCGGCATCCTAAACCTCGCAAGGAACGACAGCGGCCTAGCGACCGTACTCAGCCACGAGATTGCGCACAACCTAGCCGGCCACCACGGTGAGCGACTGAGCCAGGACTTTGGCACCAACATTGTCACGTACGCGCTCATCGTGCTCGGCGGGGCTTTCGGTCTGTCCCCGCTACTGATCCAGCTGTTTGGCTCGAAGGTGTTGGATCTCTCGTTTGGCTTGCCGATGAGCCGGCTGCAGGAGAGTGAGGCGGATTATATTGGGTTGATGATGATGGCTGAGGCGTGTTATGATCCGCATGAGGCGGCTGGGTTTTGGCAGATGATGGAGCGCGCGGAACGGGCGAAGGGGGGCGGGGAGGTGCCGGAGTGGATGAGTACTCACCCTGCGGTGAGTTACTTTTCTTTGTGTGGTCTGACTTCTCGCATGGGCTGGGTGCTGACGGCTGTTGTTGCAGAACGCGAACAGGATCCAAAAGATGCAGGAGTGGCTACCGCAGGCCCTGGAAAAGCGGTCGCAAAGTGACTGCAGCTCGACGACGGCGTTTGCGGACTTGTTCCGGCATGCGCTGCGGACCGGGCAGATCTTGGTGTTTTGAGTCATTTTCCGGGCGTTACGGTTTAGGGGTTTGTGATTTGCACTAATTTAAGCGTTGGAGTTGTGGTAGGTAGATCTGGCGTGTATTCTAGGCAATTTGGTGGTGATGATTTAATCGTTGAGGATATCCCCGATCAACCCTAGCTATTTAACTCTGGGAATAAAACTCATGAAATCAGGCATCTAGCTCCGAGTACACAGCGAACGATCATAGCGTACGAAACGATTATAGCCTACGAAAACGATCAAAGCCTGGCTTGTCCTGGACGCCGTTTCGAGTAACCAGATCGCAACACAGCAAACAAAAACAAGACAAAACAAAACAAAACAAATCACTGCATCACCCCCTTAACCAATTATCACCTCCTCCCCAACAACACCACCCATCTTCTCCCCATCCCCCTTCTTCTCCCCATCCCCCTTCTTCTCCCCATCCCCCTTCCTCTCCCCACTCCCACCAAACAACCCCCGCCACCACGCAAACCTCCCCCGTCCCCCCTCCCCTCCCCTCTTCCTCATCTTCTTCTCCTTCCTACCACCACCACCCTTAGACGCGGACGAGATCAACCCACCGCCACCACCGCCACCGCCGCTGCGACTATCGCCGGCGGCTACACGGATCTGCTCACGGATCATCTCACGGCGTTCGTGCTCGCGCTTCTCGCGGGCTGCGCGGCGTACGGCGAGGATTTGGTGGCTGATGGTTTCGAAGAGGAGGGTTATGTTGGTGTTGGTTTTGGAGGAGATGTGTAGGTGGGGGATGCCGGTTTGGTTCTTGTCGCTTGTGGTGGCTGATTCGGTGGTGCTTGGTTTGTTGGGGTTGTTGGAGTTGGAGTTGTCGGGTAGGCCGGGGGTGTGAAGGGTTGATGCCGCGAGGATGCCTTGGGCTGGGGAGACGGGCGTTAGGTCGGGTTCGATGTACTCTTCTTCTTGTTGTTTTTTCCGCTGGTTCTGAGGTTGGTCGGTGTCATCATCACGACGGTACGGCCCATCACACTTGGTCCCGACCAAGATGATGGGGTATACCCTGCCCTTGTCGGCGTACCCGACCGTTCCAACCGCTGTTGGCGATCTCATACTCTCTTCGTCGCCATCCCCGCCCGTATCAGTCTCTCCCTTCTTTTTACCCTTCTTGTTCTTTTTCTTCTTTCTGCCAGCCAGACCCCGCCTCCCTTTCTTGCCTGCTTTACCCGACGGGGACCCGTCGTTGGAGGTCTGCCCCTGCCCTGGCGCGGGAGCAAAGTGCTCGCGCATAAACTCGGCCAGGCCCGTCGCGAGACGCAGTGAAGCCTCGTCGCGGACGGAGTAGAGGAGCACCGCGGCTTCGGTGATGGAGAGGGCTTGGGCGAGCATGGGGTTGGATAGGAGATGGTGGGAGGGCATTTCTAGCGCGTCGATGATGTAGGTTTCCTTTCGGGTCTGCGTTGGTTGGGGGGAGCTCGGCTTGAGGTTGTTGATGGAATTGTGGCGGCCGTTGAGGCCGAGGTTGGGTTGGGTTTTGGAGGCTGGTGTTATGCCTGTGTTCTTAGGCCACTGAAGATGGGCAGAGGTAGATGAGGGCGGAAGGGCCGTCGTCGTCGTTGTAAACTTAGCCACGGGCACGTCGAGGCTGATGGGGTGTCGACAGCCACGTTCATAGAACGGGTCCGGCGGCTGTGACTCGCCGTGAAAGACGCCCTGGCCAAACTGGTGTTGTTTTTCTTCGTCAGTCTCACAATCCCCGTTCATGGATCACGCTTGAAAACAGGAGAAAGCGAGAACACTCACCCTCGTCAGTACCGCGGTCTTGCCGGTTCCCTTTCCGCCGATAACTAGCACGCGGAATTCTCCAGCCGGCTTCTGTTCTTCGAGGCGTCGGCGTTCTTCCTCATGCCGTCGTCTCCGCTCATCTTCAGACGGACCCGTAGTTTCTTGCCAGCGGAAAATCGCCTGAAGATACTTGGCCTCCTCGGCGGACCAGACGAGTGAGTTGACCATGGCGGGCATGTATCACATCGCACGCGCGTTCGCGCAGTTCCGCTTTTATCGTGACTTTTCTTTTTCGTGTGGTGGGTGATTGAGAAAGTCGCTTTGTTATGGTTCTCACGAAAAAACGAATCGCCCTGAGCGAGCCCGGTGATTCGGAACGAGACCAAGTGCAAAATTTCAAAATGCCCTTCTTCGTGTGCGAGGAAAGAACAGCATTTGCGCCATTCTACAAACTGCTCAAATCACAAAACACATGGCAGGACCCAAAAGTTAAGATGGAACAAGACAAAGCCAGCAAGAAACCAGCAAACATTAACCACATTTACATTGAAACTCCCACGCACACCTCCCTTGATAGCGAGGGAACGACCGCAGCGGGCCGCATTCTGGCAAATATCAACCTCCGACACAACGCTGTTGTCATATCTGAGTCCTGACATTGGGTCGGGAGAGAAGAGCATGAGATTCGGGTGCTATTCCGAAAGCGGGTACTCGGAAAGGCCAGGAGAATGACACAATAGAGCACAAGAACCAGGAAATCCAAGGAATTAGGTCAGTCCGTTCCTAGAGAAAATCCCTTGAAAGGGGTCCTGAGAAGCGCGAAGGAGTGTATCTACAGGTACATACAAGCAAGATGACGGCGATTCCGATCTTCTATTATATGATCGCCAGGAGAGGCTCGCTAGCACGGCAACCGGTTGAGTAGGCTAATATCATCTGCGACTGGGAGGGTGTGGAAGAATTGTATTATGTAGTGTATGGGGTATAGGAAACAGGATATTAAAGGGGTTTGAGACCCCGCTACAATACACGTGTAGAATATTTGCATCAACCGCGATATGGAAATCTCCAAATTCGTCACCAGCCGCAAGTCACAACCCCAAATTGGCAAACAATGTCCACTCCACCTAGTTATTTACACTACACGCCACAACAACACACGTTTTTCCCCGTCCCTGATCCGGGTACGCGTTCTCAACTGAGGGCGGCGCAGCACACCAGACATCCGGTTTGATAATTATCCCTTGCTCCCTCCCCGAAGGCCCCGACGGACCTCCCCGTAAATCCGGGAGAAATGACTGGCTGTTTCGTATCGTCGATCTGGTGACGCCGCTATCATGCTCGGTGGTGGCACAGTGCCGCATGCAGCATTGGGGACTTCCAGCCTGAGAGCGCAGGGGTGCGGCGGGAAGCGGGGTGGTTTTGGGTCTGCTTCTAGATTTCTGGGTTTTGGGTTTTGATTGGGATTTTGGATTTACCAAATCTGGGTATTTTGGTCTTGAGAGGGTGTCGTGATGCAGAGCGAATGGTATTCTCCATTTGTACCTAAAATGGAAAAAATAATAAGGGTTCGGTCCAGAGATGCACTTTCGACGATATTGCAACTTGTCTGCTGCAGCTCGTCTCTTTGCAAAGGGCACTTTCCACCGTGGAAACTCCGACTCGTCACACAGTGTCGTCGGCAGCGAATAAGCGCGGGAAGGATACACAATGCCGCGCTTAGGCTCGCCTCGCTAAGCACGACATCCTTCATCACCAACTGCAAACCACGATCGGTCACAAAAAACATGGAATCAGAAAATGGGGAAACAGGCCGCTGACAGCGATGGTGAAAGCGGGACGGACGCGGAAGGTGCGTGCCACAAGCGCCGGAGTGGAGCTCTTTGTCCTCTCCGAAACCCCCAAAACGGCCCCACCTTCCCCAAGCTGCCTGTCGTGCCCGCCCACAGTGTCCAGTAAAAAACACAGTCCAGCAGGCCGCTATTAATAGGCCCCTGAAGCTCTCGGCTCCGGCACCCGCTTTCTCCAAAACCAAAACGGCGACGGGAACTTGAGCTTTTTTTCGTCCCATCTTGATTCTCGCGGCCTCGCCCACGCCGGCCGGGCTGACTGATTGATGGACGGCTTTGCCGCTTTAAGGGGTCTGCCTGGGGACGCGCCGCTAGATCATCGATGAAGAATTCGACCACCGTTTTTGATTTTCATGAACTCAATCGGGGGGTTTTGCCTTCAACTTCAGCGAGTGGAATCGGCAGAAGTTAGCTCGCTTGGGCAGTTGTTTGCCGTGCCAGGGTCTTGGGTGCTCGTGTGTGATGGTCGCCCACCCACGCGTTGCAACCCTGTTGGCCTTGGCCATTTCCCTGTGTTTGACGGCCCGGCGTTGAATTCCTCCGTGTCTTGACAAGGACTTTCGCCATGGGCTAGGTTGCGGCCGTTTTTGCGGTGCAAAGATCTGCTTTAATTTCTCTGGCTTAGTAACTGTGTAGTGCTGGAGGAATGTTAACCCCCAGTTTCGACAAGCAGATAACTTGCGACGAACCACCGCGAGCAGAGCGCAGGTCGAAGAATAGCGTCAAAATCTGCGGGGCAAGCTGATGATGTGGCAGCTCGACGCAATACCACAAGTAGTGTAGCTATAACACCCAGCTGAATGCAAGATTCGCGGCCTGCGCGACCACTCTCCTCAGCCCTACGGCGGCTATCTCGACAAATCTCTCGCCGAGTTGGCGCGTCGGCGGCGTCGCTCTGACCCGACTGACCCCGCTCGCCGAGCCCGTCGTCTCATTCTCAGCCGCACCCTTGCAGCGCGCCCGCCGGCCACTCGCTGAGCTAAGGGACCTGCAGACCTGGGGCCGGGTCGCTTGGGGAAGAGAGAAAGAGAGAGAGACCGGGGTAGGTAGGGTGGGAATGAGGAACTGAATTGGGACTGAGAAGCTCCAGGGATCCTGTTTGAACAGACATCTGGACCACCTAGCTCTTTTCTCTTTCTGTTCGTTTTATATTCTTTTCCCATCGCATTGCTCTTTTTGGCTGTTTCTGCGTCTATTATCCGCGCGTCTGGTCTTGCTTGTCGGGCGGAGAAAGGACAGAGACAGATAGCGAGAAAGACGCCGACACACACTCACTCACACGACCGAGATGGACCGGCACCCATCACGGCCACGGCCACGGCCACGGCCACCACTCCGGTCCGCGACCTCGGACAGCAGCTTTAGCCGGATATCCACGGTGTCCGACTTCACCGACCTCGGCAGCTTCGACACCTACACGACATACCCCCCGGTAGCACCGCGACCGGCTCTCGCTTCCCTTCAAACCTCACATTCCGGGCCAAACCTCAGCCCCAACTCGGGCTACGGCCCAAGTACAGGGAGCGAGGGCTATACCTATGCTAGCCCAACGTCTGGCTGGACGGCGACCCTCAGCTCCTCACCAAACACAATCGGGTACTCGCCCGTTGCCTCAGCAGAACCATCAATACCGTACCAACAACAGCACCAACACACACGGGCGAACACCCGCCAACACCACGGGCATGAAGTCATCCCCGAGGAAGACGGCGCCGACCTAGGCCTCGTCACAGCAGCCGCGCCGATCGCCCGCGAGGTCACCAAGGAGATGGAAGAGGAAGCAGAAGCAGAGAAGTCCAAAACGAGAGTCACGTCAGTGCCGATGATGTTCGACCTCACCAGCACCCTAGGCCCGACCACAATGGCCGACGCGGCCTTCCTCAAGACCCTCCAGGACCAAGAAGCCCACGGCAAGCTGACGGGTGGTTTGGGGCTGGGCATCAAGACGGATATGACAGTCACCGAGTCGGCTCTGCTCGCGTCGAGTCCGGCGTCGGAACGGCCGCTGAGCCGGTCTTTCACCAAGGCTAGTAATAAACGGAGGAGCCAGCTCAGCCGGGCCGAGACGCTCAAGCGGTTGGGACAGAGTGAGGCCAACAAGCGCGGGGAGGTCATCGAGGTTGTCATGGATCACGGCGCGGGCGCCGGTGATGGTGCAGATGCGGGCGAGCCCCCCGTACCAAGTCTGCCCAACGCCGATCTCAGCTTGGTAGCAGGCCAGAGCCATAACCACAGCGACAGTGACGGACTCCAAGACGACAGCGAGCCGGTCCCGATCTTTATGAAACAGACGACGTTCCCCACGCGCCAACCCACTACGGCCGTGTTCTACCCGCAACCCAACTGGAAACCCTTCTCGATGCGGTGGCCATACTTGGTATCGCTGATCGTGGTCTCGCTAGCGCTAGGCGCCTGCGTCGAGGTGCTGTACCGGTCGTCGGCGCAGACCCCGCTGGTCACCTTCCAAGCGCCGTCAGACATCCCGACGTCGCAGTACTTCGCCATCAAGTTCCTGCCCATGATCGTGGCCGTGTCGTACGGTGTGTTGTGGCAGATCACCAACTTCGAAGTGATGCGTCTAGAGCCCTTCTACCAGCTGTCCAAGGAAGGCGGCGCGCTAGCCTCCGAGTCGATCAACGTCGACTACCTAACCCAGTTCAACCTATTCCGCCCCTTCCGCGCTCTGCACTACCGCCACTACGCCGTCGCCGTGTCGTCAGTGGCTAGCTTGCTCGCCAACACCCTCGTCCCGACCCTGGGCGCGGCCGCCATCATCCTCACCCCGGACCGTCCAACGCGCACGCAGTTCCCCGACCAGGAGAAGCACATCCTCATGCACCCCGTGTGGTCGCGGTTGTTGACGGCCACGCTGGTGGTGGTCGCGTGCATGGGCTGTGTGCTGTTCTACCAGCTGCAGTCGCGCCGCTCGGGTTTGCTCGCCGACGTCAAGGGTATCGCGGGGCTGGCGTCCATGGCTACGGTGTCGCATATCCTGATGGACTTCAAGGATATGGACGTTGCCACCCACCAGGACATCCACCATAAGCTCAAGAACCGGCGGTATGTCCTGCGCAACTCATCCCTCGCCCCGGACGATTCCCTCTCAGCAGGGAGGAGCCACACCTTTCACAACATGAACCTGGGCGACGTTGAAAAACAACAACAGAAAGAAGACGCAGAAGACCGCTACGCAAACCACCACCTCTCCCACAACCCACAACCCCTCATGCTCCGCCCGGCCGGCGCCTACCCCTTCCTCGCCCTCATCATCCTCTTCCTCGCCTTACTCCCCATCGTCCTCTTCACCCCCGCCACCGCCCTCACCGACCACGCCCCCTGGCTCATCACCGCCCTCGCCGTAATCATCAAACTCTCCTGGGGCGCCCTCGAAACCGACGTCCGCGTCATGGAACCCTACTACATCCTCTCCCGCCGCCACGCACCCCCCAAAACTCTCTGCTTAGACTACACAGCCATGCCCTTCGGCTGGGTAGCCGTCAAGGGCCTAGTAAACGGACACGCCCTGGTATTCGCCGTAGGCCTGGGCACGGTCGTAGCAGAGGTGTTAACAGTGCTAGTAACAAGTCTAGCCACAGTCGAAGGGCGGGTCTTCGTGTCCATCCTCAACTCCCATAACGGCCCCCAGGGCCCCTCCCCCTCCGCAGCCCGCACCGCAGCAGCGGCGGCGGCGGAAAAAAACGCCAACTTCCTCAACGCCGGGCAAGAAACTGTTCCTTCCTTCTGGCTCTCCCTCGCGCTGGCCATGGCTATCCTCTTGTACCTCCTCATCACCGCCACTACTGTCTTTGCGCGCCGCGGGTCGGGGCTCACGGGAACTGCGATCCCGCTTCCGCGGCAGCCGAATACGATTGCGAGCGTGCTGGCGTATATTCATCAGAGTAAGATGTTGTATGGGTTTGTGGGGACGAATAAGCTCAGTCAGGGAGAGATGTTACGGCGGTTGGAGGAGCAGGTGGGGCAGGATGGAAGCAGCGGGAAGACATATGGGTTGGGGTGGTTTAGGGGACGCGATGGGCAGAGTCATTGTGGTGTTGATGAGGAGGAACTGTTGAGTGGGTATAAGGCAGGGTATGATTATTCGAGGGCTACGAAACCGTGGGAGGAGGGGGAGGTTAATTGGTTGTGAGCTTTTTTTCTCTTCTTCTCCCTTACTATGTAATTTGGTTGTCATGGTTTACCTATCAATGGTGGATGGATGGACGCATGCATTGTTGGCGCTGGAGGAGGTTAACTGGGAGGCTGTTTGCACGACGGACTTAACCTATTGGAAAGGGGGTCGGTGCTGTACTATTTGTTTCTTGCTTGTTACATGATACCCTGGATCTTGAATCCAGTTTTACAAATACTAGAGATGTGAAGATACAATCTCATTTGGTAGAGCCTGTGCTCCTGTTAGCCTTCGATCATGCGTGCTTCGGGGTCTTGTCGAGATGTATGCGTGCGCAACGCAACGGCCCGATGCAGATGTGCAGGCTGCAGAGGCTGTGTGCAGTGGGTGTCTGTTCGACATCTAACGTTACCTAGCTACCTCTAGCGAAGCGTCAGTACGTGTTCGTAAACTAGTGACATGGTGAGGTTAGAAAAAAAGGGTTGCCTGCACTGCAAAACTTAATTTAGACCCCGCGATTGTTACAAAGAAGCATGCAGTATTGAGTCGTTGGGCTGTCTTGATACGACGATAATCGGGCAGGTTGTTGATATCGTGCGAATCCCCTGCCAAGACACGGCAGCCCCTGGAAGGATCATTAAGATCCGGTTCGGCTGTGGACGGCGAGATCTCGACACATGATCTATGCAGGTCGCGACACGACAGCCTTGGTGCTCTTGTTTGCATGAGGTGGAACGGACATTAATTAGTTGTTGACTTTGTTTGAGGGACAACGACGCTAGGATGAGACGCCTCAGGTTAGTTAGTTGTCAGTTGGTTGTGCACAACTTAAAGTGTTGAAGATTGTTTCCACGGTCTTGTCGGGCGACCCCGCAGCACACTGTGAGCTGCTTCGGTTGGAGATTTATCAGAACACAAAACTCAAACCCGTTTACCCAAAGGCGCAAACCAAAAGGTCGAAGTGTTTGACCAGTTCTGGCCCCTCTCAGAGTCCTGTAACGAGTGCGCTGGCCCCGTTTGCCGCTGAAACGTGCATGCGCACCGAGCGAACGCTGCGACAAGCGGAAACGCGGGGCCCCTGGAAACGATGTTTCGCATGTGCGCCTTGAGAGCCATTCAACGGAAGCGCACCGAGTCGCGTGCGGAGCGGATCGTCGCGGATGTGAGAATCCGGCGGGAGTGCATCTTTCTGTTTCTTCGCCAGCAGAGAAGGGAAAGGAAAATCCAATACTATCTCTTCAACAACTTGTAACTTTACAGGTGGTGGTTTGTTTCGAACATTTTTCCACTCTGACGACGTCCCATCGTGAGATGAAGCAGGCCCCTCTCACCCAGCCTCGTGGCCGATCGTCGGCTGCATCTCACTCCAAGCTTGGCACCCGCTCGGGCGGTGGGCTCGAGTCGCTGCGGGGACAACACTGCAGTGCATCTGCAGGAGGGTCCAGCCGCGATTGGACAATGCAGCATTTGTTGTTGAGCGATGACAGTCAACAACAAACAAACGAACAAAGAGGTCACCTTGTCTTGCCTGTCTGTGTGTTGTTCCGTTTGCATGCGCTGCTGCTGATGACCTATCACCCCCATTGCCGGCCTGGGCGGGCAACCTCCCAGTGTCACGAGTCGTTCTTCTTCAGACTCAAAACCAGTGGAACCTCCTCTGCAAAGTTCAGCTCCACTGCTCGCAACCCCCCGGCCATGGCGGGGCACAGGGTCTCATTTTTGCCATGGGCAAGGAGGCTGTGCAGACCCCGAATTGATGATTGTGTCCCGTTTTTCCACGATTGCCGAAAGCAGAACGCGCGGTCGTGAAATGAGCTGATGGATCGCGTAACGGGTCTGAGTGAGCAAGGCGAGAAATTAGCGTATGGTTTGTCGGTTTGTTTGCGGGCGATTGAGATACGAGGTCGTGGGCTCGCGATATCAATATTTCGTATCCCATGCAGAGGGACGGAATACAGAAAAGCAGAACTACTCCGTACCTAGCAGAGAACCGGGACTACGTGGACCGAAGGGACTTCCTATTGATGGGTCTACAATAGTAATTTGGCTGTTGTTCAATGCGGGGGTTCCTGAAGCGCTGCATAGGCGCCGCCCCTGAGCGTTTTTCAGGGGAAGGAGCAGAGCCGGCAGGAGCGGGTTCCATGAACCACCAAGTGCGACTTCCCTCCCTTCTTGACTTGGCGGTTTGCTAATGTTGAGGCCAAGACGCCCCAAGAACCATTTCACGAGCGCCAATATGCTCGTCCAGGGCTTGGGTCAAGCCCTTAAGAACCATCGGTCACTGAGTCCGAAAAGAATGATTTCACGGGCGCTTTGCATCAAGATTCTCCGCTTGTTTTGCGGAAACTGGGAAGACGGTGCTAAATGTTGGTCGATCAGTGCCAAGAAGGGAAAGTTAGTAGAGAGATACTTGCATCTGCGGGGTACATCGTCGCAGCCATAAAGTCGCCCCATATCTTGCCGATCTAATTTCCCATTCGGCATTAACACGGAAGACTTGGCGGCCCCCCCTGCCAACCCCCATGTGTCCCTGTTTTTGTCTCTCATTACGCAGCGCTTCCCCGTCACCCGACCGATACACACCAGACACTCCTGAGGCGACCGCCGTCCATTCTTTCACTCATTTTTGGCCTTTCTAACCTTCCTCGACTTCCGGATCGACACACTACACGACCGGTTCTTATTTTTTCCCCTTTCTTTCAACGCCTACCATCGCTTACCTGCGCCGACACTCCCAGATTCCGACGACCGATTTTCGACCGCCGAATCGCCCCCTTTCTCGCCGTCGGCAGGGCCTCACTCGCTTTATTCGCCCTCCACGCGCCCTCGAGACCGCACGACCACTGAAATCGAGTCGGAGTATCTTCCTTTTTCCCCTCATCTGGGCCGGAGCGAATTTGGACCTTCGGCACCCCAGCCACCAGCGCCTCGCTTGCTGGTTTCTTTTCGACTTCTCTCGGTGGATTGGATTGAGCAGTGCTGATTGCACGAGGAATCGGTCAATCTGGCTGTTTGACCGTCAACTACGCGCCCAAAAGAGAACAAACGATTTGAATTTCTCTTTATTACCTCGACTTCCCACCGAATATACACAGACACGATGCGGTGGTCATTAACACGGCCACTCGCGGCCCTAGCGTCGCTCGCCGCCCTCGCCTCTCCCGTGCTTGGCGAGCAGATCCTCCAGTCCAACTCCCTTAACGCGTGCCAGGAAAACTCGGGATTCACGGCCAGTCTGTTCAAGGTCGTCTTCACACCCAACAACAACACGGCCAATGTTGACATTGTGGCCGTCTCGTCGGTGGAGGGCAGCGTCATCTTTGACGTTGCCATTTCTGCCTATGGCTACCAGATCGCCAGGAAGCAGGTCGACCCTTGCGACGCCGGTCTGGCCGGTCTCTGCCCCATGACGTCCGGCAAGATCCCTCTCAACTTCAACATCAAGGTTGGCAGTGACGCCATTGGCCAGGTGCCCTCGATTGCTTACACCTTCCCGGATCTGGACGCCAAGGTGAAGGTGTTCATCAACATGACGGATGGTCCAGACATCGGCAAGAGTGTAGCTTGCGTCGAGGCCGACATCTCGAACGGCAAGACCGTGGACCTCGTCGGCGTGAAGTGGGCGACCGCCATTGTGGCTGGCCTGGCTCTCGTGTCGTCCGCTATCGTGTCTGGCCTGGGTCACCAGAACGCCGCTGCCCACGTCGCGGCCAATGCGCTTTCGCTCTTTGGCTACTTCCAAGCGCAGGCTATGCTCGGTCTCACGGGTGTCCCACTTCCGCCGGTCGTCATGGCCTGGACCCAGGATTTCCAATGGAGTATGGGCATTATCCGGGTCGGCTTCATGCAGGATATTTTCACTTGGTACCAGCGAGCCACAGGCGGCACCCCATCGACCATCTTTGACTCGTTGACCACGGTTTCCGTCCAGGTAGAGAAGCGCGCGATCGACATCGGCATGGGCATCGCCAGACGCTCGCTCGCGATGATGCCCACGACCATTTCGGAGCCCATGTCAAACTTCATGAAGCGCGAGCTCATCAAGCGGGGCAACATCCAGACGAGCTCTGGGAGCTACATCGTGTACGGCATCCAGCGTGCGGCGTTCCGCGCCGGCATCGAGTCGACCAACCTGTTCATGACCGGCCTCATTTTCTTCTGTCTGCTCGTCGCCATCACGTGCGGCGCGGTGGCTGCGTTTAAGGGACTGCTGGAGGTGGCCGTCAAGAAGAAGTGGATGCCCAGTGAGCGGTTCCTCGAGTTCCGCAACGGCTGGCTCACGGTGCTCAAGGGCATCCTGTTCCGTCTCACTCTGATCGGCTTCCCGCAAATGTCGATTCTCTGCCTCTGGGAGTTCACCCAAAAGGACTCGGCGGCCGAGGTCGTCCTGGCCGTCTTCTTCCTCTTCGGCATGGCCATCACCCTCGGCTGGGCGTCCTTCAAGGTGATCATGATCGCCCGTCGCTCCGTCATGATGCACCACAACCCCGCGTACATCCTGTTCTCGGACCCCCAGGCTCTCAACAAGTGGGGTTTCCTCTACGTCCAGTTCCGCGCCTCGGCCTACTACTTCATCGTCCCTGTGCTCGGCTACGTGCTGGTCAAGGCCATGTTTGTCGCGTTCGCCCAGGACCGGGGCACCGTGCAGGCGGTCGGCTTCCTCATCATCGAGGCTGGTGCGCTGATCGCCGCCAGTGTGATCCGGCCGTGGATGGACAAGAAGACCAACTCGTTCAACATCGCCATCTGCGCCATGAACTTCCTCAACACCATTTTCCTGATGATCTTCACCGAGGTCTTCAACCAACCGCCTCTGGTCACGGGTGTCGTCGGTGTTGTGCTGTGGATTGCCAACGCCGTCTTTGCCCTGATCCTACTGCTCATGCTGATTGTCAGCACGATCTTTGTTTTCTTCCGCGAGAACCCCGACGGCCGCTACCAGATCATGGCCGACGACCGGACCTCGTTCATGAAGTCGCAAACCCACCTCACGCAGACCACCGAACTCGACGCCCTCGCGGCCACGGCCCGCGGTGACAAGGCCGGGTTCAAGAACGGTCTCGACCTCGACGATGACGCCGAGTCCATCACGTCGGATTCTATGCGCCACCAGACCGAGCGCTTGGGCGTGCCCTCAGGCCACAGTTCATCGGGCGGCTTCAACAACACGCGTCCCGCGTCCCCGGCGATGCCGCTATTCCCGGCCGAAGGGCCCAAGAGCCCCCCACGGTACCACGACCGACCTGCGAGTCCGTTTGGTGCCCAGCGGCCCGCCAGCCCCTTCGGTGCACATAACCGACCCGCAAGTCCGTTCGGTGCGCAGAACCGGCCGGCCAGCCCGTTCGGGAACTCCAACCAGGGGCCGGCTTTCCGGGCACAGAACAACTCTAGGTGAGTCCGCTTTGCTTTTGGTGTGGATACGATGAAATGAACATTGAACTGACCCTCTCTAGCCCCTGGCAACGAGGCGCAGGCTATGACTAGATTCTGCCGCCCAGCTCGGCCGGCGTAGTTGCATCTGACCTTAATGATAAAATGGGACAACGGCGTTTTTTTGCGGTTTACTTTTCCGCTTCGAATATATCCTATCAAGTTCACGACCGACCGCACGTCTCAGGACCAGTAACCAAGGCACCCCCCTTCAAGGCTACCCATCCATCGAGAGATGGCACTGATTCCCCGATGTGCTGTATGCTATGCACTCCCGCTATGACAGCACCGGTCGTTTCCCCGTGCTCGTGACGGATGGATACATGGCGGGCTTGGCTCTATCATACGCCCCGCCCCGTTTCTTGGTGTTATTTCCGGATTTGGTTGATTCCCTTTGTTTTTTTTCCCCGGACTGGGTTGGCCGGAGGCATGATGACATGGCGTCGCGGGGTGATGTGTGTGTGTATGTGTGTGTGTGTGAAGGGGGGAGGCAAGTGAACTTGAGAATATCCCCCCTTGCTCGGTATCTCTTTCTATTTTTCATTTCGTTGGTTTGGCTGGTTTCTTGGTTTTTGGTTGAGTTCTTTTCAACGTGCAGGTGGTGTTTTGTTGCTTTCTACACAGACACGTCGCTTCTTTTCCAGTGTGAAGAGAACGGCGTGTATTACCTGCGAAGCCCACGGACTGAGGACAACGGATTGAGGATTGGGCTTGGTGGTGGTGTGTGCTGGGCTGGGCTGGATTGAATCGGATTGTATTGGCATTTGATCGTTTTTCATATCCTACTGGGAATGGGATGTATATATGAGCGGGGTGACTGGACTGCTCCCTGGGATTTTCTGCGAGCGCAGGGCAGGGGAAGAGGCAGTAGACGAGAATCAAGGGGGATTCGATCAGCTGGGCTGGGAGATGGATGGGTGGATGAATCGCAGGAGGAAGTATCCTAGGCCCTGATTCCGGTTTTGGGAAAGGGGATGTGAAATGGGAGGATGGATGGTAGGCAGGCAGGCAGGCGGGCGGGACGGTTGGTTGGTTGTGTTAGTTAATTTCTTGGGCTGATTTAAAATCCACGTTACCTTTTTTTTTTTTGCATGCATGCGAGTTTAGGTTATTATGTGGGAGTGTCGTTGTGGTTGTGATGTGTGGCTGCTGTCTTTGACTTGGCTTAGGCCTGGCTGAGAGTTAGGTGGGATGTTGTGTTGATTTAAGGGGGTCAATTTGTGTGTGGTTGATGATCATTACAGTCTCTTGAAGAGTAGGTGTCATGGTTGTGACAGTGTGGTTCATATGCGCAACTCCTGGTTCGACTGGACAGTTCGAACCAGTCCTCTTTTGAGGTGTTATGTAGTGGTCAGTTGCGCCCACTCCCGTGACAGTAGGCTCTCGGCTGCTTCGTCAAGTTGCTCTACCCAATTGCCGCCTCAACTAGCACTGACTTGTCAGTTTTCCCGATATAATATCCATCACAGTTTAGCAACCACACATTTACTACTCAGCCGCCCCGGCCACGCGGAACTCGGGAATTAAAAGGTGGAAGGGTTCGAAAAGGCATACATACAGCGGGCTTGAAAGAAGTATGTTTCTAGATCTCACTAGTTTCTCAGCTAAGCCGCCGATAGGGGGCTTGTACATATGCTCACTCCTGGCACAGTCTGTACGAAAAAACACTCGCGGCTCTCTTCACAAGAAGGGACTTGGTGGGAAAGTATGGCCAGGGCCGCCAAGCTTGCTACAGTAAAACCCGTCAAAGAGCTGATAAGATCAGGATTATATTGTCCGGTACACACCGCCGACCCCTATTTGTGAGCGCACGGCCCAGTCAGTCTCCTACAACTGCAACTGCACACCCTTCCCCTTTCGTCCAACAGCTTCAACTCAATCTTTCCCCCACGTCCACCTGTACCTTCATCTCTGGCATCACCATTCTACTGAGCCACAATTCATTCCATTTTCCTACTCATAACTGTGATAATATCCGTGTATGTATGTACAGTACCACCATGTTTCACGCTGGGCCACAGCCAAAGGATCTCAAAACTTGTCAATGAACTAGGTCTTGAATCATCTATCAAATATGTACAAGAAATTTATAAACTGTCGTCAAAGAAGAACAAGGAGAACAAAAAAGTCGGTCCACATCCGTCCGGTCCGGCGCTCTTCAAGCCCGGCTTCAGCCTCCTCCTCACCTTTCCTCCACCAGCGACGGGCCCAGTGACAGATGTCACAAGTGTTTCGTTTCCAATTCCTTTGCCAACTAGTAAAGACCCCACAAGATAGGAAGGCCGTTGCAGACCATGTTGCCCTTGGCTCCCACCTTACCGCTGCCGCCAAACTTCTTGACTGCATCATTGATGATATCGATAATGTCTTGACCCCCGATGTACATGTTAGTAACAGCGGTCGGCTCGGTCACCTCCACGCCAAATGTGCACCCCTTGGGACCCCACGCGATACCGGACTGGCCATTAATGGTCGGGGGGGAGAAACTGGTCGTGGGGTCGCCTTCGATGTTCTTGATAATCTGGAGGCAGTCGCTGACAGGAGGCGATGCGTCGCTGGTCTGGTCCACAAAAGTCGAGTCGCCACAGGCGTTGATGCCCGGCAGGGTGCCGCACGGGTAGCTGTCGGAGGAGCCCGCGGTGGTGTGGGTCCAACCCTGCAAGGCGCGATCGGCGGAGCAGACGGGGAGGTTGGTGAATGGGACCTGCGCGTCGTCGGATGCCATCACATCGTCTAGAGCAGCCTGGGCCATGGCATCCCTCGCGTCAACGTCGTTGTCCTTGCCTTTGGCGATCCATGCGCGGACGGCGGCGGTGGTGAGGTCCTCCACGGTGACCCCTCCGAACCGACCGCCCAACTGGTCGAGGCCCGGGGGTGCCGAGAACTTGTTATGATCGCACGCTATTGGGCATTCGTGGCCGTCCGTGTTGTCCGACGGACACGAACACGCCAAAGGGTTCCCGGTGGGAGCGACCAGGTAGTAGCGCATGCCGTCTACGCAGGCGCCCGTGGCGTTCATGGTGTTGTCCTCCAGGAAGGCCGGCAGTGGCCTGTCCACATTGCATGCATAGCCCGAGTCGATCACAAACGCATAGTTGTTGGAGGCGCGCCAGATGGCGGGAATGGCGAACCCAAAGAAAGCTTTGCCAATGGTCTCCTTCAGACCGGTGTTCTTGTTGGAATTGTCGTCCTTGCCACCGCCCTTACCGCCCGTGAACTTGCCGCCGGAAATCAGATCCCCGAGGGTGCGGACCGACTCCTGGCTCCCGTCAAACAATTTGTAACTGGCATTCCGAGCAGCGTCAGCCCAACCGTCGAAGGCCAGGCCCAGGTAGGTCCCTAGCTGCTTCTGCTTTGCCTCTGTCCAATCACCCGGCGGCTCCTTGGCCTCCTTTTTCACGGCGCCCTTGCCCTGGTCGACCAAGGCCCCGACGACCTCAACGAGCTGCTCGGTCTTGGATTCGTTCTCGGCAAAGTAGGCTAGGTCCTTGACGGCAATCTTGATGTACCGCCCTAGACCTGCCACGGCTCCAAAGCTGACCGCGTCGATCAACATATCAAGCCACGCGTCCTTGTCTTTAACCTCCGGGACAGGCGCAAAGGTCTCTTCCATGTCGTCGATAGCGGAGTTGAAACTCGTATGGGCGTCGTTGATCGCATCGTAGAATTCGTGATATTTCTCGTGGATTAAGACCAGGGAGTCCCATATCACCACTGCTGCCGGCCCGGATGTCTTACCGTTCGCCGCCTCCGGGCATTGCAGCGTGGCATCGCAGTTGTCTACTTTACCATTGGCAATGTTTGCGCAGTCTGCAACCAGCCCTGTGCCAAGGGTTTCTGAAACCGACCCGGTAAAGGTTTTCTTCCTCGCCTGGTCAGTGTCGAACCAGACTCTAACAATGTCTTTCCACGCATCAGCAGCGTACAGCCCCGTCCACCGGTCGGCAGCAAGGTAGTCCCCCCAATACATAACCATGTCCTCTGAGCAGTTCAGCGATGTCCAGTTGCCGGTCCGCGTGTTGTCGATCTTGGGATCCTCCCCGACGCTGATAGCAAGCTTATACGCGTCCCAGTCCTTCAGTGGCCCGGGGACCGGGTGGAATTCCTGCAGGTCGCTGGCCCAGTCGGTGGTGCCGCCCATACCCCAGCTCGCGTAGAGAGAGGTGCGGATCTTCTTGATGCCGAAGCTCATGTAGCTGACCCATTGGTTGTTGTCGTAGACGAGGATATTGCTGTTGCTGGTCGCATCGATGAAGCTCGTCACCACACGGCTGCCACCATCGGCCATGATCTCGTCCGTCTCCGCATCCGCAATGTACCCGGCCGTCCCGGTGCAACGGCCCTTGGTGGCGTCCGAGTTCAGCCGGTCACCGGTGAACTTACAATTTGGGCCCCAGCAGCCCGGGTCGGCCATCTGGAAGGACCGGCCGTAGCTGGTCACGCCGACAACAATCTTCCGACCAGGAACTCCAGCCTTGGTGACCATGGCCAGCGCCTGCCGGGTTTCCGTCAGGTTGACGTGGCTGCGCAGGCAGTTGCCTGCCTCACACCCGTCCTGGGACCACTGGTTGTGCGCGTCCCACTGGCCGTGAAGATCGTACGTCATGTACACGATGTAGTCGACGACCTTGCTCATCGTCAGGAGAGGGAACTGCTTCAGGTACCAGTACGAAGCAGGGGCGGCGATCGAGATGGACTTGTTGGGGAGGCAGTTCCGCAGAACGACGAGAAAGGCGAGGTAGTTGGGTCCCTCGTCCTGGCCGTCCGTCCGAGGAGCAGGAATGTCGGGTGCCCCAGGATATTCCCAGTCAATGTCGACACCGTCGAGGTCGTTATCTATAACAAACTTGGCAATGCTCTTGGCCATGGCTAAGCGGTTGGCAGCCGTGACACCGGCGCGGAAAATGTCGATGGTAGAAGGCGACGTCGAGAAGTCCCAGCCGCCGATCGAGACAATCTTCTTGGCGCCCGAGATGCGCTTGAATTCGGAAAACTGGTACGACGCGAGTGCATCGCCCAGCTGGACCTCGTACGTGGGGCTCAGCGTCGCGAAGGCAAAGTGGACGTGCGTGAACTTGCCCGTGTCCAGTTGGGACGCGTCCTGGAAGAGGCAGTCCCGGTTGAAGCCGTAACCTTCGAAGTAAGCAACCTTGATGGCCCCGTTACCGTCGCCCTTGATGACATCTAGGCCGCAGTTGGAGATGCAGCCATAGGTGCCCGGCGCAGCAGTTCCCGGCGGCCCCGTGTTGGTATCGATGCAGAAGTCGCGGGAAAGACCGCATTGACCCCAGATGTTGCAGCAGGCATTCAGCGGGCAGGGGTTGAGGCTGGCGATGTCGGAGCCGTCCGTCGGCGGCTGAGATCCCGGCTTCTGCGGGCCGCACTGGGCGTTGGAGATGGAGGCCGGGAACGGCGGAGTCCCCTTGCTCAGGCACATGAACGTGTTGGGAAACAGCAGTTTGCACCCGCTCCAGCCCCACGTCTTCTTGTTGAAGCTCTCAATGTCGTCAACGGTGAGAGAGTACGCGGCAGCAATATCGGCGCAGTTGTCGTCGGTCTTGACCTTGTACGTCGAGCAAGAGCCGTCCGCGTTGGGGACCGGGCGGAAATCGGGAAGGCTGCCGCTGGAGCAGCAAACGTGCTGTCCCGGCCGCAGCGAAGAACAAAAGCTAGAGCCTGGGTTATACTTGGTGAAGGTAGCACCGGAGATGCCGCACTTTGTCGCCAGCGACCCACAGCTGTCGCCTCCTTGGACCTGCACCGTCCGGCAATCGGCACGGGGATGAAGCGCCCTGGATTGAATGGTGGACGAGTTTGAACCGACGGTTCCATTTGTGGGCAGGAGCGGGGCGGTGAAAACGGCGTCCCCAGCGAAGCTTCTCGACCCGACAAACGAGAGACAAGTCGCGTTGGCCCAGGTCTTGATCGCATCTTGGATGGGTCCGAAAGTGGCATTGCTGGTGACCATGACGCCAAAGACGTGGGCACTGTCGTAGCCGGGAGCGCAAAGCTGCATGGCTAAGCTCGGCGTTGAGACGTTCAGGTTATCAAGGTTGTATTGGAAAATCCGCAGAGCTGACTCGCCGATGGCCTGGTTGAGGAGACCGTGGCCGATGTAGAGACCGATAGTGGCAGGTCCGGACTGGCCAAACATGATGAAGGGACGGTCAGTGGCGCCGTAACCGCGCCCAACATATTCGCGGAGCTGCGTGATCAGGGACCGGAGGCCAGGGGCGGCCAGACCGAAGCCCTCACTCCACCATCCAACCTCGAACTGGACTGGGACGGGGGTGGCTGAAGTAGAAGTGTTGGCTCGCTGGGCATCCGCAGAATCGGGAGGTATTGTGGAGAAGTCGGAGCCGAACGAAGAGCAAGCGTGGATGCGATGGTTGACAGTCGGGTCGTCCAGGGGATCGTAGAGGGAGAAGTCATAAAACATGGTCTTTTGGCACGTTCTGAGGAGCTTGAGGCTAGGGTAGGCCGACCAGTTGCCAGGGTTGGGCCCCGAAACGTAGCAACGTTCCGGGCAGACCTCTCTGCTGCCATGGTAAGTGCGAGAAGGGGGTGTGAACCCTGACTGCCTCGCCAGAGCTCCGTCAGCAGAGAACAACAGGCTAACAGCGGCAAGTGCCGTCGTCAGAAAGGTTGAGGCCACCATGGTTGCGTGAAGCTTCCACCGTAGGCGGCCAGACAGGAGAAAAGTGCAACGGAACAAGCGTCAAGAAGAAGAAGAGCACGACAGCTACCGTGACCAGTATGCCTCTGATCAGGCAGACTTGAGGCTGGCTAAACCTGGACTTTATACCAGGTTGGCCCAGTTCGAAGAAAGTCTCGTGCGGCCTCCAGGCTCTTGAGCGACTCCCTTCAGCCGACCCCATTGCTGGGTACGGTTTCTCCATCATGTCTCATTTCCAACTCTGATGCTTTGCCACTACCCTCCGCTACATTTCTTCGTCGTATGCCTCTCTCGGTGTCCTTGTTTCATCCCTCAGCCATGCCTGATTGCAACCATCCTCGGTCCCTTCCACCTGGATGTTGCATCAGAGACTCGGAAATTGGCCAGTCAGGGTGACCGAACTGAATACAGTAATAAAGTCAACTGAGGATTTCTGTTGGTTCGCCTCGCCGGTCGGTTCTGTTGGTTCGGTGGTCGTTGTGTCTTGGTGGGCCCATTGCGATGTATTGGCTGAGCAGGACGGTCGTCGCGAGCACGCCGGTGACCGGGCCGGTGGTCTAGGCAGATGCAAAGGTGTGGGGAAAGACAGAGCACGGTCAATGAGAAGTCATGGGGGAGGTGGTCTAGATCATGTCCAGGTGGTTCCGGAAGAATAATTCCTCGCGAGGCTGAATGCGTGTTCTGTTGTTGGTTCTAAATTTTGTACGGATGCATGTGCCCGATTGCTACCTGCCGGATGTGTGTCAATGCGTCCCTCCATCTCTGATCAGGGGAAGCAGGAAGGTGTTCCCTAGCTGAAAATTTTCAACCAACAGTCACCGGATTGCAAAAGCAGGCAAGCGCATCCGACAGGCCGTCGGAGCCAACTCCCGTGTCATGGGGTACCTGGAGCCGTGGGAAGGAATCAACGTGGGAGGAACCATGACAAATGGCAGGCACTGGTCAGGGCCAAAGTTCCTGGTAAGGGAAAGACCCAACCATTGGGGCCACATGGTCCCAGTTTGACCGCGGAGATGTACCGACCGGAGTCCATCCATAACTGTCGACGCATGCAATATCTAATCTAGGCACTAAGATTGTGACTGTGATTGCGACTGCACACACACAACAATTGCGTTGGTGTGAATATAGTAGCTAATGAAGATGAGGCTATTACGAGCAAGAGAACGGTGTATCACGCTTTGTCAGTGAGGTTATTTTCCTTTGAGATGCGAAATATGAGATCATCTTGGGGCTAATTACATGTAAGGAGAAGAATATACAAGACAAGCGTGGAATAAAAGTAACATGACAAGTGTGCAATATTATCCAGCCATGCTGCGTCATGGCGCTCGTCCATCAGGCCAGAAACCGAAGAAACTCCAAAGTCGCCAAAGTAGCCACCAAGTACCCAGCACCCGCAACACCAAGCCGTGATGCGGTTGAAGGTTCCGAGGGACAGTCGGCCGGTGGATTCTTTCCGTGGCACAACGCGTCTTTCACTGAGGCAGCGATGGCAGTCGCGGCAGTGGAGTTGAATCTGACGTCGCACAAATGCAAACTTGTGTCCGGGGCGACCTTGGAAACCATGAGACACGTTGGGTAGAGTCTCTTATCCTCGTAGTCGGTGACGTTCCGTCGGTCGTTGGTGACGTTGAGAACATGCCCGGGCTCCATGCCAGCGTGACATGCCTTTTCATCGGCAGTGGCAGCGACGAGATCCAGCCCCTGTCCACCGTGTGAGGTGTTCATACTGATGGCACCCGGATAGCCATCCAACACGTGCCCTGCAACGCGGCCTTGATACTCAGGGTCGCCGAAGTTTTCCTCCAGTTTGCAATCCACCCACCAGAGATCAAAAACAAGATCCCAAGCCCCCGCGGTTGCAAAGTTGTTCACCAAGGTATGCACGAGCCAAGGCTCCGAGTTGCTGATGGTTTCGTTTGGGAGATTGATGGGTAGGTAGAAGCCCTCGCCCTGGCCCTCGTTCGGGTCTAACCGGTTGCGGATTCGAAACGCAATTTCAGGGTAGATACCTCGCGCAAGTTCGGCGTTGTGTAGTGCGAACACAATGGGCATGTAGGGTGTGGGCGCGTAGGTCTGGTTATCGCGAGGGAACACTAGATCGACTTCCAGCAAGCCACTGGTGGCGGCGTGTACCATGGCGTGGTGGATGTTGGCGCTGAGATGGGCCAGTGAGGCCACCAGGGACCAAACCGCCCGGGTGGTAAAACGCATGATGGTGAGTAAAGGCAGAGAGAGCTGTAGCGATTGACAAAGTTCGGTGGAAGGACGCGTTGCTTCGCAGTCAGCGAGCTGGTGGCAACGAGGTTGAATGGGCCGGCTCAAGATGCGCTCCAGAACAGAAACAGAAAGAAATCCAATGCGAAGCAGGAGCAGAACAACTTTTTGCCATTGATGGGCCGTCACGAGAGGGAGCGAGAGCGAGAGCGCGTTTAGCCGCCCAGTGCCTCACTGGCGAGGCGACTGTGATGTAACTCCATATTACCACGCCTGAAAAGGGGCCTCATCTTGGCATACATGGCGCCTCTTGGCGCGCATTTACCAGGGGAAACCAGAGATTGACGAATCAAACTGCCTCGTCGGTTCCACTCTTGACAGGTCAAAACGTACTTTCGACGACCAACTGCATAACGATACGGATGCTCATCTCCGGGTAAACGGCTCACAAAGACTCGGTTTTCTCTCTTCGGATCCAAGCCAAGTCCAGCAGTCGCTAATTGCCCGGTCCCTGATATCTAACTCAAATTGACGTCCAGTTCTAGTATGCTGGACAGCAGCGATGCCTCCCAGTGCTTAGTGCCCATGAACGCCCGGCGACACCTGTCGTGTAGATCGTGAATCCAAGAAAAGCTTAATGTGTGCTTGGCCACTTGGCATGGCACCCAAAATCTTTCCGATCTCCGCCCCTTACGATCCACATGCAAGCCAAGTTCTAGCCTCTTCCGGACCCGTCTTGGCAAGACGCCAAGCACCGACTCGGCGTTGTTGGTTGCACGATAGGACCGAACCAAAAGTGACGTTCCTGCGGCAGGGATCGAGTACAGCTGCTTGAACCATAGTGAGGGGGAGGGAGCCCAAACTCCAAAGTCATGGGTGTGGAATGAATGGAAGAATGGAAACGCCAAGATTAATGCTGTTGGCCGCCTTACGACCAGCTCCATGTGTCCCTCGCTTGGGTCGTGAATGGTCATCGAATTCGCTTGGATAAGCTATTCTCACCAGATGACCGTTGTGGTCCACAGCCTCCCACACAATATTGGCGGAAGTGGCAATGGAACGTTCCATTAAAAGTGTTGATACAACATATAATCAATATTGTCACTTGGTCTTTGTGGACTTTTCAACCAACAACCCGTGTCATGAGGCGGAATCTCCGCAATTCTGCCTCGAGAAACAGCAGACAAAATAGAACCGAAGACGGCGACCGGCTTTTCGGACCGCGATGACACCCTCCCGGTTCATGAGGTGTGTAACCATGGGTCAGGCTGGGAAAGAGTCGAACAAGTCACTGATCCGATCTTGGCGAAGGACAGCTGCCTGGAGACAAAGAAAGGATGAACACACCGCAGAGAGGCCGGTGGGGAGTCGAAACTCAAGATGCGTATTATATCAAGGCTGCGTTGCGCCATATCAACATCTCGTCTCACCAGGCCGCAAGCAACCACAGTGAGAATACCATACTTACTTCTCTCTTTCCAAAGGCTTCTCAAGTCCTCCCATAGGTTCTCAAGTTTGATTTTAGCTTTTCACAATGCAGCTGAGAATCCTCTTTACCATTGGCCTCGCCCCGGTCATGGTCTCCGCGCGAGCTCTGGCCCACCGCAGCGTTAACTGTATCTTTTCCACCCCCGTCAGCAGCGGCGAGACTTGCCAAAGCCTTGCAGACGGCTGGAACATAACGCTCGAGCAGCTAATCGGGCTTAACCCGGGGATCGCCTGTCCGGACCTGGATACGAGCAAAGAATACTGTGTGATGGGCGCCTTCACTGACGATCCGACGACCACCGCGTCCACCACCACTAAGTCCCCAATTACCAGCTCCACCACCACGCCCAAGCCCTCGTCGACGACAAAATCGCCGACCACCAAAGCCCCTACCACTAGCACCCACCACTCAACAACCACCAGCAGAGCCCCTATCACTACCACCAGTCACACCCCGACTACGCCCACCAATGGTGTGACAACGCCGCTTCCGACACAGACCGGCATGGTTGGGAACTGCAAGAAGTTCCACTTCGTCCAGAAGGACGAGACCTGCGACACCATCGCGGCGCTCTATTCCATCACAACCGCACAGTTCATCAAATGGAACCCCGCGGCCAAGAGCGGCTGCACTGGCCTGTGGGCGTCTACCGTAAGTGAGACTCTGTATTGATGATGATCATGGTCCGTAAGGCCTATTTACTAACCCCTCCTCCAGTACGCCTGTGTCGGACTCATTGGGGGAACTCCCACGACCGGAAACGGCATCGCGACGCCCACCCCCACGCAGCCGGGCATGGTCAAAAACTGCAACAAGTTCGTCATGGTCAAGCCGGGTGACACCTGCGACGCTATCGCGTTTTGGAATGGTGTCGCGGGCGGCCAGTACGTGAAGCTGTGGAATGGTCTGTCTGAAGACTGTCGGGATATCTGGGCCAACGCGTATGCCTGTATTGGCATCATTAAGGGTTAGTTTGAATTTTGAGACAAGTGCCGTGGAGTCGTGGACAACAGAAGATGTGCATCAGAGTTGGGGATAACTTCATTGAGAATTTCAATATTATGTGTGATGTCGTGAAGAGTTTCCTAATCAAGTAACTTCGATGACTTACTCCACACTTTCAAGGCGGGATGAACCAATCGACCGTTGCAGCGCAAAAGCCTTTGAAGAAGCGATCGACAGCACAGATCACGCAAGTCACGGTCCCTTGTCGGTGGATGCGACGATGACGTAAATGGCCCCGGCAGCGCAAACCTTATTTCAATGTCCGCAGGCCCAAAGCCACCACTCCAACAACAACCTTCAACTTTCGCAAATGGCAGAAAGATTTAGCTATTCTCGTAGCAACCTCTATCCATTCATGTTACGACGTTTACATTCAGCCCAATATCGATGCGCAGGACCGAACACTCACAATTACACAGCAGTAAATGATGAGTCACATTGTATTCCACCCAAACGGTCCTCGGCAATTTAGTGTCCACAAGACGTTGAGTTATGCAGCCCTTCGGAGACCCCCCAAATTATCGTCACATTTGTGGCTTACTAGCGCAAGACAACCAAACTCCAAATCCGCCCCACCAAAAGTTTAATGTTACTTCGTACCCACACGTCCAGAGTGCATTTGCGTACAATTGTTATTCCCATTTCCGCGATCGTGGAATTGAAGGGCCGCTGGGAGTTTTGCTAGCTCGTGTAATTGCAGGACGGTGTGCTACATCAAGGTCACGCCTGGAAGCAAACCGAGGATGGTGGGTAATCCTGTAGTCAAAAGAATTTCAAACCTCGACATACTCTCCAACTTGATCATATGCGATGTGGCCGAAAAGAATGTGGAAAGATGGCAGGTGACAGAATTGTCACGGTGCGAAATGTTTGTTTACATTTGGGGAATGTTTCCGTTTGAGTCTGCAATTACAGTATGGGAGTATATAAGGCAGGTTCGCTGTACCAGTTTCTAACAATCGAGCAAATCACGATGATCACACCTGCGCGTAGTGTAGTGGTTAAGCTGTGTACCTAGTCGGTGGCTTCCCAGGGTGAAAAGGCTCCCCTGGGATTCCGCTTACCACAGCTCTCTTTTTCGAGTCCTAATCGTTTCACTTTTTTTTCACTTTGGTTTTTTCTTTTGAGACGTAACTTCCCTTCGGACTGTTGTCCCAGGTCTACCGGAGAATACACGTGAATCTCCCCATACATAACCCCAACCCTAGCAGGTGTCTGCCCCCCTTTGTCGGTTAGATCCATCAATGCGATCAAGCACGCAATCAAATATCTTAATCTGGGAACCTCAGACGGGAATCGCTCAAAAAGTGCAATGTGACCCTCCCTCCTGCGCATGCTGCCTTGCACCACTCCCTGTGCCTACCCGCTTACCCACCCGGCTCCCGCGCGCCCGGCTCCGGGCCGTGTGTTGAGATGTAAGGCGCACCAGGCGCTTGATTGATTTAGTACATTTTGATGGAAGACAATTTAACCGCGTATGATAGAGAATAATTACAGCTTTGATTTGGCTTGCATCTTCAAATTGCTGGATCCAGGGGCACTTTTCACGATGGCCTAACCCATACGACGACTACTTACATACCTCCAATCGTACCTTGATCTAGCCGAACCGGATGAGGCTGATCTCAGGATCTCAGACTTTGCGGTGGTGACGTTGTTACTCAAGACCCTACAGAGGGTATGGTCTCTTGACGGGTAACAACTCCGAGAGGTACGGCCCGGGCCGGGCTAAATGCGGAAATTAGCCGTGAGCACCCGCGTGGGTAGGACCTCGTAGCAAACAACCTCTTCAGCATCAAGAAGTTTCTTCAGAACATCCTCGGTTTCGCGTTGGTAGCCGTCAACCTCCTCCGTGGTTGAAACTCTGGGATACTTGGACTTGTAGCTGAAAACCTGAAAGCTGGAGGTCTGCAGTGTGAAGTCGGCAAGAGCTGGTTGAACATCGACAAAGCCAACGAGTTTCTCCTCCTACTCTAGGTGGGTAATGGTGAATTTATCAAGATCCACAGTTCCTTAAGGGATCGCAGCGACAAAGGGCTTTTCTGTCTCATACTTTGGGAGTCTCCGCACAAAGCGAATTCGGCGATTCACCCCTGGACTGTAGGCATTTAAGCAGTAGTGCGGGACGGCCAAGCACGCGACTATTCGGAATTGTCCTTATTCGTACTGTGCCTTGCCCAAAGCCTGCCTTGGTTTGGACTTTGCAGCCAGCATGCATTTTGTGATCTAGGCGGACATAAACGACCTACCTAGGTTATCTTGAGCAATCAAGCATTCTTCCCATAGTGATAATTGCAGCACCGAAACTGCCACTTCGCAGCGCGATGCTTTGGAAGGGCGGCGCAGGGGAGGCGTATGAAGTTCAGGCGGGTGGGGGTGTTTTGAGCAGGCACCGTCCTTCCTGCAAGCAAACAAAAGGCGATGCTGCCTCGTGATTGGAGTTAAGGGATTGCCTTTTCCCGCTCTTCTTTTTCTGAGCTAGAATCTCTTTTTTTTTGCGAATGAATCGCAACACTATCGAGCGAGCTTTAGGGCTGACCGGGCTCGCCGCTTTTCTGTTTCGTTCCCGGGAAATGTTCTCGAGAGGTGAGCCGGGAACCCCGCCCTCGTGAACCCGCCATCGACTTAGAAGATCTCTATGCTAACATTTTCTCTTCTAGTGACTCAGCCTTTCTTCTCTGCCAAACCGACAATGCCCTTCGATGTCTTGACCGCAACAGCCAGTGACCTTCGCGTGCTCCTTGAGCAGCGCAAGGTTACCAGCGTCCAGCTTGTACAAGCATATCTACAGCAGATTCGCACCCATAACAAAGATGGCGCGCGCCTTAGAGCCGTTATAAGTGTCGTGCCGGAGAAGCAACTTTTGGACACTGCAGCCCAGCTGGATCAAGAGCGCGAGAGCGGGAAGACGAGAAGCCCGTACCATGGCATTCCGTTTTTGGCGAAGATGAATATATAATTATCTGGGCAGGCAATTTGAAGCTATTCCAGGGCTAATGATGTGTGTTTCAGGACAATATGTGGACGGCTACATCATTCACTTTGCCGACAACATGCGGGGCATACGCCTTGAAAGACGCAATTGCAAGGGAGAATGCCGATGTTGTTCAAGCAGTAGGTCATTCTCCGGTTCATGCCCATCCTGGTTTTGTACTTTGACCATTTGATCGAGGGTTTCACCTCGACGGTAACTCTATGCTTTGTCTATGCCTTGTGGTGGCATTATCTTCGGAGGGATGTTTAACATTGCTGGATAGCTGCTGGATGCCGGCTTGATTCTTCTAGGCAAAGCAAATCTCTCGGTACGCAACCCCCGTTTACATGCAACGCTGGGTTGGTGGCAATCTCCTCTGTGATTGAATCTGACGAGATCTTCAGGAAATGGCTGGTTTCAAGGGAGATGGCGGATATGCTGGATGGTCAACAATTGGAGGGTGAGTTGGACATGCATCTGTGCCAGTCGTCCCACATGTTGCACAAGAGCTGTACTGAATGACCTTTTCTTCTGTCAAACTCAATCTCCCTATGTCCCCGACGGCATTGACCCCACGGACAGCTGGCTTGGACATAGCGTAAGAAGATCTCTGGCCATTTGCGTGCAATTCATCGCATACTAACTCACAGCAGACGCCTGCCGGTTCATCATCTGAATCGGCAGTTGCAGTTGCTGCTGGCATGGCGCCGATTGCACTCTGTACCGAGACAGACGGATCGATTACGCAGCCCAGCGACCGAGCCAGTCTTCACTCCCTCAAACTTAGCGTTGGCAAGGCTTCTTTCCGGGGCATTCTGCCCGGCACTCCGTTGGCGGATTCTGCTGGCCCCATGACGAAGTCCCCCGACGATGTTGCCGCACTTCTGGACATCCTTACGCCTTTGAAGGAGGGTTCCCATTACGATTTCTTGACCAAGTCTTTCGCGGGTCTCCGAATTGGAATTTTAGATGAGAAAGAATGCGTGTCTTCCCCCAATGCCGTGCGCCCGAACGACGCCTACAACGAGCAATTTGTAAGCTTTACCATCTCCCGAAAAGAGGCACGCTTGATTCATGAAAGCTGACAGGTGAAAACTACCTTATCTAGAATCACGACTTCAACAAAGCCATTGACCTTGTCGAGAAAGCTGGAGCGCATGTGAAACGCGACATTCCTCTTCGAAAGTTTAGTCCTGAGGACGACGACATGTTTGACGCTATTTTGGGCAAGTCACCGTGATACCCAATCCGGTCTCCTTCCTTCGGTGCTCGATGTATTGACCTTGTATCCAAGCTATCGACACCCACAACTTGTTCCCGGAATTCATTAACGGACTTGACCATTCTCACGTCAAGACGATGCAGGATCTCGTCGACTTCAATAAAAAGTATGCCGACATTTGCTTGCAACCAGGTATGTTGCCTAGAACCAACGAGTTCAATCAAACGCTAGCTGCGACTAATCATTATCAATAAAGGGACGCCCAATCAGGTGGCCCTTGAGCGGGCTGCTACTGCAGAGATGTCCAAAGAGACCTATGAAAAATACACCGCTGCTCTTCGCCGACACAATCGGGAAGAAGGCATCGATGCTATGTTGCAAGGGAACGGCGTCGACGTCCTCATAGGCCCTCCCCGAGGACGCTTCAACACTATCGCCACAGCAGCCAACTACCCCATCGGTACCATCCCACTCGGGTATGCGACCAGGTTTAACGGTAGGGCGTTTGGCTTGGCTGTGGTTGCGCCAGAGAACAAGGAATCGTTGATCTTGAAGGTGATGAGCGCCTGGGAGGCTGCCATGCCGAAGCGGCAGCCCCCTCCCAAGCTTGCTAAGTGGGATGGGGCTGCTTTTGAGAAGTAGGAATCTTCTGCGCACGAGCACCAAATGTAGTCTCTGACTTGGAGAGCTACCAACTTAGCCCTGCTCCCTGCCGAACTGGGTTTAATGCCACGCCCTAGTCGCGTCAAGAGGATGTCAACCTCCCCTGCGTTACCAAAGTTAGAGTTAATTGCCTTGAACCTGACTGAACAACCTGGCGGTACATTTGTGATCGTGGACCAGAGGCTGCCTGATCGTAGGCAAATTAAACTTTGCATTATGGGAAGAACCATCAAAACGTAAGGACCTTGAATCACCATTGAACCAACTACTCTAATGCCAGGTCTTTGAAGGGCCCAGCTCCTGCCCGTCGAACTCCCTTATCCTACCCGTGGATTCAACGACCCAAACTTAAACCTCCGCCAGTTTTGCGCTCTACATAATAACACGACCAACATTCAACCCCGTCGTCTCAATCCCCATCAACTACACCTGCACCTCCCAGGGGGGAAAGCACTTCCCCATTAGGTTGTCTGTCCTCCACGACCTACTGCACGGTGTACTCGCAGGACACCGGCTCAGTCTCATTGACGACCGCGGCCTGGAACGGGACACACAGTCTGCCTCCGCCCGTGATACGTTGACCGGCGTCCACGAACACCGAATAGGAGCCGTCGTCCTCCGAGCACGCCACCCAGTCTTGGTCATTGAACGACAGGCGTGAGTCTTGGACCTGCCAGTCCCTAGTCTCACCGTCGGAGTTGTTGAAATAGTCGAGGCTGCCCCAGCCTTGGGTTTTGTCAGCAAGGAATATCCTTTTCTATCTTCCACCTCGATCAAAATCAGCGAGAAAACATACCACCATATGTGGGACTATTAGCGAAGATCCGTTGATGGGAGTCAAAATCGCCATGATACAGAAGCAGCTGCTCAGCGTCAACAAAGAATGTAGTCCGCTGGTATTCCCCGTCGCACTGGGCATCCTCCTTGTTGGCGGGTAGCAATAGCCATAACTTGCCCTTGCTCGCGCTGATGCTCCCGTTGTTGAACGGCGCGTCCTCGAGCACCGCAGTGAGACTGAATTTTTGGAACGCGGGCTCGGGCGCGGGCTCGGGCTCGGGGGCCAGAACTGCGGCGGATACGGAAGCTACGGCGGCGCCGGCGAGAATGGTGAAGGTGGTCAGCTGCATGGTTGTGGTGTTGTTGTGAGGCTGGGTTAGGGGGAGACTGGTAGGTTGGGAAAAGTTGGGAAGCTGTGTTGATGTTTGAGAGGATATGTTATTGAGATGATGCTAAGGTTAATGGGCAGGTCTCGAGAAATTACGGGTGATTGCCCTTTCATAACATTCGCGCCCAGTTGTCACCCGGGACCAGACTAATTAACCCCCGACCCCGAGCTGAACCGATCGGTGTAGGCTCCCCCAATACGGCTAACCCCGGAGATCCTCATGCGTCGGGCGATGAGACAACTGAGACACCCATCACACCGTCCTTAGGGTTATCTGCACGACACGTACATAATCTTGTGTCTGATCCATACTCAAAAAGCTTAGTTACCTAGTGGATTTCCGCTGAGACCTGCCTCGAGGCTAGTTGAAATTGCTGGCAGCGTCTGTCGTGGTCGCCGACCAGAGGCTGATCGGCTCGCTGATCACGGGGTTAATAATTGAGAGCCGGACAATTCGGACGACGAGGTTTTGACATGTGCACAATGACACGTGATTCCACCCTTAATTATATAATCAAAACCCTGGTATATACAAGGACAAGGCGCGGTTTCACGTTAAGGAGCGTCACAACTCATAAAGAAATCTTGGTTCGAGCAGAAGTTGGCGCAACTGTCAGGGTTGGGGTTATGTATAGGGAAAATGCCATGTTATCGTCAAGATGCTAAAACCACACAGTCCCACTTGTCCGCCGCTTAATTGAAGCCCGTTGTTAGAAATGACTGAAAACCAGAGCATGGACCTGAGCCGCATTGAATAAATGTTGATGAAGATGTCGTTGATACTAAGGTCGACGGGCGTTCTCAATGCGTTGAGGTTGTTCTCATACAACTCTACCGAGCATCTTTGCAGAGGAATTCCAACTACAAGAAACAAATAGGAACCAAAAAAATCGCACAAAACAAGCGCTAATCAAACCGGACCTCTCAATACAACACCTAAACGCCAATACCCTTCCCAAGCCCACTCCCCGTTGCCCTTCCCGGCCCCCTATTAACCCTCCCATTCCCATTCCCATCCATATCAACATCCCCATCAACACCCCCACCCACCTCATACCCCATCTCCATCTCCATCTGCCCGTCCAAATCCAAATTCATCCCCTCACCCATCCCATCCCCAGCTTTACTTCGTTCAAACCCCCCCAACCGCCTCACATCCCCCCCAGCAGCCCTCACCGCCCTCGCCAACCTCTCCCGAAACGCCCTCTGCCGCTCAGCCGCCTCCCTTTCACGCCGGGCTTTGGTTTTGGAACTGCCGGAGGGTGCGACACCTGTCATTAGCAGGGCGCTGTCGTGCGGGGTGTAGTTTACGAAGCCGTCTTTGGTGTTGTCTGAGTATTTTTCTTTATCGTGGGAGTGAGGGTTAGGGTTGTTGGGGTTGGGGTTGTTGGTGTCTCGGGAGTTGGGTTGTTTGGGTTTGCGTGGGGGGGAGGGGGAGCCCGATGAGGACCGGCCTAGTCCTGGCTGTTGTGATGGGCTCTGTGTCGGGGGCAGGGGATACCCTAGGGGTAATGAGGTCGAGGAGGATGATGCTGAGGTCATTCCCATGCCGATTCCCATTCCTATACCCATACCCATACCGGGAAGTGTCTGCGCAGACGCGCTCTCACTCGCACTCCGTCGATGCTGCTGTTGGTGACCGCGCAGATGTGCATGCGGCGGACCAGCCAGGACAGACATCTTCGGCGAGGGTGAGGCAGATGAAGACGAGGAAGATGAAGACCTCTGGGCCCTCTGCGCGGCAAGAACTGAGTTGTTGTAGTGATGGTATGGATGACGATGGTGTTTGATTCCTCCTGAAGACGGACGGCGAGATCGCGAGGACCGGCGGCGGCTGTCTGTCGTTGTGGTTGTCGGCGGCCGGGGAGTGTCGCCGCGGAGGAGGGTCTGGGCTGGGGAGATGCTGCTGCGGGGCTGGGGCATGTGTAGGAGGAGGTCTGTGTTTGTGGTTGTGCTTGTGTTGGTGTGTGTGTTGATGTCTGGTTGTGATAGAGACAGAGACAGGGAGAGAGGGTAGTCGAAGCTGGTGGTCGGCGGGACGAAGGTTTTTGCGAGGCTGTTTGCGGCGTTGTTCAAGGCGACACTGTGGGCGTTGATGGCATGGGCGTTGAGGGTATGGTAGGGGAGCGAGGTGGACGTGGTGATGGGAACGGAGAAATCTGTTTCGGTCTCGGTGTCCATGATGTTAAGGGCGGGATCCCACCAGTGGGAGGTTTCTTGTGCCCCGAGGTACTCGGCAGATGCCCAGGGGCTGTCGTTTGTAGTCGGCATTGGTAATTGCCAGCTCTCAGCTATGGATACCGGAAGACCGTCGGGGGTGTATGGAAGAGGCCGGATGAGGTCGTTGCTGCCAGCACTGCCCGTGATATCCATGGTTCCCGTGCTGAATGGGTCCTCCAGAACTCCTGAATTCAACCCTGCTTGGCCGTCAAGCCCCTTTTGTTCTGGCTCTTGCCTTTGATATTGGCTTTGGCCCTGGCCCAGACCTTGACCTTGATCTTGACTCTGGTCCTGAATCTGACCACCCAGAGACATCGCACTCGGCAACTGTGTCTTTCCGGTCTTCGCCTCTGTTGGCGTCGCGGCGGACAACAGGAAAATTGACGGCGAGATGGGCGACCAGGGCCGGGATTCTTTTAGCGTAGCTGCCTTGTCGCGGAGTTTGGTGCAGAGGGCCCCGAGGCGAGTTCGAAGGGGGCTTATCGTGGTATTCGAAGCAGTAGTCAACGTTGAAGTCGAATTTGGTTTGAACAGTCCCGTCGAGATGTACCCGCTCCCTAAAGGCGGTTGGAGGGGTTGTTGCTTTTTAGAGGAAGAGACCTCCTCTTTGATTTGTATCCTGCTCGACGATACCGTCGATACCTGCCCACGCTCCCCAGATGTCGGTGAGGCAAACAATGGCGAGGCAAGCAACCCGTGGGTGCCTGAGAACTGTGCTAATCCACCGCCTTGGCCACTGCCACTGCCATCACTCCCTCTCCTGTCTTGCTCGTTCCCCTGTCCGCTGCCTGCTTCACCTTCCGCCCCCGGTTCTAGCTTGATGTATTGCCCAAACGAGTCTGCCGTCATTCCCGAACCCCCTTGGTTGATCGGGCCAGCCGACATCGAGGGGTGGATTGCCGTAGCTGTGGCGCTCATGTCGTGTTGTATGATGATTGAGTCTCCGTTACGTTGTTGGTAACTGGGTGAAGTCAGGCTTGATGCCGAAGTTGAAGTTGAAGTTGAAGTGGCTTGATGCTTTGAAAGCGCCCAGCCATAAACGCCATCAAACCGTCTAACCAAATCCAGACCGGCCCTAAGAGAGAAAAGGGAAATATGAAGAGAAACGACGCAATGGGAAATCAAACAGCAAGTGGCTAGAACGAAAACACGGGAAACCAAACCAAGAAACGGGAGATACCCAACCCATGTATTTATCCATTCCTCCATTCTCCCCACCCACTGCTTCGCCCAAGCCCCCTTCTCCCATGCCCACAAGACAACGGCCATCATCCGAGGGAGACTTCTAGCATGGCCCCAGACCCAGGCGAGCATGGACTGTACGTACTGTGCTGTATCCTAAGCCAACCCACACACCCACCCCGGTCGATCTCGCAGCATTCCGGCCCCGATAATCGTGCATGCATACCCGACCGTTTGACGCCTCTTTGATCCCTACCATCTTCCGTATCCTGTGTACCTTTCCTCTTTAATCTTCTGTTTTACCCTCTGTCTTACTGACTCTATTTCTCCTTGGAGCAACTGAACATCACCTATCCGAACTACAAAAATCAGACTCAACATAAACGTCAACATCAAAAAAGGAAGCTGATCCACTACCTGTACCCCTCTTCTCCTAACTTTCCCTCCGCCCAGGACCTCAGACAAAGCAGGCCAGGCCCTTTCTTTCTCCTTTGTCGGGAAAGGGGGCTCGGCAGATAACAGCAGCCACAGTGCCCAAACAAACTCCCGACAAAGAAAACGCGGCTAGATACGTACCGTAACCAAGGAGGTGCCTTCCCATGTGCCCATTCCCATCCATGTATGTAGGTACTGTACCAATGTACATACATGTATGTCTTATTTAAGCTGCTGGAATGTACACTTCACGGGTACAAAGGGGCGTGTTTGCTCGTCGCAGTGATACCGATACGGCTAGACTGAAGCGAGAAGTGAAAATAAATCAGAATCAAATAAAACAAGGCCAGGAGAACAAAAAGCTCGAGAACGAACCAAAGAAATAAAAGAGAAACAGAAAGACGACAGGCGATGGGCAACAGATAGTAACCACTTCTCTTCCCTTCCCTTCTCTTCCTTTCCTTCGGTCCGTCAATCCCCCGTTTGCCAATCCCTCGTTTGTCATTCACCACTTGTTGTTTGCCTGTCATCCGCAACCCTACCGTCCCTCTTCCGACCCCAACTTCATGCATACTATACTATATGCACATGACTCCTTCTCTGGCCCCCTCAACGTGGTATCGATCAATCAATTAGTTAATTAATCAATTCATACCGCGTACGCATGTTGGGGTATGCACATACCACACTGATGGGTCCGCGTCTACCATTATGCCACAATCCGTTGGTTACGATCCGTCACTTCCAAGACGTTGGCAACGGCCCGTTTGGTTACGATCCGTTGCTTCCACTCCAATCCGTTGGTTGGGGCTAGGACATATTTGATAAGGAGGGGGGTGTGAACCGACACAAACACCCACACACCCACACACCCACCCAAACATCCACCCAGAAAATCAACCGTCCTTCCCCTCCCCCAAGCCCCACGACCCCATTTCCATTCCCGTTCCCGTTCCCGTTCCCATTGAATTAGACGGAGGGTGGAAGGCCCCAAGTCGCGTGAGCTCAATGACTGACCGACCGACCGACCGACCGACCGATCACATCCATTTCCTCCTCTCCTCTCATCCCCCTGTCCCATTATTTACCAATCCAACCAAACCGATCTCATCAATGACGAGAGATGGACTAATTACACCGTATACACCCACCACTCACCCTCTAATATCAACGTGTCCGCCCTAGTTCACAAAGAAAGGGAGGAAAAGAAAGGAAAGGAAGAAAGAGGGACACAGAAACCCCACCATAAGGTCAAGCACACGTAGCCGTAGCCGTAACCCTACGCCGCCTACGGTATGGTAAGTATGTACATACATACATATGCATGTATCCGTACAGTAACCACCCATCCACCCATCCAGTCATCTATCCATCCCTCAAGGGAGCCAACACCGACAAGCCAAGCAAGCCAACAAGCAAAACATCACGACACACACACACACACACACACCCCCCACACACACACACACACCCCACACACACACACACATTCAGAACCTTACCCGTACCCGAGAGAACAAAAAATGGCTAACAAGGACAAGACCCAAAAAAGTCGAAACACAGCAAGGCAAGCACTCCAGCATTCAATCAAGCCCATCATCATGATCATCGTCATCACTGCACTGCTATTCCCTGCGATCCCCACACCAAAAAAAGACTAAAACATCGTCTGCTTTGTCTGTATGTACAGTACATCGATTGTCCTCCACTGGGGCCGAGACGGCCCTCTTCCCTTCAGCAACGTAACGTAACGTGTAAACGGCGGGTGTACATCCACATCCACACAGTAAGCCTGAAAATAACCCGGCTTTTGAGAGGAGGATCGGAAAGAAGAAAAAAAAAGATATGACCCTAGCCAAGTCAGCCAGCACCCAATAGCTTGTGAGGCCCCGGTCTATGAGTGAGTTGCTTCTCCCCGTGTATGTCCGTTGCCCCAAATGGTATCCGAACAACAAAGAAAAACGCCGCGAAAACTCCAAAGTAAAAACAAAAAACTGAAGAGAAAAAAGAAGACATGCAGGACGTGGTGGACGGTTCAGTTCACCTACACCCACACAATATTTCCCCGTTTTTGCAATGCTCTCTCCCTTTCCCGAAACACCCCAAAATAGCACCTTTGACCAGCCCGGGCCATTGAATCTCAAAACTCGAAACATGGGGTATATAAAATGACGTGGCGCAAGACAAAGGAAAAGGACGAGTACACATGACATGAAGAGAACAAAAGAATAAAACGAAAAAAAGGGGCCTAAAGTGGACCAAAGTATAATCAAAAATAAAACAAAGGCACCGGATTTATGGCGGGTAATTCATCGGCGGAAGAGGCGGCGACGGGGCGCACGACATGGTCGGCGAGGTGACAATCGATGAGACTCCGCTCCCATGCCGAGGCTTGTTTCGCTTGCGCATCCTGGGCCGGCTGCGCACCACATTCGTGCAGCGCAGAGCAGCGTCCGCCGATAGTCGGTATCGCAGGTCCACGCCGTTGACCGTGTGCTTGCGGATGCCGCCAGGCCCGCTGGCGTTCCGCAGTGACGTGGTCCCGCTCTGGCCGAATAGATCGGAAAGCAACTCCGACCCCTCGCCCGTTTCATTCTCATCCACCTCTAGCGCGGTCCCGGTATTCGGCAGGCAGCATTCCGGATCAGGCTCGATGAAGACCGGATCGGCATAAATCGTGCTTGACGGCCGCGTCGGCGGTGCTGACGGGGGTTCTGTCGTTGTCGTCGGTAGGGGCTCGTTGCGCACGATACACTGCGTCCCGTCGGCGATCATGTCCTCCAGTCGTTGGTCCACCGAGCGGGCAAGGCTGCGGAGCTGGCCGCTTGTTTGTCGTCGAGGTCGCTTGAGGTCTGCTAGTCGCTTGTCGTCTGGCTTCTCCGGGCGTACTTCCAGTGGTGGTTCCAGTTGCGGTTCCGGCTGCGGATCCAAGTAATCCGGATCAATTTCAATCGGATCCCCCAAGTCCAGCATTGGGGGCGCGTATCCTCCCGGGGTGGTGCGGCGACTGGAAACATAACTCGTGGGCCGTGACGTCGCGAGGTAGGACGATCGGCCACCAGCCGCATACCCGGTCCATGGTTGGAAGCTGTGCAACTCGGAAGCGTCCCCTCCCAACGTTGTTGTTGTCGATGGGTTCGTTGCTGCTTCTGTCGGTGATAATGGTGGTAATGATGATAAAGATGGTAATGGTGGTAATGGCGGTAATGAGGGTGATGGTAATGATGGTTCCGTCGTGAGCGTTGGCTGCATCTGCTGCTGGCCGGGCCCGAGTCGGCTGAGCCGTAGACTCTGCTTACTCAACTTGCGTGTCAGTTTCTCCACGAACCGTCCTGGCGATAACAATCCGCGTGAATCGGCCGCTTGTTGCGGGTCGTCGGCGGAGCGTAGTGATGTCGACGACTTGGAGGACGATAATGGCATGGCATGCGATGATGTTTTCTGGTGGCGGTCGAGTCGACCGTGTCGATGTCGCGGTTGACGATAGTGATATGGAGGTTGATGTGGTTTGTCCTTTGCCACGGAACTCGCCTGCACCACCGTTGGCGGTGGTGTTTCTTCTTTTCTTGGGGTTTCTTCTGGATGCAGCTGCACCTCGTCGCTGTAACCATCCAATGCTGCGGGAACCCCTGACCAAGGCTTCGGGGCACCTGGGCGCGCGTCCATGGCAGAGTCAGGACGGGCCTGGCCGACTGCGGCCGGCGAACGCAAAGAGACTCGACGATGAGGTAGACGCGTCTGTCGCGGTCGCACAGGATGAGATAGTGATAGGTGTTGGTTGGAAAACGCGGCTATTAGGAAGGCATCTGGGCTTCATGCGCTCTGCGCTTGGCGACGGCCCACGACAGACCAGTGCCGCGCGACAACGATGATGCTACGCCTCCTGCTTCCTGCTTCTTCTCCACGTCGTCTTCCTACTCGTGGGGGCAGTCTCTCCTGCTGCTGTCGTTGCTGCTGTTCGTATCAGATCGAGTCACCGGCGGGACCAGCGGCTTGGCGAATGATGATTGATGAAGGTTGTGTTCCCGACAAGAGCCAACCCGACGCAAGGGACGGGAAGTTGACGTCGCGGGTGAACCGTTCCAGTGGGAACGGGCAACAGCAAGCATAGGGCCAACAGGCAAGCTGGGTAGGGCGGCAAGTGACAGGGCGGGAAGGGGGAAATCGAGACTCGAAAGATCGGAACCAGGGGCGAGATTCGAGTTCCACCGGCACGGTGACTCGCTCGATGCGGAGGGAATAAAAGAAAATGAAAATAAAATGCCGAAGAAGGGTAGCAGTCGGACCCGAGAGACCGTGTGTGGCAACTGCGCCGAGACAGGCGTATGCACACTGCTGTACGTGTGGGCGCGAAGGTGTGGTTGTGGTGACAATGGTGTGGGTTCCGCTTCGGCGGGTTGGCGTAGAGATGGAACGAAGATGGAAAGCAGAAAACAGAGGTTTGGCAACACCAAGAGCTCACGAACCAGGAATTGCTGGATTACCAAGCAGCCAACAACGGCAGCAACGAAGCAGCTTGGTGGCTCATCAGAAAATCCAAACGAGCAGGCACACCTCGGGGCGCCCTAGTTTGGGACAAGCAAGGCGTTGTCTTGGGGTCGTGTGTGAGAGGTTCTTTCCCCCAGCTTTCCCACCTGTGGCCCCTGCCCCCGCTCAGACAGCCGGCGAATGGTTCGAGCTTTTTTCTGCAGCAGGTCCCAGCACCGGGCACTGCGGCCAAATGAACCGCGAGTCCCTGGCAGAACCCCTGCTGATTGGCCGTCCCGCCGGGCAAGATGCCTTTCGGGCTGCCCTGTTGTGGGGCCTGTGGACCCTGCGTGCCTTCCCCTTGGGCGGAAGAGCGGCTGCCTGTGGGCGACCCAAGCCGTCGGAAAGGGTGAGGGTTTGTGCACCGCGAACCGCTGGGAATTTGGGAAGGCGCTCAGAAGCCGCTAAAGCATTCTTTTGCGGATCAATTCCGCCCTGCCGATCGGTTCCTTCTGATTTGATTTTCTGTCTGCCTGGTCCGCGACATCTTACATCCTCCTCACACTCAGCAAAAGGGAAATCTTGCCAAACACATCGACAAAAATATTCCAAAGCATAATTCCTGCTAGTGTCGTGGAGTTGTTGCAGGGCCAAGTTGGATCACAAAAAGCTACATGAAGGTTCCGACCAGGCGGGACTCGAGAAAACAAGACTCACGCAAAGAACCGGTGTGTCGGAAAGCGTGCCAATCAGCGCCGCTCATTGCCGTTTGTTCATGCCGCCAGATCGACAAGCTTCGGAAGCCGTCGAGCGATGCCCAGATCCAAGCGACGCTAGCGCCGACGCTTTGGGAATCGGGGACCACGGACAATCCACGGGGTTGCACAAATGGGGTGGGCGTGGCCCAATGGCAGGCGAGTCCGAGATTGAGCGGGCTTGAGCGGTTCTGCGCATGACAAGTGCCTGCTGACTCCCAGAAGTTGCCATGACCCGAGGCCGTGGTTGCTCTTTCCCTTTCCATCAAGGAATCCCTGGATGTCTGGTTCTCTGCTTCCGTTACTAATAGTGTACTCTGCCCGCCGCCTGCATCAGGCGACGCCCAGAAACATGGCTTGACGATTTTTTCAGAGCAGTTTCCAAACGCAGCAAAAAAGCCCACCCGAGGATCAAAGCCAAGCAGACCGGCGCGCAACCAAGTTATCATCAAATTCGGTCCCCCGGCTGATTGGGGAGGGAAGGGGAGGATTTGGCGGTTCCAGGTTGTCCCCATTCCTTGGTTGTCGGCCGCCCGGGGTCGGCCGCCGGGGCGGAGATTGCTCCCGCAGCACCCCTTTTCACTGGCGCGCTGGGGTCGCAATCATGAAATCCCACGTCCCCAAAATTGCACACTCCAATTGCCTGATTCTGCCCCACGATTCCACTTGCAGCTTGCTGGGTGGCCGCGCCGTCTCATCGGCCCGAGACTATTTTCGATCCTATCGTCAGTCCCTCCACCCCCCCTCCTAGGCTTCAACTTCAACGGTTCAACGGGCGAAAACAACCGACGACCGGTCGATTCGAGAACTCCCGATTGTTCTTCCCGGCCTCCCGCAGTCCCGCTTGCCACGGACCTCCGCCCCGGTCAACGCCCGTGCCCTCGTTTTTTGCCTTTCCCACGCGCGCATTGCGTCGGATAGCGGCCATGTGGCGCTTGGGGTTTTGTCTCAGGTCGGCCATGTTTGCTTGCACGCGCCAGCCTGCTGGGCCCGGCCCTTTGCGGTTTCATCCCAAAAATAAAAATACCCAGTCGGCTCCCGGCTATTTTGTTGGGATACTGGGTGTTTTCATCCCGGACAGTTCGACAACTTTGTTATTAGGTCGCGTCCCGTCCGTGTGGTTGCGAAGGTCTTCGGACATACCAACCTGGAAGCCGAGGTGTCCTTGCGCAGCAATGGGACCGACGACAGGCGACCACCTAACGTGGGGCCTGCTGAACAGTTGGTGAAACGCCTGCGCCGCACCATCACACCAGCACTGCGCAGTTGGAAAGCCCGCGGGGCCGAGATACGGGCCGGACAACACTCCCGCTGACGGCTCCGATTGGGCAACAAAATCCTTCCCCCCCGACCAGCCCGTCCAAAATCGGTACCGACAGGCTGTTTTTTTGTCCCAACTCCCTAAGATTTGGGGGCGCAGCAAGGCGTCGGGAGCGAGCCGACAGCAGGAGGAAGAGCCCAGGGGGCCGGAAGATGGGAAGATGGGAAGGGTATTCTCGTACGAGCGTCTTTACCCGCAGCACCAATTGACGCGATCGATGGCGCACTCGGTATCCTCCGCGCTTACCACACCACCCACCGACACGGCACACCACCTGCCTTAGCCAGGCCACCATTTGCGCGCCCACTGCCGTTGAGAACCCTCCCACACTCAATGCGGGTTATGCAGTTAAGATACCTACTACCCTTTAACTCCGACCGCGACCTTCCCAATTCCGCCTTGTAATCGGAATCAACTCCGCCGCTTTGGCCCCCTTCTGTCTGTCTGTCCCCCAACTGCAGCAGCAACCAAGCAAGCATGGAACCAACCAACCAACGAAACAGGTTGTCTCATCCAACCCACCGATTAACCTCGTGCACCTGCCTGCTGCTTTTCGGCTCCCATCGATCGTTGCTGTTGGTTTGAGATCGGGGCGAATTCCATCCGGCCCGACCCAGTCAAGCCAGTCCAGTTGTGAGGTGATACCATCCGATTAACAACACTTTGGGCGAAAACAGGTTAGTGAGTGCCGGCGATTTCTCTTTCCTGGGAAGCCAGGTATTTAGTTTGTTTTCGCGGACATGCTGTGGTGAGTTTTGTGCTCCGCTCAAGGGTAAATTCTTGGCCGCTATAAAATCGATACAAGGTAGGGAGTTTGGGAGTGATTATGGCAAGTCATGACAACGTAAAAGCAAGTAGCCGCGCGTAAAGAAGAGGGTTTGTGGAAATCTTATTTCCTTCCGAATGCAATACCTTACATACCTACGTCAAATAAAACCCAAAAGAGTATCCCCGCGCTCGCTAGTGTTAGTAACACTACTCTCAACTACCGACATGGCCACCACATATCCGTAATATCCGTATCCATCTCCAGCCTAAAATACCGCGTTTTCTCGGCAACGGCAACATACTCTGCACTCCAACAACTACCGGTCTCGCCTCAGCCTCATACACAAACCAACCCACACACCCCTACTTTCTCCGTTCTCTTCCCACGTGGTTGGCCTCCACGGATCGATCGAAACACGGCAGAGATATGTAAACCCATTGGCATGGTAGCGGAATGGGGTTGGGGCGGTAGTGGAATGGGGCTGGGCTGGGGTGAGAGAGAGTGAAAGAGTGAGAGAGAGGCTGGGGGAGGGGCAACCCGCAAGGGGCAAAGGGCATCCATCTGTACTGCGTTCTATGCGCTTCTTTCCCATGCCTGTGGACCGTGTGGTTGTTGTGAAGCAGGGAAGCAAACAACCAGCCAGCCAATCCAACCAACCAAAGAAACAAACAAACAAACAACCATGTGTCCGCCGCAGTGTTTTGGGTGCACCACCCGGTTTCCAGTCTCGCGTGGATCAGACTTCGGACCGGGTCTGTTCAACCGAGACGGGAGTGTCCCGGTGGGGGAATACCGATGGAATGTTCGTACACTAGTTATGGAACAACCCCCAAAAACCCCGGAAGAAAGGCAAAAGGCCAAAAAAAGAAAAAAGAACAAAGTTACACCTGTATACCATATACGTCAGTCCAAAAAAACGTGGGTGGCTGGCGGCTGGCGGCTGGCGGCTCCCGTCCTCCCCGTCCTGTCGTGGAACAGTCCAGCAGCCGGGATAGGGACGAGCCGGGATTTTGAGGCGTTGGGCTGGGCTGGGTGGGCTATTGGCGGTGTGAGAGATGGGGACGGATGCCCGTGCTGGTTCGGGGTGTTTCTGATTCGTTGATGTTGGCTTTCTTGGGGCTTTTGGCGGTGTGTAGTAATGTAGTGGTACAGACTGGAGGGGGAGTTTGTTTGGTAGTTGATGGGGCTAGGGGTGAGCTGAGGGTGATGATATGACTTAGGAGTTGCTAGGGTAACTACGAACGATATGGGAGGATCCGAAACAACGGTATGAAATGTAACGGTATAAGGGTGCTTGTAGCGACCGGACAATCAATGAGGTATTGAGACCTGTCGTCGAAGTATTACTTCGTATGTAGCAGTCGAGGTTCAGGAAAGCCGTGTCGTTGGACTATTCTTCCCGACTCAGAGGGAAAAGAAAATAAAGACCAGATCTCATCTCAAGGGGTTGGTAAAAAAGCCCGGATCTCGACTGTATCGACATATTCACATCTGGAGTAGCATATTGTGGGATGGCTGGTTGTCCTACCCTGACCAACCCCCCTTCGGTTAACGTAGTAAAACAACAAGACACATTCAACAGAAGAGGCTGGATAAGTCTAGACAAGCTCAGGGATAACATCTCGGTTTTGCTGGACTGCTGTTCGGGAGCTTCGAAATTGAACTCTTCGTTTCAGTCCCACGTGCACTTTTCATTACTGCCCTTTTTTGATATGGCTGGCATCCCTGAACCGCAACTTAATCATTCCTACGGGCACACCCGAAAAGTGAGAGCGGGCAGGGTGGCTCGACCGGCGGGGTGGTGAGATAAGACGACGATAATGAGTTCGTTCTATCCCACAGCGATGTTATACATGTCCCGGCGTTCTACATCCCTGGTGTCATACGGTTCATAGGGGTCCAATCTGCCGTGGCAATTAACGATTGTCTTTTGTCATACTAGGCCTAATTAGTTACAATCCATGTATATTCTCATCCTATTAGATTGAACTCAGACTTGCTCCCGCCTTTAAGATTTGTCAGTCTCTTAGTATATTGTTGATAGCTACGCTCACGATATGAGCTCAACTAAGATGTGGCCAGTTATTGGCCTTACCAACATCCGATATCGACGCCACTTAGCAGCGCTCCCTAGGAACCAGACCCAACACCCCAGCTTACCACCCCACGATCGCATGCACGTCAGACAATACACCAAATCTCAAAACTGACATGTCCGATCATCCTCCGGCCATCAAACATCCAGCGGCACGACGACGATTATTATTGCGACCCGATTACCTAAGAAGGCACAGCCATTGAGAAAAGTCACACCCTCACTAGGGTCTAGGGCCTAGAAACAAAACTTCAATTCAACTATGTGCATGCATTTCCATAATCATCATTTTTGAATTCATCGCTCTCATAACCGTCATTTCCCACCCTAGTGGCTGGTTAACATCAACACTAACCCTATGCCTGGCAAGCCCAGCTCTTGCACCCCTTCTCCCACACCGTAGAGGTCTCAGTGGCCGTGGTAATCCACACCGAGCTAACGGTGACGGGCTGGGTGATTGTCGTGGAGTACGCGGTCGACCCGGCCGCCGTGTCGGTGTGGCTGACGGTCTTGAGGGTGACGAACGTGGTGGTGGTGACGTGCCCGACCGTGCTGGCCCAGGTGGTGTCGTACCTGGGGGGTAGTTAGTCAGTTTTATGGGGGTCTGTCTATTTGGGTGGTGATGGGAAGGGGAAGGAAAGAGGGAAGGAACAAGGGGGGAAAAAGAGACGAGACGTACAGGAGATCCATGGTGACGGTGGTGCTGGTCACGGTGGGGATGCTGCTGGTGACGGTGGTCACTTGGCAGGCCGACGGCGGAGCATAGCCGGCGGAGGTGACGGTGGTGGTCTCGGTGAACCAGTTGATGGTCAGGGTTCCGGAGGTGACGAGGACCGTGGTGGTCGTGGCTGGACAAGGGAAGATATTAGCATGCTGGTTCGTAAGGTGTATCTGATGCGTTGAAACTCACCCGGAAGTGTGGTAACCAGCGGCGAGTAGACTGTCGTCCGCGTGTTGATCGTGCGGGTCTCGTGCTCCGTCTTGGTCGACGTGACAGACCCCAGCGACGACCAGCCGTTGGTCACGGTAGTCGTCGCCAGCCAAGTCGTGGAGTAATCCCAACCCTTGTAGCGGGTGACGGTTGGGCAGGCCTCGACGCGCGGGGCCAACGCCTCGGGGATCTCAAAGGCCGGAGCTGCGACGGCGGCAGTGGCCAGCAGGGCCGGGATGGCCAGGAGGGATGAAAATAGCATCTTAATTTTTTGGAGTTTTGTGTGTGGAGGTGTGGGTGTATGTTACGGTTGTCGGAGGTTAAAAAGGAAAGGGTGGAGCACAACAGGACGATGCCACTACATCGCAGAGATCGACGTCAAACGGTTGGGCGGCGACGTCAAGAACTATATATGTAAACGGACATACAGAGTCGCATCTCCGTGACTTTTCACCTTGGCAAAAAACCTGCCATGTGAACGCGGAGAAGTGCCATTGCTCCGCTGACCAATGCTTTCATCACCAAAACCTTCTCTCTCGCTTCACGATCGAACGCGGGGAAAAGGACGGGACGGTGACAGTGAGCTCGGACTTGGACGGTTTTCTGCAGGCGCCACAGCCACTGAGATTTGACAGCGGTACTATACGCCTAGGGAACTTGCCGGATACGCCCCACGGTTTTGGAGAGGTTGGGCCGGGGCATGGGGCCAGCGACGGGAATCCGAGCAAAGAAAAAGGGGGCAAAACAAACAGAAAGCGGAGGCAGGAGGTGGGAGACTTAATTTCCGCAGCCGCAAACCGCCTTGCTGCCAGTGCGCGATGCTGCTGAGGCGAATATTTATCAGCGATGGCAGGTGACATCTTGCTATTTCGGAGGCACGCAGGGTAGTAGAAGGATTTGATGTCTTTTGACGCAAGCCGGTGGGCAATGCGGGCTAAAAGTCCAGTATGCCGGGCTCAGGAGGAAAACCGGGTAACTCGAGCACAGAAATGTCCGAACCATGGCCCAGGACCAATCGTTGGATGGCGGCTTCCGAAAGAGGAAGCCGGAGGTCCCATCCGCTCCGGTGAGCACCGAGGGAAGGAGGGGTTCGGGGTGGTTGGAGAGCGCCTGCCTTCGGACTTTGAGCACGACCCAGCGGGGATGTTTTGTTAAAATAGTGGAAGGATCAAAAGCCCCATGGGATTAGAAGGCGGGGAGAAGAAGATAAAGTGAATGAGCTCTTGGCAAGCCCAGGTCTATAAGCCATTCAGATATGATGTTTGATGGTTGCCAGTGAAGCTGCGGCCCCTGGGAGGCTACGCCGAGTTTCAATCCTTCTGCATCTGGCGGGACAGGTCAAGGCTGCCATCATGCATGCGAGCTACCCCGAACGGAAAACCTCTCGGTAGAGCCAAAGCCGAGATGCCTTACCGGGACTCAATTTGAATGCATCTTCAGAGTAACGTAGTGTACATAGTAGTGTAGTGTACGGTCGGGTGTGAAAGTGATGTTCAGCAAGGATTTGCTGCTGGAGCTCTCATGCTGCATGGTTGACAGGACCCCACCAGGGCTTTTTGGCGAACATTTTGACCCACATGAGCTCTTGGCGGTTGGAAATCATCAGAGCTTAAACTTTGGCGTTGCAACGACACAAACAACGAATTGGATGGCCAGGCCACCCAGCCCGCCTGCCCGGACACTGCGATGCCAACGTGCAAAGAAGGGACCACAATATGAACCTTCGACAACTAGTAGCCCGCATTCAGGGGACCGCCACCCCCGTAACGGAAGCGTCGGTCCGGGCCGTCCTCGTCAAGGTAACGCCGGCCCCGACGACACTCTCCGAGCGCCGGGCCGTCCTGGGCGTCCTGAAGAAGTACGCCGAGATTGACGTCTTCAAGAAGCTCCACGTACGCCCTGCTCTATCCCCTAACCACCAGCCCGATCTAACCTAACCTCCTTTCTGCCCTGCCCAGGACCCCTCCCACTTCGTCTCCATCACCTCCCAACCCCGCATGGCCGACACCCTCATCGCAAAGAGCCCGCTCGAGTTCGACTTGGCCGCCCGCCCCAACCGCACTCTCCCAACCCCGCTCAACTCCATCGCCCGGCCCGACGCCAGCCCCCACAAGACCTTCCGCGTCAAAATCACCGAACACTCCCACTACCCGCACAAGACGCGCATCCGCGAGAACCCAACCTACGGCCGGTGGCTGGAACACCTCCAGCGGCTGCAGATCATTGAGCAGACTCGGGAGAGGAGGAGCAAGGCGCCGGATCCGGCTCAGGACCAGGGCCAAGATGATGACGACGCAGACCTCGGCGCGCTCCTCCACGACCACTCCCTCCCGCGCGCCGCGCTGCGAGCGATTGTGCCACAGGGTATGGCGCAGGAAGGGCTGGCCGACTGGGAGAGTGCGATGCAGCTGAGTGAGGGCGCTGAGCCGGCGACTTGGTTGAGGGTGCAGAGGGACTTTTACGGGGCGCGGCAGACTAAGAGGGCAAGGAACGCTGTTGTGTTTGAGAGTTTGGTTGAGGGGTATGAGAGGGGGCAAATGAGGGGCGGGCGGGAGGGAGAGGATGAGAGGGGATTAGGGGACTGAGGGGGTAGGAAGGCTGTTTGTTGTGACTGAGAGTTGGTGCGCCTTGTCGGGACGTACTCTGGTCTGTCTGGATAAACGTATGGGTCTGTCACTCTGTCTGTTGACACGGAAGGGGAACCGTCGTCAGCACACCAGGCGCAGCCGGCTCCCCTCCACCTGACATCGGACAGGCTCGGAGAAGGGGAGAGACACCAGCAAACGACACCGCACCAAGGACCACCGGACACGCGCAGCATTGAAGACCACACCGAGGCCGAGCGTGCATATGAGTGGGAACGACGCCGGTGATGCGGGCTGTTGCTGCAAGCTCATCAGACGCCAGCCATTCTCATCGACCACGCCCCCTGGAGCTCTACGCAGGAACCTACACAATGGTCCCTTACTACTCAATTAGTTAAGAGCGGTGTGGTTGGTTTCCTGTACACTACATTAGTGTGCAGCGACAGCACTACGGCCACTGATCGGCGGCAATTGGGTGAAGCTACCAGGCCGTGGCTGTGCTCTTTTTACCAAAACGGGAGAAAGTCAAGAGCCCGCATCTTTGGCATCTCAGCCGCAGAACGCGTGGCAGTCGCAATCACCAGACTTTCATTCCCGTCTTTGACACACAATCGGCTGTCAGAACGGGGCAGACCAGCGAGTATCTTCCTGCCGCTCTGCGGCGGGCAAAGAAATGGATTGGCCGACCCGATCGACTGGGGATAGGCTCATCATTCTCTTCCCCCGCATGTCTAACTCGCATGGACGATGGACAAAGTCATTCAGCCAGCGTGACGGGGGATCGCCGCAGCTAGTCTGAGGCCGCCGGATGCTGGTCACGGATTTGTCTCAGAAGTCAATTCGGCAACGGCATCAACAGAGTCTGCGTGACTCCAAGATTACCCGTCATTGTGCTGAAGCATCATGCTTTGCGAAGTAACTCGAAGAAAAAGAAGGGAGCACTGGGAGATAGGATTTTCAGATGGCAGCATCGATCTCATTGGAATGCGGGTCCAATGCAAGAAACGGTTTTTTTTTCTCCTTTGCCAAGGGAAACAAAAGTTGGGACTTCTTGTTCTCGATCATCGAGAATCGGGATTTGCGCCGGCCAATGGAGTGTCGCGGGCCCATCACACCTGCAACCGGAAAACCGGCAATCGCGAATGACGATTTTGGGAAATTGGATCAATGCGACAAGACCGAAAAAAACAGAAGAGCAGTCCGCCGAGCAGCCGAATGGCATGCCAAAGACGTCAAATTCTTCAAGAAAACAGGGCATTACCTGGCTTGCACAAAGGGAGAAACAAAATACAGAAGGACCAGAAAGGCTCCAGGCACTGGGAGCGCCCTGGCTCCTTGGACAGATCGGATGGAGGTGCCTGAAGCCAGGTCCTTGCCAAGCCCGTCTGCAAAAAAAAGAGACCCCGTGTTCACCTGAACTTCTGAGGCGATTGCTGTCATTACGTCATGGGCACCAATCAGAGCCGGCTACCGCGGAAAAAACAAGCTGCTGGAGCTTTACCTCCGGTGGATCCTCAGCCCCACCTTTGGGACGTTGTGGTTGGCTGTGCCACAGCCGAACAACCTTTTCCAGGCCGTCAAGGGCAAAAGCGCGCCCAAAAGGGTTCAGGTCGTTGAGCAATGCCGTTGCTCAGCCGTGCAGCGTGGGATTCCCGCATCATCATCGCTGCTTGTTGTCCCTGTGTGGCTCAAGAGAGACAAGCCAGGGCTTGGGCCAAGACCTTTTGGGACAACCAACCCCAGCAAGCCCGGGGCGCACACTGCCGGCAGTGGGCCAATCTTGCAGCGAGCCAATGAAGCAGATGTCGCTGCAAGAAAAGCGATGACGTTGCTGGCTCTTGTCTCTGTGGCTGCGACGGCGGGCATTACGACAGGGAACAGTGGCTGGGACAGCAGGACAGGACCGGCGCAGACCCCGGGAACCTGGAAGTCTTAGGGATCGGGCTGGGAGAGGACGATCGTGGCCCTGTTTCTGGGCATGTGCGGGTATGTGTGTGTGATGTGGTGATGAAACGTTTTGCAGAAGGGGAAAAGTTATATATGGCAGTCCTTGCCCCCTTCTTGCCCCCATTTCTGGTTCCCAATTCCCATCTTGGTCTACAAGTTAGCCACGTTGCTTGTGTTTCCATCCTGAGCGTATCACAACGCAGGACTTGCGACTATCAGGGTGGTTTTAATCACCAGCCCCCTCCAGCTTTATAACTTGGGCCAATACCACAATACCATAACACCACAAACCAAAAGATCCCGCACACCGCAACCATGGCGACGGGATTCTTCCACCACATCGGAACATTCCTGTTGTTCGCAGCCACTATCCTGCTCATCATCACCTGCATCTCGGCGCCGGTGGTACACGACCTGTCGATCCTCAAGGTCGAGCTGGGCGGCGCTGGCGGCAATGGCCAGCGGATCTCGTTTGGCACGTTTGGCTACTGTTTAGTCAAGCCCAATGCCGAGTACGTTCTCTCTCCGTCTTGAAACCCCCCCAGAATAAAATAAACACAGAGATACTAACACAACCCAGCGACGCCTGCTCCACCTCCCACATCGGCTACTCCCCCTCCTCCGTCCTCCGCCAACAAGACGGCACACAATTCTCCACCTACGCCGACGACTCCGCCCGCGCCCTGACCCGCGCCATGGTCCTCCACCCCATCGCCTGCGGCATCAACTTCATCGCCTTCCTGCTGGCCCTAGGCGCCGGCACCATCGGCTCCTTCCTGGCCTCTGTCGTCGCCTTACTCGCGTTCTTGGTAACCGCCATCGCGTGCATCATCGACTTTGTGCTGTTCAGCATTGTTAAGAGTAATGTGAACGATCGGGGCGCGGAGACGGGCACGGGCGCGTATTATGGTGCGGCGGCGTGGACCATTTTGGTGTCGGCGATTTGCTCGTTGATTGGGGCGGTGGTCGTGTTTTTTACGTGCTGCTCGGCGAGGAGGCATAAGAGGAGGCAGGGGGCGGTCAAGACGGAGTATGCGTCGCCGCCGAGGAGGAGGCGGTTTGGTATCTTTTAGAGAGTGAGTGTAGAAAGAGGAAATCTAATGATGAAGGATGGAAGGTGATATACCGAGGACGGTGATAATACCAAGGAGATGAGGGTTGGGGTTGGGGTTAGCACGGCAGATTTGTCAGGGTTAGGGGAGAACGGAGGGGTTCTATGAGCTCAGATACCACGACGTAATGTGTTGATTGTCTTTTTTTGTTTGTATAACAAGCGATTACTCTCCTTCAGATACCAATGTCATACATGCAATCATCATCAAGCTGTCCGTTCCGTTGGTTTTCATGAATCATGAATGTCATGAATGAGTATGGGCCTTGTGCTTGTGGCTGAGGAATTTAACCCCACTTTCCACTTTCACTTCACTGAAGCTGACCCCCTCAACATTCGTTCCGTCAGCTCATCTCAAGTTGACTCAACCACCACCATCCACAGCCTTTATTTTCCCTTCTCCCTTCCAAAAATACAAGCGCCTCATCGCCCCTAATACCCCTCATGACCCCCCCCTTCCTCCGCGCGCTCTTCGCGCGCAACAAACGCAACTGGGCCATCCTACGCGCCAACCCAACCGCAGAAATATCCGGTGCGCTGGGGGATTTAGGCACACTGCTGCCGCTGATGCTCCCCCTGGCGCTGCGGGGGTCGATTGATTTGCCGTCGACGCTGGTGTGGTCGGGGGTGTTTAATGTTGTTACCGGGGTTGGGTTTGGGGTTCCGATGCCGGTGCAGCCTATGAAGGTATTTTTTTCCTTTCCTTTCCTTTCTTTTTTTGGGTTGGGCGACGGGGAAGGCGGGGTTGATGGTGTTGGGTGAGAAGGGTGAGATGAGAGGGGGGAGGTGAGAGAGGTTGTTGGTGAGGCTGTGGCTGTGGACTTGGGTTCAATGTCTGTTTTATCCATCATACTCCTCTCTGGCTTGTTTATGAGCTACTGGTGGGAAGTCGACTTGATAGGCCCGTCTGTCTTCAGCTCACTCCTCGGCCGCACCTGTCTCTCTCTCTCCCTCTTTTCTTTTTTTTTTTTTCTTTTTTCTTTTTCTTTTTTGCACCTAACAGCTATAGTCACACCCATGTTAACATTCACCCAGGCCATAGCAGCAACAGCCCTCTCCTCCCCCCCACACACCTTCCCCCCCTCCCAAACCTCCGCCGCCGGCGCCTACGTCGCCCTCGCCGTCCTCCTCCTCAGCACCACCGGCCTCCTCCGCACCCTCACCACCTACATCCCATCCCCCGTCATCCGCGGCATCCAACTCGGTGCCGGCCTCCGCCTCGTCTCCTCCGGTGCTGGGCTGGTCTTATCCCTCCCCCCTTGGAACTGGTGGTCCTCACGGACAGGAGGGCGTCTAGGGGGGTTCGGGTGGATGGTGTTGGGTTTGATGGAGAATAGAGGGTTTGTGGTGTTGGCGATGGCGGTGTTGTTTGTTAGGCAGCAGCGGCGGGGGCGGAGGGGGAGGGTTGTTGTGCCGTTTGCGTTGGGGTTGGTGGCTGTTTGGCTGAATGAAAAATCCTGGAATAGAGGAGGTTTCTTTCGGCTGTGGCACCCGCGTCTGTCCATCCCGGCCTTCGATTCCATGGATGCCTTGTTCGCGGCCCTCGCTCAGCTGCCTCTCACCACCCTCAACTCGGTCATCGCGGTGTCTGCGCTATCAGCCGATTTACTCCCCGACGTACCCCCACCCAGCGTAACAGCCCTCGGCCTCTCAGTAGCCGCGATGAATCTAGTCGGGTGCTGGTTCGGCGCGATGCCGGTGTGTCATGGAGCGGGCGGGTTAGCGGGGCAGCACCGGTTTGGGGCGCGCGGCGGGGCGTCGGTGGTAATGCTGGGGGTGGTGAAAGTGGTGTTGGGGTTGTTGTTTGGCGGGGACCGGTTGGTGAGGTTCTTGCAGGAGTATCCGAAGAGTGTGTTGGGGGTGATGGTGATTGCGGCCGGGTTGGAGTTGGCGAAGGCTGGGGCGGCGTTTGATGAGCCTGTTGATTCTTCTTCTTCTTCTGCCCGGGCGGAGCCGATTGCGGTAACCACCGGGTTGTGGGAACGCAGTGTATCTGGAGTTGCCGGTACAAGAAAGTATGAAAGCAGGGGCAAGCGGGAGGAGAATTGGATGGTGATGATGGTTACCGTGGGCGGGACGCTGGCGTTTAAGAGTGATGCGGTTGGGTTTCTGGCTGGGTGGGGGTGTTGTGCGTGTTATCGGTTGGCGGACCGGATGGAAAGCAGGAGGAGGCCGCCGGTGGGTGAAAGGAGGCCGTTGTCGCATGGGATTGGTGAGAGGAGGCCGTTGTTGCATGGTGCAGTATGAGGTGTATAAAATGGTTATGTAGAGGGATGTCCAAGTCTACATGTACGCTGTGTTGAGCCGCATAGCAGGTTATAGCGTGACTAGGTAGTGAAGAACAAACAAAAGCAACCAACGGAGTTGGATACCTTAGCATAACAATATGTTTACAAGCCTCAATTATCTGCTTACTCGCTCGCAGCTATACCCAGCACATGTTCATTCTGGTCTAAGCAGACCAGCCTTGAAATTGAGGGGTTTAAGACTTTCCACAGTGAAATTAGATCCTAGTACACTCGGGTTGAATGTTAAGAAGACTAGATTATTGCGTGGAAACTATGAAAAAGAGCTGGAGAAGGTCACTCCAACAAACTGTTAAGGCGGCTTACCTAACTAATTATTGAAGAAACCACCTGCGGGCAAGACTAGAATAGAAGGCCACCGTGAGCCGAGCAAAGTCACGGCAATCGTAGAAAAGCCAATGTCATGGCCAAAGCGCATTACTCGTCTCAAAATGGATACAAAAAGCCAGCCTCTATCGAGTTAGACCCAAGCCTGACTACCATCGAAGACGGATCACTTTCCCAGCGCTGCCTCCAAGCACCGGGCAAGAGAAAAGTGTAAGTCACCCAATCAGGCAAGTGGGTCATTCTAACCATATCCAACCCTAACCCGAACTCCTCTCTCTCACACGACCAAGTCACTCACTCCATCGTAAACCATAGTCAAAAAAGTCAATCTCATCTTAATCTAAAAGGCCAACACCAGAAAGGCTAAAAAATAATCTACGTGTAATCATCCCACGCCGGTATGTCCATTACCCCTTCTCACTCTCCCCTCTCTTCCTACCCTCTCTTTCATTCTCTCTCTTTCACACTCACTCCCATCTCTCCCTCATCTTTCTTCCTGAGACGCCCTAAACAATACTCCCCGCCGCATAAGGTTTCTTCCTCCTCACCCCCCTCAACCTCGCAAAAAACCCACTCCCCCACCTCCCCTTCCCCTTGGCAGCCTTCCTCGCAGCTTTTTTCTCCTTCCTCCTCCTCTTCTTCTCCGCCCTCATCTCCTTCTTACTCATCCCCTTCATATCCCCATCGTCATATGAATCAACATGCTCCCCCCTCACCCGCTTCAACAACCAGTAGTTATATATGAAGAACAGTCCCAAGCTGATGGCCAGTTCGACGGCTTCGACGACGGCCGTGGTAACGGCTTGCGGACCCCATTCCCCTGCTTGTTGGGTGTAGACTGCTGTTATGGTTGCTATCAGGCCTGCGATGCAGGTCAGGGTCAGGGGCATGTAGAGCTTGTTGAGCAGCCAGACATAGTTTCGCCGCCAGCGGAGACCGAGCCAGGCGGAGCCGAAGGTCCCGGCTAGAAGGCAGAGGAAACCGATTACCAGCGCGGCTGTGTTGGCTGGTGTTAGTGAGAGTTTCCCACCCCCGGTTGCTGCTTTGTTACCACCGGTGGAGGTGGAGGAGCTGCCGGTGCCGCCAATGGGGATTTGCACGGTGGCGTTGTCTTCTTTGCGTTTGGTGCTGGTGAAGGACCCGGGGAGGATGATGAACCCCGCGAGGAGGATCCAAACGAAGAAGGAGACGAGGATGTTGTGGAGACGGGGGATGCGGTCCAGGGAGAGGAGCATGTTCATGTAGGGGGTTTGGCCTTCGCTGGGGGGCTCGTTGTTGGGGTAGTAGGGCTTTTCGTCGGTGCGGGTGCGGGCGGGGGGTGGAGGTTGTTTGGTGCTAGGTTGGTTGAAGGTTGAAGTTTGTTGTTGTCTGTAGGGTTGTTGTTGTTGTTGTTGGGATGGGACCGCCTGGGCCTGGTTGTAGCCACCTCCGCCGACGGGGTTCCCGTAGGTCCCGGCTGTGTTCCCCCGCTGTGTAGCCGCGGCACCGTTCAGCGGACGACTACTGCTTGTGGCGGTAGCCGAACTCCCCATCGAGTCGTTCGAGTCGAGGGAGCTCGAAGGCGCATGTCCGAAGCCGGGCTTGCCCGCTGCCGTCCTTTGTGTCCCGCGTGCTGCAGGAGGGGGCGGGCTGACGGCGCTAGGCCGGTAGACAGACTGGGCGCCGGTTTGACCCAGTGGTTTCCCCTGTAGCTGGTCTTGCTGCTGCTGGGTGTAGGCGTCGGCGGCAGCTTGGCCAAACGGATCGTCGTAGGTTGCGACGTTGCCCATTTGCTGCGGTTGTTGGGAGTCGCCTTGGAGAGGCCGGAAAGGGTTTTTAGAGCCCTTGGCGCCGGCCTGTCCCGCCTTGGACTGTGTCCCGGCAGGAAAGGCAGGAAACCCGCCAAGAGGCGGAGTCTTTTGCATGGCCGTCCGAGGTGGTGAGCCCAGGGGTTTCCGCGTAAAAGGGCCGCTTCCGGTGCCGCTGCCGCTGGGTATAGCCTGGGCTGATGTGGCCTGGGATGTTGCAGACATGGGATCGAGACGGAACGGGTTCGCCTTGGTAGCCTTAGCCCCGGGCGTCTTGGTATCCAGCGGCGCTGGGTTGAAGGGGTCAACGGGATCGACCGCGCCAGCGGCTGCTTTGCCTGCCTTGCCCGGCTTGCCCCCGGCCGCTTTGGGGTCCAATGAGGCTAGATTGAAGGGATCAACGTAACCAACTGAGCCAGTGGTTACCTTGGTTTTATTTCCCTTGGTCGATGACTTGGGCTGTGTATCCAACGCGGATTTGCCCCCGGCTGTCTTGGAATCAAGTAGAGCTTGCTGAAAGGGATCAAAGGGCTCAACCACGTTAGCGGAAGTATTGGCTGCCTTGGCTTTACCTCCCTTGGTCGATGATTTCACCGGTGTATCCAAGGTAGCCTTGGCCCCGGCCATCTTGGTGTCGAGAGGGGCCGGGTTAAAGGGATCAACGGGGTCAACCGCGCCAGCGAGACCCCTGGCCTTGCCCGCCTTGCCCCCGGCTGTCTTAGTATCAAGCGGAGCTGGGTTAAACGGATCAACCGGGTCAACCACACCAGCAGCTGCCTTGCCCGCCTTCCCCCCCCTAGTCGATGACTTCACAGGTGTGTCCAGCGTCGCACCGCCCGCAGCCGTACCCACAGCCTTCCTCCCCACCTTACCCTCCAGCTTCGTATCCAGCTTCAAATCCGTCTGCCCAGCAGCAGCCGTAGCCGCGCCATTCCCCGGCGGCTTGAACGTAGCATTCGCCAACCGCAACGGCTGTGTCTGCGGCAGATCCTGATCCGGCACATCAGCAATAGTGACTTTCTTCTTCCCCGCCGAGCGTGACGACGGCGTCGGCAGAGACCCCGAGGGTGCAGGGCCGGGCTGCTCGGGTAAGTCGGACAGCTTTTGAGCGCCTCCTGCTGCACCACCAACCGCGGACTTGTCGGTCTTTTGTCCGCCTAGACGTAGGGGTTTGGGCATGGAGGGGTCTGGGAATGTGGTGGGGGGGACTTCTTTGGTGGGAGCGACGGCTGAGCGCGGGAGGGAGGCACTGGAGGGTAGGTCTTTCATTGAGAGTGGGGGGAGTTGTTGTGGTTTGGCGGGTTTCTTGGTGGTGGACGGCAGGTCCATCATGATGGGGATCTCATCTTCGATGATGGGGAATCGGGAGGCGGCGGTTGTCGTCTTTTTCTTTTTCTCCGAGGGGAGGCCCCTAGCTGGAGGGGGTGGTGGTACTTCTGATGATGATGCTGCTGCTGCTGTCTGGGCGGCCTTCTTGGATGTTGAGGCCGTGTTGAGTGGTGGAGGGACGTCGGTGTCTTGTCCGCGTTGTTGTTTCTTCTTACCGGTGGCCGTGGACGTAGACGCAGAGGCGGACGCAGCAGCCGTGTCTTTTGCAAGCGGCCATGATGAATCCACCGTCTGCTTCTTGGCTGGTGCCACTCGGCTGGGCAGTCCCCCGAGAGGATTGGGTACCCCCGAGGAGCTCATGATGGGCAGGTGGGCTCTCCCTGCCTGCTCGCCGGAGTCAACGACGCCAGCGTTGTCAGTGGTTCAAGCCTCACGAAATATGAGTCCCGTGTTGAAAGAACGGGATACACAAAAGTGTGTGAGGAAGGGATGGATGGGCAATCAACGAGGCCAAGCAGAGAGAAAATCGGCAGTAGAACCAGTAAAAGGAGCCCGCGTGCTGGATATATTCCAGCTGGACGGACTTCGCGGAGCCATTGCTGTCGAAACGACCCAGCCGACCCGGGATGCGGGCAATCCGTTGTTTTAAGCAGCCATCTTCCGCAGCCCGGCCGGAAACACGGGCTCCCAAGCGTGTCATAAACACGAGGATACCAACCGGCGAACCACTCAACGTAGACAATACCGAGCTGTTGGGAGCCTACGGGGGCCACGCTCACGGTCACGGTCACACACACTCGGGGTCACGTTGAAGGTCTGGTCGAGACCGAAGGCTGCAAAGCCCCCCGACGGCCGACGGAAAAGCTTAGCTCTACTGTACATGATGCGTCATGGTGCGAGGTGTTGAGATCGGAGTGAGCGGAGCGAGGAGCCAGGAGTGGCCGTCGCGAGACCGTTAACCAGGTGCCGAAACATCGAGAAGCGCACCGATTCGGTTATTTGAGTCTACAACACGCACAACTCGAAGGCGGCACAGAGCCCGTCAGCCGCGATGGGGCCCGATCCTGGGGCCGGCCCGTGTTGGGCGTGTCGGCCCAGCGCAGACCCGGCTCTGAAACGGGGATCGGTGAGTTGGTGTGCCAGTTGCGGTTTCTGGAGGTATAAGTAAGACGCAGTGCCGTCGTATTCCAAATGGCGAGAGTCCTTGTGTTGTCGGGAAGATCTGCAGGGTAAGTAAGCTATGTATGTATTGTGGAGGTGAGATTTGCACTGTTATGGAATACGGATTACACCAGAATAACGGTAAGAATAGTCGATTTGGATTGTGGCAGAAGCGCTATTGTGGGCTGCATCAATGAATCGATCAATCGAGTCAATTGATGCAATTGGACTCCCTCAGCGCTCGTGCTGGAATGCAGGTCTATGGTTTGCGGTCGACTTGAATGCTGCAACAATGGCAAGCGCAATCAAGGCAAGTGCAAGTGCACAATCGAGGCTTCCTTCAGTGCACATGCAAGCAGAGAACCTGGAACAAACCGTCAACACGCAGACCCCACTTCCGCGTCTGCCAATCACAGCCCGCGGCTTTCCCGCCAACGTTGGGGAAGGCGGGTCCGAGGAAGACAGTCTTCCCTCTCAGCCAATTAGAGAGCCCATTCCGATAGCGGTCAAAATTTGGGTTCTCCCAGGACGTCTCCGCACCGCCAATCGCGAACTGGGTGAGACTTTTACACAGGACACCCGATTCGCAGCGAACGTCTCTTTTTTTTGCGAGGAGAAAGACCCCCCCAGCGACCCAGTAAACTTGCAGCCAGTGAAGCGAGCTATCCAGTCCGGAAGTTTGCAGTTCGGGTCCCCCAGTAACTGCCGTTCCAGCCGTCCCGTAGCGCGCAAACCGTGAAGTGAGGTCAGGTCAGGTCCGTCGATTCGAGATCTCCGACCGAACCTGGAAACCCAGCAACCCAGCCCCGGCTAACGTTTCCATCCGTTTTTTTCGGGACCATCTTTTTTTTTTTTTGACTGCTCCTCCCACGCCACAACAATACATCCAAGCGCAACATCCGCATACACCCCCCCTCTTCCGTGCACGCACGCCCACCCCCTTCAACACTTTGACGAAGGAGCTTGTTGTTGTGTTGTTGCTGCATGTGTCGCAACACCGCCGCAAGCGATGACTTCGTCGTCGATGCTCGACTCCGCGGGCGTCGGCCGCGACGAGTCGCCGGCGCCACCCGCTTTTTCACCACTGACGGATGCCGAGCCCATGACGGCAGCGGCCACTCCAAGGCAGAGCCAGAATCACGACGACGAGGTCGACGGCGACGATGTTGACCGTGGGAACACAAAGGGCGCGACGGCCAATGGCGATCCGGCCCAGCCCTTGACAGCAGGGACTGCGACAGCGACAACAACCTCGACAACAACAGCGACGAACTCGATGAACCCGACTGCCACGGCAGCAGAGCCCACAACACCAGCAACCCCAGCGCCGTTGCCCCCGCGACTGGGCGCACATACGAATCTCAATACAAACCCAAATCCAAATCACACAGGCGACCCCATGGACATGGACCTCCCAATGGACCACTACGCCAGCAGCCCGGCGATCGACATCTACTCGCCTTACACACAGCAACACTCGTCGCAGCTACTAATGGCCCTCGCCAGACTCTCGGCCGCAGCATCACAGTCGCAAATGATGGCGCTGCCCCCCTCGACCGTTCGGCCCTCGCAAGTCTCGCTCCCCCCACACTCGGTCCACGACGACCACCACCCCGACGACGGCGGGTTCGCCCCACACCACCACACCACCCACGCCGCGACAGGTACTAGCAATAACAATCACGGCCTTCACGGACACCACAGCGGCGGCGGGGGCGGCCCGCACGGCACCGACGCGCCGCTCGAATCGTTTGCGCGAATAGAATTCGCCGACAGCGTGTTCCAGATGACGACGTACGCGGTAGTGATCGGGCGCGACCAGCGGGCGCTGGACCAGGCGCGGCGAGACGAGCGCCGGCTGGAAGAGTACAATCGGCGGGTGCGCGAGCACGAGGAACGTGGTTTGCCTGCACCGTCGCCGCCCACGCAGGACCGCAAGTTCACCAAGTCGTATGTTAGTGAGGAGGGAGGGATGTTAGGGCCTGAGTCGGATGGGGATGATAACCCGCGCCCGGCGAAGAGGAGGAAGACTAGTGGGGGGAGTGGCTCGCGGTCGGCTGAACCTGCGATGGCTACTGCTGGTGGGAGTGGTAGTGCTGGGAGTAATGGTAATTATGGAGGAGGTGGTGGTGGTAATGGTGGTTATGGAGCTGGTAATGGTGATGGTGAACAAAACAGCGCCGAAGACAAAAACCCAACCTTCAACCGACAATACGTATCGCACACCCCTGGCGCAGCAGCCGTCAACCTCAGCGCACTCCGCACATCCCCGCACTACGTCCCCTTCATCGGCATCCACTCCCCCGGGCCCTACATCGCGTCGCGCACGAAAGCCATCTCGCGCGAGCACCTCAAGATCGAGTTCAACCAGAAATCTGGCGTGTTCGAGGCCATCCCGCTGCACAAGAACGGCTTCTTCTGCGAGGACGTGCACCACAAGGATGAGAAGGTCGTGCTCAAGAGCGGCGTGCGGTTGCAGATCAAGGATGTAGATTTTGTGTTTGTTATCAACGGCGTGCCGCATGGCAAGACGGGCGCTGAGGATCACTTGCAGGAGGAGAATGTCAAAGGAAGGGTGCCTGGGCGACGGTACTCGGAGGGCGGCAAGGAGATGAGTTTCGATTTTGAGAGTTCGCATGATCCCGAGAGACGGAGTACCAGCCCGGAGGATGCGTTGGAGGGTGGGAAGGGGATTAAGGAGGATAGTGATAGTGAGCTGTCGGATCCGGGCGAGGATATGGTGGATCCTGATGCGGATGAGGATGAGGATGGGGAGGAGGACGAGGAGGGGGAGCAGACGCCGGAGCAGGATGTGATGGAGACGATTGAGAAGGAGGATGGGGAGATGGGTGCTGCTAGTGGGGGTATTGCGGGTGCTGGTTCCGGGGTCTCTACGGCCAATATCAAGCCTGAGATGTCGCTTGAGTTGCTGGCGAGTCTCGGCCCGATCGTCCCCAAGAAACGAGGCCCCGGACGCCCTCCAAAGAACGGGATCATGTCGAAGCGGGAAGAACGGCTGCGCAAGAAAGCGGCCATGGAGCTGGCCAAAAAGAACATGCCGCAACCACCCCCCGGCGAACCACCGATCAAGCGGAAAGTCGGCCGGCCACGCAAGCACCCACTCCCCGAGAACGCGGCCGACCGGCCGGAGAAGCGCAAGTACAAGCCGCGCAAGTCCAAGACGGGCGGGCCGGACGGAGGACCAGGCGGCGAAAACGGCGAAGGGTCCGACCTGGAGAAGACGATCAAGGAGCGCCGGCGCGAAAAGCCCAAGACCCCGCCGCTCGAGCTGCGGCGCGAGGACTACACCGAGGAACAGCTGCAGAAACCGCCCAAGAACTATGGCATGCTCATCGACGAGGTGTTGACCGCGGCGCCCGATGGGTTGACGCTGAAGCAGATCTACAAGCGCATCCAGATGAAGTATCCGTTTTATTACTTCACTGTTGATACCAAAGGGTGGGAGAGTAGTGTAAGACATAACCTGATTGGGAATGACGCGTTCCGGAAGAACGAGGAAACACACCTATGGAGCCGCGTGCCGGGGATTGATATCGATGCGGGGAAGAAGCGCACTACCACGGCTACTGCGGCAACAAAAGCTACCTCACCGGACCAGCACCATCTTCATCATGCTGCATCTATGCACACTTTTGGTGGGCAGCAACAGCATTGCTCGAGCTCGGCCACGCCAGCGCCGGGTATGTTCCACTCCGACGTCGGGCTGCAGCAGCAGGGGGGGTATCATCGGGCTGGGTCGGGAGCTCAACAACGTCCGGGGTATCCTCCTCCTGGTCATGGTCAGCCGGGTGGTCAACAACAGCTTGGTCAACAGCATGCTCCGGGGCAGCAGCTCGGTCATCCGCAACAGCAGCCTCCACGGCCGTATGGGATGCCGGGGCAAGCACAAGGGGGGCAGCCTGGACATGGCAATCAGGGGAACGCTACGGGCACGGGGTATCCTTCGCCGTATACCGCGCGCGGTCCACAGAATGCGGCTGCTGGACAGTCTGGCGCCGGTCATCCCCCAGGTGCGGTCCGCCCGGGTGCTCCGACCCATCCGCAGGGTCCCGCGAACGGTATGGCTCGTCCAGGTGGCCCTTCAAACCAACAAACCACACCAGGCGGAACCCGACCTCCCCAACCCACTGCCAACGGTCACACTCACGGCGCTCACGGCGCTCACGGCCACGCCCACACCTACCCCCCACCTCCCTCCCTAGTCCTCAAACCCGCCGTCGCCCCCGAACTCGTCAAACACGTAGCCAACTTCAAAACCACCGTAACCGAACAACTCCAAAAACGCACCCCCTTCGCCGAAGCCGTCGCCATGTCCGTCATCAACCGCGGCCTCCTCCTCACCGTCGACAGCACCGCGGGACCAGACGAAGAATCCCTCGAGAAAATCGTCCTCGGCGTCTTCCAGTCCTCCCGCGAGAAACTCGGCCCCGCCAATGGGTCCCTCCACCCGGGGCTAGTTCAGACATTGGGGAATTTTAAGGGGAATATGATTAAGACGCTCGAGCCGAAGATGGGGAAGTTGAATGCGGAACGGTTGATTTTGAGTGCCGTCGATCGGGTGTTGGGGTTTGCGGCGCATAGTACGATGCCCGGGGGGGAGAATGAGAGGAGGCAGTATGAGGAGGCGGAGAATGTGTTGATTCCGGCTATTCAGAGGGTTGTGACGGAGCATCAGAGGGGGGTTGCGTTGGCGTTGGTGCAGGGCAGCTCTAAGCCGGCGCCGGGTCCTCAGGGCGGTTCGCAGGGTGGTGTGGGTGGGTATAACCCGGCAGCTGGGGGCCAAAATCAGGGTCAGGCTGGGAAACAACCGGTGGGCTCCTCAGCGGCTGCACCCGGGCCTGCTCGTCCATCGGGTGTGCCGGCTGGGCAGGTTAAGCCAAGCCAACCGGTGCCTGCTCAACAGCAGCAGCAGCAGCAGCCTCGACCAGCTGCTCCGGGTTTGGGTCCAACTGGAGGTTTGGCTCAGGGACAGGGACAAGCAGGACACCCTCCAGCCACCGCTCCAGCAACCGCAGCAACTCCTCCAACAACCCAATCAAGACCTCAAGCCCCCGGCCAAGCGCCCGCAGCACCTTCCACATCTTCAGCAGCGCCAGCCCGATCGTTGGGTTCTGCTCAAACCGCAGCCGTTGGTCAAAACCCTCAGGCTGTTGGTCAAAGTCAGCAGATCCCCGGGCAAAATCCCCAGACCCCTGGACAAGTCGCTGGACAAACCGCTGGACAAGGTCCTGTGCGAGGTCCCGGCCAAGGCGTGGCTCATATCCAACCTGTCCAACCTCAGTCGCCTGCTCATGCTCTGGCGCAGGCGCAAGCGAGAGCTCAGGCACAGGCTCAGGCTCAGGCTCAGGCTCAAGCTCAGGCTCAAGCCCAATTTCATGCGCAGGTCAAGGGGCAGGGTCAGGCATCGCAGGGACAGGCAGCAACTCAAGTTCAAGCAGCAGGGCTGGGCCAACCGCAGACCCAAGGCCAGGGACTGGCGACAGGGCAAGCTCAGGGACAAGGGCAGACAACAGGTCAGGGGCAAGGTCAACAGCAGACTCAGGGCCAGATTCAAGGGCAGACTCAAGGGCAGACACAGGCACCCCAAGGACAGGCACCAACCCAAATCCACGGACAAGCGACTCAAGGACAAGTTCAAGGGCAGACACAGGTTCCGATTCCAGGGCAAGTGCAACCTCACGCCCAAGGACAAGCACAAACGACCGGGAAGGCCATACAGAATGGGCAGAATGGGCAGAACGGGCAGGGGCAAGTCCAAAAACCGACTCACCCGTCTGTTCCTAGTGCCGTGTCGGGCTCCGGGACGGGTACGACTCCGACTCCGACTTTGACTCCGGGTTCAGCTCCGATCCAAATCCCCGCCGCAAATCAGACTCCGGCTCAAGCTACTACGCAATCTAGTGTACAGAGTAGCGGGCAGACAACCCGGCAAACTCCAGCTCCGACTCAGAGTCCGGGTCTAGCTCAGACCGGGACTCCTCAGACCGGGACTCCTCAGACCGGGACTCCTCAGACCGGGACTCCCCAGGTTCAGATACAGCAGTCAACCGACCAGAGCAGCGAGAAACAGGCTACGTCATCTACCCAAGCAGCGCCCCAGCCTCAGGGGACAACTTTGCAAACACAGCAACCGCCGCTAAGCGGTCAGCCCTCGCTTCCAGTGAAACCATCAGGTCCTGCCGTTTTGGGTCCGTCTGCTGCAGGTGCCCCGGCTTCTTCTGCTGCCTTAGCAGCTCGGACTGGAAATCCCGCTACTACCAGCTCGGCTGCCGCTCCTACGACGGCTCAAACGCCTGCTTCGATACCAGCACCTGCTTCGACATCAGTAGCTCCAACAGCAGCTGCAACAGAAGCCCCGGCTGAGAAACCGACCGCGCCCGCGGCAGCCCCTGCGGTCGCTCAGCAGCTGACTTAAGTGGGTTGTCAGTTACCCGGTTGCTGACGTTACTCGGTTTCAAGGTTTCTCGGGTTGCTCAGTTTCAAGGCTTGCAGGCGTGGGTTGTTGTGTCAGTTTCAAGTTGTCGGTTATTAGTTGCCGATTATTAGTCGTCGGTCGACTCGCTTGTCGGGTTGTTGGCTTGTCAGGCCATCAATTTTTGTTGGGTCATCAGTTGTCAGTTGCTAATTTTGCGATGCCAGCTTGCTCGTCTATCAGGTTTTTGGTTGTCAACTGCCAGCTACCGATTACCACCTGTCGATTGTCAGTTACCATTGCCAGTTGTCAGTTATCAGATGTCCGGTCACCATTTGCCGGTTCGCTCAATTGTTAGTTACGAAATGTAATTTTCCCACAATCCCATCATAAAACACCCGAGTCCATGTGATTGGTCCAAGAGCGGCTAAAGGACCCCTCATCATCTCAGCTCGAGTCCATTTTATTTCTTCGTCACCATTTGCGTTGTAGACTTGCAAACAAAACGTGCCATAATTAACGACTGAACAGACGCCTCGGGGTCTGTTCTCTGTTAGGACCGTCAACGCCAGTTCCTCGCCAGCATGTCGATACAAGTCATCTCAGACTTACACCTCGAAGCTCCCAAGGCGTACGAGCTTCATCATCACTCTCTGTATCCTCTCCACCCACCCCAAGAGCATCCTTCAACTCCAACATCCACAGCCGTATCGGCTTCCCACCCCGCTGTAGTTCAGCATAAGAAGTCCGCAAAGGCTCAGGAAGCAAGTCAGCATCCAAAAAGCCGTCCGCATCAACATACAACTGCATGTACGCAATCATAGCAATCCCAAACGAACCCACCCGTTTTCCCTGATCCCGTGCGTAGAGCCGCATGTACGCCTCCAAGAGGGTATGAGACTTGAGGGCGATGACCGCATCACCGTCCGACTCAAACACGCCAGCGCCTCTCCCAGGCCGCCAGGGCGGGAACACTTGCCGGTCAGAGGCCAGGGCGAGATTGGAGGGTAGTAGATCGGCAGCATCGGCATCACTGTTGCGGTTGGGCAACAGGAGTGTGTGGTCCAGCTGGGGGAGGAACCATAGCGTGTCGGATTGAAAATAGAGACCGGCGGTGATTTCGAGGTCGTCGTCGAGGTGGGCGTGGTGTGCTGGGAGTTGTGTGTGCCGTTCTTTGGAGGTTGCGAAGCAGGAGAGCGGATCTGGGCATGGGACGAGGCCGGGACATGAAGAGAGGGCTTGAGTGCTTGCTGAGAGGGAGTGGTCGGGGATGACAAAATCGACGGACTAGCATCGGGTCAGTTGGGATCTGCGTTACACTAGCTACATTCCTGTGTCCCCCTTCTCCTCCATGGTCTATTCCATAGTCTATTTTTCTTTTTTATTAACTAACCTACACCGATGATGGACGGCACGCCGTGAAGACCAAGCAGACAGTGGCCCCACAAGACGCAGGGGACTCCAGCAGTATTACGAGCGCGGGCGACCGATGCCACGAACGATTGTGAAAGAGTCGACAGGTTTGACCTTTTGAAGGTGTCGCAAAATCCAGAGCGGGGAAAGTTTACAATAGCTGGTCGAGGGAGGAAAATCAAAACATTGAAAATGAAAAGAAAGCAGGGTCGCTGGCGGATGGCCGACGAAGGCACCCACGCTGCCCAGGCCGCTCATAGAATATGCATCTATCTGTTTCAGATTTTGGTCTACTCAACTTGGCTGAACAACAATCAATGTTCTTGCGTGCAACCTTGAACCAACACCACCACCCACCGCCCACAATCCGTCAAGCACCCAAGCAAGCCAGCGTCATCGTATCTATTCTCGCTCATCGCTCAGTACCCATCACTTTACCGCCGAAATGGCAACGTCCTCCTTTCACCTCTTCCCTGCTCTACCGCCTGAACTTCGCTTCCAGATTTGGGAATCCGCGTTCTCGATTCCAGCTGTCTGGGCCGGAATTCTTTTCCGCCCCACAAGAGAGGATGAGATCAGCTTGAAGGCACGCGCGTTTACAGCCATGGCTTTTGTTGGCCCCGCTCCATCTTTGGCCGGCATCTCCTGTCAAGAAGCCTAGCGCTTGCTGAAACGATGCTATAAGAAACCCATTCATGGCCCATTTAGTCTAACAGGAGAGAAGGGGAAGGCACACTGGGTGAACCTGAGCCACACCGTCGTGTCTTTCTGGAACCCACTTCTTATCGACTACGTGCTGGCGAACCTCGATGCCGATACAATATCCAGGTTTAAGCATGCTGCCATCACCTGGCATATCCACCAGATTGGCCCCCTCGCTGAAGCATGCCAGCGCTTAGCGACTGTCTGCCCCGATCTCAACACCATCATCATCCAATGGTGGGGGTTGAAGGCGCTCCCCGACGGGCCCAACCGGAAAGATGCCGTTGAAAATCGACCACCACCATATCCGTTGAACCCAGAGACAGCCGCCCACTTCGCTGAGATTTCGGTTTATACCGGGCATGAATTGGACTGCCCAGAGATCGACATGCCGTATCTTCGCTCACAGCTGTTGCAGTATTTCGGCGCCTACCCCCCAAAGCTGCATTTGGTGACCACGAAACTGAGCCGGCGGTTGCCTTAGGTGATTGTTGGTTCCAAGTTGGAGGTTTCCCGACGAATGAGCCTCGCCAGAAAGTCTGCGGCCTCGTTGGGTAGCCATGAGCGACTGGATAGAGGGCATGAGAAACGTCAAGCAGTCTGCCGCGGCTGAGGTCATCGGCATCATGTCGAAGATTCCCGAGTACTCTGACGCCAGCATTGCTGTGATCGGCGGACTGGCTCTCTAGAAATATGTCCAAGCCGGCAGGGCCACACAAGTATGCAGACCATGTATTTTTTGGGTCGACGAGTATTCAAACATTCTGCTGACAGCGCTGATTTCCAGGACGTCGATTTCATCATCAGCATTGCTAGCGCTCCCCATAGTGTCAAGAACAAACTCCTGTCCTTTCCCAAGTCTCCGTTCTTCCAACAAGCCCAGTTTTTCTTCTACAAGGATAGAGGGGGAAACTACATCCAAATCGACATTACTCCGGTGTGGCAGGTCCGTCAGCCCTTCTTCCCCCTTCATAACCTCGCCTGGTATCCCCGTTTCCCACACCAGTGTACAAGATACAACAAAAACGCAGCCACCCAAACAAAGAAAGTGAAAGCCACCCCAATCGCTAACCCGTTCCGTTATTACATAGTCCCCCTACCTTCCAATCTCCGCCAAGAAGCTGAACACTATCCCACCGGGGTCGGTGCCATATATCTCCCCCGTCGATCTTCTGGTGGCGTTTATTTCTAAGCCTGAGCAGTGGTGGAGACAGAAGCTGGGTCTCTAGACTCTCGGCCTGATGGATCTCCGCGCTCCGCACGTACAGCATTGCAGACGATTCCCGAGTTTTTTTGACGAGGTGTAAGAATAGCGGTGGTTGGTGTGCTAAACAGGACGATGGGGGGGGTAATACCGCGGTCAAGTGAGGAGGTGTTTATTGCTGTTTCGGGTTGATAGCAGCTGGTGGAAACATCTGTGCTTTTACCATAATTATATGAGGTGTTGTATGATGTATACTTATAAGTTACTGAGTGAGCCGGCAGAGAAACCGCTGATAACTGACAGCTGATGGTAAGCAACTGCAACTAGTAACTGCAACTGGCGATTTACAATGCAAAACGGGCACTCAGCACTAATTATCGCTAGTTAGTAACTAGTACATTACCCGTTGCGGTCACTTACAGACCACAATGCGGATTTGTTTAGTAATCCACCACGAAACAACAAGAAACCTAAAACGACCAGATTGCGAAACAGGAAAAGGCCCTTATAGCCGACTTATTTCAGGAACTCAGACCAATGTGTGACGTTAGTGCGCGTTGTCCTCGCTATTTTCCGTCCATTTAATTTTGCTCGTTGCATTCTTTACTTTCGCGTGTAAGTCATCGAAGCAGTCCCCGCTCCACTAGCTCCGCGCTTATATACGGGACTCGCAACGTCATCTCATCTCCCTCACTGACACACATACACCCACCAACACCGAGTCACCGACTGACACCAAAAGCATACACAAAAGCCAATCCCAGTCACAAGAAATAAATACTAAGGACAAACACAATGACACCCCCCAACACCCCGCCCGTGATCCTCTACCACTACCCCTACTCGCCCTATGCCCGGCGCGTGGTGTGGTATCTTCGGCTACGCGGGATTTCCTACATGCAGTGTGTAAGTCTTCATTCAGTGCCTGATGTTTCCCCCAATTCCTTGTGTACCGTTTTTTCACCCATACCCTCACTTCATACGATCTGTTCCCCGTGATATTTCTACTACCTCATTCAACAGTTTACGTACTCCCCAATCCCCTCACTTACGCACCCACGCTCTCATCCCTTCCCTTACATACTTACACACCCTAACAGCTCCAACCCCCTACGCTCCCCCGCCCCGATCTCTCCACCCACCTGGCCCTCGCCTACCGCCGCATCCCCCTCCTCGCCATCGGCCGCGACCTGTACCTCGACACGCGCCTGATCCTGCGCAAGCTGGAGGCCTTGTGGCCGGGGTCTCCGACGTCTCAAGAGACACCACCTTCACTCCCAAAGTCACTGCCATCTACAAATATTCTACCACGTGACAAGAGCACCGGCCACGGACAACCTCTCGGCGCACCCCCCGGAACAGACGCCCTAGCCCTGCAGCGCCTTCTCTCCGTCCTGACGACGTCTACTGACCTCTTCTTCCGCGCTGCTGCGTTGTTGCCTGCTGAGACGCTGCCGCTGCTGCGGGACCCAAAGTTTCAGCGGGATCGGCGGGATTTTTTTGGTGGTGGTGGTGGTAGTGGTAGTAGTACCGATGGACAGGACGCTAGGGGGGTTGTTATGGATGATTCCTCCTCATCACCGTCAACAGGAAAAGAAGAGGACCAGACAAAAACCCTCGAAGCAGCAGCCACAAAAGCCGAAGCCCTCCGCGAAATCCACAACACCATGTCTTTCCTCGAGGACACGTTACTCGCCGACGGACGGCCGTGGATTCTCTCCTCCCCTCCAGCGTCATCATCCCTCTCCTCCCCATATTCATCCCCCTCATCCCCATCAGACAACGATACCAGCCACCCCACACTAGCAGACATAGAAGCAATCTGGATCATCCACTGGCTTCTCGGCCTGCCCGGCGCGCTATACGACCCAACTTATATCCACCGCGGTCGGTTTCCCCGCGTGTATGTATGGGTCGACCGGTTCCAGGCTGCTGTGACTCGGGCGAAGGAGAATGTGATTGTGCGGGATATTAGTGGGGAGGAGGCGGGGGGGTTTTTGAAGGGGCAGGCTTGTATCTCAACAGACACAGAACCCGGCCCGGGGACAGAAACAGGAACTGGTCCGGGGACAGCGTACTTTGAACCCGAACCCACCATCGACGAAACAGACCCCCTCGTCAAGGTCTACCGTCTTCAAAGGGGTACTCCCATCGAGGTATGGCCGACTGATTCTGGTGTGCGGCATCGTGATCACGGTCGGCTGGTGGGGATTGGATCGGAGGAGGTGGTTTGGGAGACTGAGGCGGGTGTGAGGGTGCATGCGCCGCGGCATGGGTTTCGTGTTGGGTTGTGGCGGGAGGCGAGTTTGTAATTGTACATAGATGGGTGAGTGAGTAGGTGGGTGGCGAGGTAGGTAGGGAGGTAGTGGGTGTGTTGGACTGGTGTGGAGGATGGAGTATGCTTCGGGTTATTTGGTGAGGAGGGTGACTCGGCCTGGGCTTCGTACTCGGTATTGAAAAAATCATAAATGCAACCCATCAACACCCATGTTCCATATCACCAAATCTCTAAGCACCTCCAATTCCCAGGCTCTCTCCTCCAATTCAAAGAAATGAAAAGCAAAAGCTCACCACCAAGCCCTATTCCCATCCGGAGGAATAGAGGTTGGCGGTTACGAAAAACCGGTGTTTTTCTTCGCTGGCCTGGGAATCGAACCCGGGACCATTTCGGTTTACGACGGAATTGGCGGGGCCAGCGCCCCTCCCAATACCGCTACGCTAAACACGTTGTTTGGCGAATTGGGAGGAGATGGTGACAGGAGCAGCGAGAAGGGGGGTTATAATTATACTGGGGCGGAGGGAAGGTGCGACACGGCGGGACTGTGTTAGATAATCAAAGTTTGACGTTTTGTCCCGACTGATTAACATAATTAGTTAGGGCTTGCTTAGTACACTGGTTTTCCAGACGCCATTTGGAAAAATTGAATTCTTTTTTAAAACAACCTCAGGGCACTTTGGTTACTAGGTTGACCGCCTAGACGATGGCAGCATTCGAACTTGCTGATCAAATTACTTGCTGCCTCTCCTTTAGATTTTAGAACAAACTTGATAATGAATTGCCAGCAGCCGCAGTTGGAGTCTCGACTGTCGGATGGATCGATGCTCGCCGCCCATTAGGTAATTCACTTTCGAACTCTCCGATTCGAAGTCACAGAGTATCCCGTTTCGTTCACGGAGCACATCAGTATCACAACGAGCAGATTTTGGGCCACCACGACCCCTTTCTACAGCTTGAAAAGCCTTGAATTTCTAGTTTCGACAACTAAAAGCCCTCCTCAACAAGGAACCCCTATTTCGGGACCAGCCCAGTTCCTCCGTTCTTAGCTACCTCAGGCAAGGTAGATAGCCATCACACCGCCCCTCTATCTGCTCCCGCCGCCACCGCCACCGCGGCGCCGTCTCTGCTGCCTCTGTGACCAGGTCCTGTACTTCAAACACGTGACATGCTGAGTGACGAGGAACTGGGCCTTGCCGTCGGCGCCGACAACATAGAACTTGACGGTGGCGTGGTTCCGGCGGTCTGAGACGCTGGAATGGCCGCAGTTTCTGTTTGAGTGAGGTCGTCAGTGTCTCTCTTTCTCTCTATATGTGCGTGTGTGTCTCTGCCGGTCGATGTCAGATCTGGGATAACCCAAGGACACTACTCACTGAACGATGGCCGCCACACAGCTGGCGAGGCCGTGATTATCAGGATCTTCCTCAGCAAACGCTAGGACCCTGTCCTTGAGGTAGGATCGATACCCGTCGTTGTTGGGGACTTGATCGTCCAGGAAGCGGATGCGTGAACGTTGGATAGGCATGATTGCTTTCTTGAGAATACAATGTGTGTTGGGTTTCAAAAAGGGATGAGGAAAAAGGGGTAGGCGAAGTAGTCGATATGCGAATGGAGTCCAGGACAGATTGGTGGTCAACGGGGGTTCACGCCAGTGTTCTTATACGCTACCTGTGTCCGCAACATCCTCCCCCGGCCCCCAAACATCCTCCCCTACCGTCCTAACATCGTCTCGTAGCATCCCAACATAGTCTCCTGGCCCGGCCACGGAGGCGGGCTATACCCATCGCGATCGCGGCCGGAACGTTGACGGCCCTGACCTGAGACGTTACCGGCGCTAGGCGATATGAGCTAGTTGCCCAAAATACCTCAGGTCCTCAGCCTCTCAGGGTCCACCGTTTACCGTTTACGGTTTACCATTTGGCGGTTCAGTAACTTCAGACTTAGTCTTCAGTTAGGATGGGCGGTTTGTGTTGCATCTATTGGATAGTAGCCGATGAGGGATGAATCATGGGGGAGCGGCCGAGAGGAAAGGCCTCGGTGACGAGTCTTAGTTTAGACGTCAGGGTGTAATAAAAAGCGAACGTAGGTACTAGGTAGGTAGGCAGGGGGAGTCTGGGAGACGGCGGGGCGTAAGCGGCCGGGCTAGTTTGGAGGTTCGAACGGTTAGAAACAGACGAAGGATCTTAGCATAGGTGGCATAGGTGCCTCGCCTCTGGCGCAGTGGGGAACGGAGTTGGCATGCTAGTACCTAGGTATACCGTATGTAAGGATGTAGAGAAAATTGGGCCAATTGAGAAATAACAAATATTGCTCGCAGAGTCGCAAACACCATTACCTAGTAAGTCTTTTCGGGCTGATGACCATCATAATGTCTACATTCAGGCAGTCTCCGTGGCCATATGCCATGTTTGTGAAGTTGCTCGTCTAGGTAAGTACCTAGGCTGCTAGGCACGTGCTAGATTCAAAATGAGAACAGCTGCAACAGGATTACACGGCGATACCCGGGGTCGCGGCCGGGGGCTGGTCACCTTCAGACGCGTCCCGTTACAAGTGCCCCCCTGGAGGCGAGGATAATTACCGCTGTGCCGCCTAACCCCCTTTTTGTGCCGCGTCTCGAGTTATCGTCGTCCTTCAAACATGGAGCTATGTGTTGGTTAGGGGAGTTGGGGCCCAGGTGGCTGTGCAGGTCACGTGCGTCAGGTGGATTTTAGGATCTCTGGGCCTCCCACCAAAACGAGGAAACGAGGTACCTTACGATGTACAACTATATGGGTAGCCAACAAAGGTACCTGAGGTACATACCTTGGCTATATTTGGCCAATATAACCAGTTTGGCCGCCATGTGCCGCCTTTGTGTCGGCCCATCTCCATCATAAAAAGATGAGCCGGCTCTATTTCTTTCCCCGCAACGTTTCAATCTCTTCCCTAGCCGGGCCAGCCCTCTTGTCCTTGTGGTTTCGTCGTTCGTCTTTCAGTAGACTTGGCTTGTGACAATTACTTCCACGGAAGAATCATTCCCGCAGCCATTGCCGTCTCCTCGCAATGGCGTCCTCACCCCCCGTCACACCACCAAACCGCGACCCCGAAGACGAGGACGACTTTCGCTTCCAGACCAACGGTACAGCCTGCGAATGGGGCGAGTCGTACCATCCCGGCGGCTACCACCCCGTCGTCCTAGGTGACACGCTCCAAGACCGCTACCGCATCATCCGGAAACTCGGCTATGGCTCCTTCTCAACCGCCTGGCTCGCCGTCGACCTCCACGCCAACTGCTTCACCGCTCTCAAGATCGCCGTCGCCAACCTCGACACAAAAGCCGCCGACCACGCCGTAGCTCTCTACCGCTCCCTTCCCCCAGACTCATCTCACCACATCGTCGCCCTCCGCGATTCCTTCCACATCCAAGGACCCAACGGAAAACACCTCTGTCTCTCCCTAGACCCCATCGGCCCGCACCTCAGCACCTTACTCAACCACCACGCCCAGGCCGACGGCCCCAACCAACCCCTCGACAACCTCCTAGACCGCCCCCTCCGTTTCCCCACCACCTCCCTCACCCGCCGCGTCTTACGCGACGCCCTCCTCGGCCTCCGCACCCTCCACGCCCACGGCATCGTCCACGGCGACTTCCACCCGGGCAACATCCTCGCCAACATCCCGTCCCTCGGCGCACCTCTGACCGATCCCGCCCTGGAAACCAAACTCCAGCAGCTTCCTAGTCAGGGCAAACCCTTGATACGACGCGACGGGAAGACTGATCTCTGGGCTCCGCCGTATCTTCTTGCGCCTGCACCGCTGCGCAACGAGCAGGTAGAGAAGTCCTTGGGTTTTGGTTTTGATTTTGATCTCAAACCGTTAGTCAAACTCACCGATCTCGGCGGCGCTTTTTTCGAGTCCTCCTCCCCCCCAAAGAAAATCGTCACGCCTGTAGCCCTCCGCGCACCGGAGGTCATCCTCCGCCACAGCAACAATGGCCCGCCTCCTCCCATAGGCAAAGCCATCGACACCTGGGCCTTCGGCTGTCTGATCTTTGAGCTCCTAACCGGCCGTCCACTCTTCATACGGCTGGAAGCCCTCGATGGGGACGGGGACGGGGATGGGGACGATACTGAAGGGAATGAGCAGACGAATGATGAACATCTTATTCAGCTGAGTGAGGTGCTGGGGCCGTTGCCGGCGGGGCTGGCGGGACGGTGGAGAAGGAGGGAGAGGTATTTTGGGCTGGAGGGGGAGAGGTTGAGGGTTAGGGAGGGAGGAGGGGATGGGGGGAGTGAGATGGGTGAGGATGATGATTATGGTGACGATGATGGCGGGGACGATGATATGGGTGATGTGGATGTGGGTTTGGATGAGGCTAAGGATGAGGATAAACATCCTGACCTTGACCTTGATGACCTTGACGACCTTGACGAGGACTATGAGGATGCTGATGAGGCAACATCGCCCATTTCAACATCCTCTTCTTTCTGGCTGGCAGATGTAGAAAAGTTTGCGCCGCTGGAGGATCAGCTGCGGGACAACAAGCCAGATGACATGAGCGACGACGAGGTGGAGGAGGTTGCGAAACTGATACGGTGGATTTTGGACTATGATACGTCTAAACGTCCCTCGGTGGAGGCTATTCTGGAACATCCATGGTTTAAGAGTTTGTAGAAGGGGGTTTTTGTAATTAATTAGCGCCCAGAATTTCATCTACAGCCGCTGTGTTCTGAGAGACAATTCCTGAGGTTCGGCGAGGTGTGAGAATAGCCGTGGTTGGTATGTTGAACAGGGCGATGGGGTGAATAATAGGGTAAATTGGAGGTTTTTACTGTTTTGGGTTGGTGGCAGCCGTTGGACATATCTGTGCTTTGACCACATATGAGGCCTCGTATGATATATTGTGTTTTAGATCTCTAGCCTTCCTCTCCATGATGTAGTTGGGTTTCGAAAGATACTGGGTCATCACCAGCATACCGTTTACATATATGACTTTTATTACCGCCTGAGAGAGCACATAGTAACACCATCTTCGTCGGGAGTGACCAGTGCCCAAGCCCGCCGATATAGCACACATCCATTCACCTACAACTTGCGTTCACAGTTGCACGATCTATCTCTAGTTGACTACAATGTCAGCATCAACTTATCAAATTCCTCTCATATTCATCCCGCGTTGAATATAACAACAGGTTGCATTTTCCCCGCCCGAAGTTCTAGCTCCTAAACCCAAACCAAACATCGCCGAATGCTCCTTTGCATCTGCGGCCAGCTTGCGCCAAAGAACTCAACTGCCTTACACAGTAGGTATGTACACAGCAATGTACCTCGTGGACCGAAACTTACAACAGTGCCAAGCCAACGAGCCAACCGCATCCGCACGCGCCGTGTCTTAAAGCGCCGCTTTCTGCAGGTCTCACAGGTCTCACAGGTTCTTTAGCAAGCCGTCTGCGCCTTGGAAGGGAGTTCCTCATTGTGGTCTACAAGTGACCGCAACGGCGAATGTACTAGTTTAGCGATAGTGTTGAGGGTTTGCGTTGGATGTCTAAGGTTAGCGATGATTATATTTCTGTGTGTTTCCTATTATAATTAAATGCGATCACTACGACAATTTGAATGAGGGTCATGTCGGTGGTGCCACCGGGCACCGAGACCTTATTTGTTGTCTTTTTTTTACCGTAACTGTAGCCGACCACCTGCGCAGTCCGTTGTAGAAAAAACTCGAGGCGCATCGCCCCAGGCGTAAGTTGTGTGGAGGGTCGTTGGGTGTGCCTGTGTCTTGGAGTTCCGTTTGTGATCTTGGGGCTTGGGCTGCAGAGTTCTGCTTCTCAAACAGTTTCATCAAGCTCCCGGAGAATGGACAATTCACGTGTGCTTCCAATCTCGGATTCCGCAGTCTTTTTTGAGCCTCTCTGCCGTGCCTTGGTTGCCCTGAGCCTTGCCCAGGACGATTCTCACCCACCGGCTGTGCCGCTCGTTTGCCCAGCGAGAGTGCGTCATAGGGGTCGTCTGCGACACACAAGGGGCAGTCCACAACGACGGATTCCCCGGTACCGCTGCTTGGAATTTTGACGCGATTACACTTTGGTATCTGTTTCTTTCTCAGCATTTTACTAACTTTTCCGTGCTTACCTATCGAAGGAGCCGTAAAATCGTATTTTCCCCTTCGTGTTATTTGTCGCGCGCTGCCTCTTCGCGTCGAAGTGGGAACATGCCCCCACAGTACGAAAAACCGTTAGGTTACATGGCATCTGAGACAACGTTCCGCCTACTCAGTTACGTCATCGCAGCTGAAAAACTGACTGGGACAAGCCAGCCACCACCCCTACCTCTTCTCTTTAATTTCCACACCGGGATGGGAAAGGCCAAAGAGCCGGCGAGAAGGCAAGGCGGAATGGCGATCACTCGGGCCGCCAAAGGGCGCCTCAGAAATGTCTTTTCATGTTGTTGTTTTGGTTTTCCGAGCGCTTGCGTCGAATGCGTTGAGAGAAAGGGTGAGAGTTGTCATTCAGGGATGACGACGAGGTCGTGGGGAAACCCTTCAGTGGAGACCCGCTGTGGAAAAGGGTCGCTGGGCAAATTGCCAGATTCCACAGTGCCTGACGCCATTTCTTGTTCGCCAGCCCGGCAGCCGGACGTGGGCGGGGCCTTGGCCGCGACACACGCGACCTGCGCGCCCTGATTCGCCCGCGGAACTGATTTGCCACATGCGCCCCACACACCCGACTTTGTTCTTCGTTTTCGTCCTTCTTCTTCAGGTGGTCGTCCAGCGGTGAGTGAAGGTGATGGATTCGCTCCGTTCTGCTTTTGGTTGACTCTCATGGTTCTGGACCGTCTGGCAGTCGAAGGAACGAGATCGGTGGAAAGGAGGCAGCATGAGAAACGGACCAGGGCGTTTGCCTCCTGTCACTCCCAAGGGCTAGAATGTCAGGAGAACGCGGCGACTCTGGGGTAGACGAGCCCAGAACCCCCTGTTTCTGCAAACCACAGGGAAAGCTCTGCTGATAAATCCCGGAGCCGGAGGTCATCCCCGACGAGATGGCCCCCATCTAGAGGCCGTTCGGGGCAATCTTATATAGTGTTTTTAGTACTGTGTTACCCGACCGAGGCCTTCTCGAGCTCAGGTGGGCGTGGGGAGAAGGGTTGGGCTCCTTGGAGCATTGAGTGTGAACTGGGACGGGGAGAGGTTGAAGTTCGCTGGCAAGCCGGTAAAAGAACAGAAGATTCTGACGGGGGTGATGTGGCTGTTGTGCTTTGGGCGAGGTTGCAATTGGAGGGCAGGCTCGACTTGGGAAAGCCTCTCGTGCTGGCGAAGGCGGGAAAGAGCTGAGGGTTCTTGCTCGTAATTAAATATGGGAAAGGTCTTTGGTCTTGCTTCCAAACTTCACGACTGTGCACTGTGGGAAAGAACAATCCTCCAGTCACCCTCGAACCTTCCAATGGGAGTGAAGGCTTTCGTCGCTCAATTGCTGCAGTAGAGGAAATTACCCCCTAGCATCACCAACTCGCACTGGGTGGTTCTTGCCATTTGGCTGGATCTGGTGCAGCCCTGGGCGGCCGGGATTGGCTGGGTTCTTGCTCCTCAGGCCTGGCTTCGTCTGATTCCGCCGGTGGGCACTGACAAGCATTGGCTGGCGCTCGCCCTGCTCACGGATTCCGGCCCCACCGGGCGTCCCCATTCTTTTTTATTTCACTTGCGCCATTCCTTTTCCCCAACGTCATACCTGACGTCGCTCCCCCCATTCTCGGTCTTGACTCTTTTCTCTTTCCTGCACACACACACGCCCCACCACGCCTGCACCACGTTCGCGAAGAACTACGTCAAATTATTTCGATTCCATTTTGACAACGCTCGGTCGCTCGCCTACGGCGCTGCCAGCAGAGCAGTCGCAAAGCGCACACCCTTTTTATGGGCTTCGATGTGGTTGTGACCTCATAGCTTTTTTTTTTTTTCTTGTCTGCGGAATCTGGGCCTGTTAAGGCCCTCGAGTAGCCAGGCGCCGCGAAAAAGATTCTGATTGACATCATGGGGCCTCCCGCTGGAGCCGTCGCCCGTGGTGTGTCCAAGTCACCGAAACAACCAGGCAAGACATCACCACCAAAACAAGGTAAGTGCATTCGTGACGCTAGTATTGTATCGCTTTACTTGGTCGTGGTCCTCGTCGCCATCGTCGTCGCCGTCGCTGTTGCAGTTTGTCGTTGGTCTTTCTTGTCCAGCCGTGACAGAAAAGCCCCCTTTCCAACTGCAGCATTAGACGCCAACATCACGACCGCTCACCATCGCCATCTCGCCATCACATGCTACTATCCCTTTTTTTTGTTGAGTCCATTACCAACATCTTTATCTTGTTCTAGGCCGTACGTCCGCCACAGTCGATGCCAAACGGGACGCGCCTGCAAAATCAGAAGAGACTCCCAATGCCGAAATTGCCAAACCACTCGCTCCTCCCCCGCGTCCAAATCCACAGCAATCACAAGGGCAGCAGCCGCAACCGCAGCCGCAGTCGCAACCATCACAATCCTCCCAACAACGGCAGGGGACAAACAGCCCCGATTACTTCGGCAACGCGCCGGCTCCCTCACTAAGCCTCGAACCCAACCCCTTTGAGCAGTCGTTCGGCGGCGCTCCTCCCGAGACACCTGGCGGCACTAAGCTGCCTTCCGTCGCCGCCCTGACGTCTCCTTCTTCCCTCCTTCCCGGCAACACGCCGTTCGCCTGGGGAGGAGGCTCACTACGGACTGGCCCCCTGAGTCCAGCCATGTTGTCCGGCCCGGCCAACGACTACTTCAGCGACACGCACCATATCCGCGGCGGTTTCCCAACCCCGAACGAGTCGTCGCTGCGAACTGGTCTTACACCGGGGGGCAGCGGGTCCATGTTCCCCGCCCCCAGCCCCAACTCCCAGGCTCTTTTCTCGCAGCTTGCTAATGGCCCGACTGCGACCCCGAGCACCTTGGACTTCCATCGTACCGCCTTAACCGCTGCTGCCAATGCCAAGCGCGAGCAGAACGGCCAGGCTCAACCACAACCACAACAGCAATCACAACAGCAACAACAGCAGCAACAGCAACAGCAACAACCGCAGCAGCAGCCACAGCCACAACCCAGTGTTCCGCCGGCGTCACAACCGCAGGAGATGACGAACGGGGCCCAAGGTGGGAAACCCAAGGGAAAGGCACCCTCCGGGCCCTTCGATCCGCACGATAACGATGCTGCGAATGGATTGTTCCTCTTGGCGCAAGGCCGTAACGGGGCCCAGCCGGCTGCTGCTCCTCCGCAGCAGTATCCTCCAGTCCCCCCTGCTCAGGTGCAGGCGGGACACCCGACAACGACCGCGCCCCTTGTGCAGCCGATGATGGCCGCTCCTCCGACGAACAATGTGACATCCATCACGAGCGCTGCTAGGCGGGGCGCTAGCGAGGTTAGCGGCGGGTCCGATGAGAGCGACACTGGTGCACGCCCCAACACCCGCACTCGAGGGAAGCGGGGTGCTGGAGGCGCGGCTGCCGGCGCTCGCCGCAAGGCCGAGGACCTTCACCCCAAGGCACCGGCGAACAAGAAGTCGAAGACAAACGGCTCCATCAGCAGCATGGAGGACCACTCTGATGATGATGACGAGCACCCCGACAAGAGCGGGAAGGAAGACAATGGCGGGTCCAAGTCTAAGATGACGGACGAAGAGAAGCGCAAGAACTTTTTGGAGCGTAACAGGTACGTTGTTATGGTTTCTCATCTCCTGGAAGGCAAGCTAACATATTCCACAGGGTCGCGGCGCTCAAGTGTCGACAGCGGAAGAAGCAATGGCTCGCTAGTCTGCAGAGTAAAGTGGAGATGTTTTCGACCGAGAACGAGTCGCTGAACGCGCAAGTCAACCAGCTCCGCGAAGAGGTGGTCAACCTCAAGACGTTGCTGCTCGCGCATAAGGACTGCCCGATTGCGCAACAACAGGGGCTCCACAGTGCGTTCATGCAGCAGCAGCCCATGGAAGCCTTCCAGCCGGCGATGGGCTACGCCATGCCGGCACCGATGGCGGGTCAGGCCGTGATGGCGGGCCAGGCCATGAACCGGCGGTTCTCTTAGGGAGATCAGCCCCCCGCCCCACCACCTTCCAGCACGGACATAGCACAGTCCAGCAGGGCCTCGTATACGGAGGGTGAGCATGCCCCGGAGGCGGGCTCCCACGGAGACTCCCCCTCGGATATTATATATGTGGATCGGAAACAGTTGTGATTCTGCTTTTGGGAGTTGAATGTAGACGGAACCGGGCCGAGGCTCAGAAACGAGGCCGACGATCGAAATTCAGAAACAGGGTCCATGACCATTTAGAAACAGGGTCAACAAACACGTTAGTTATGAATGCATGTTTTACCTTGTAATGATGATCACGTGATTGTGTTGTGTTGTCAATATGCGAAGAAATATGAGAGTAAATGATAAATCGTCTCGCGCCCGCATTGATTGTGCTGTTTTATGGCCTTACGGAAATCTACAGTACAGGGCTGAGGTAAGGAGTTGAGGTTCTTACGAACTGCTGTGGTATTATTGCAGAGCATTGTCGCGTGAGCCAAGCAGAGGTGGGACAATTGGACGTGGCAGGTGGTCCAAGCGCCTCTCCACGGTTATGCAGGCGCTGCGAATAAACAAACCCGGCCGGCCTGGGCAGGCTGCCCGGGGTCAAGATGGATGGGGGCGTGCCTTCCATCGCGATGTGCCCGCCTCAGCCCACTTTACAAGAGTTTCCCGCTTCGGATCCATTCCCTTTCTAACCCCTTGCCGCCCGTCATTGAGAGAAAGACCCGACGAAAGACGAAAGCACCAAAAAAAAAGAAATAGTAAAAGAAATTCTTCAGCACAGCATCTTTTACAACGCATTGTCGGATCGTGGACGAGGGTGTTGTTGGTGGGAGAAGAATCGACGCGAAACGGGGCTTGGCTTGGCTTTTGCTGCTGTGGTCCGGGATTTGACGCGTTTTTGGCCGGAGCTCTCCCACTCTGCTGCCCCTGGTCTGGTCTAGTTCTGGTCAGGTTTGGTTTTGCCCGCGTTTTCGTCATTTGCGGGTTGGGCTTGGGGTTTCTCGAGACGGCAATTGCACCACCACCAACGAGGGAAAGACAAACGACGCGTTTTTCTTTTCTCTTCGTTTTTTATCGACAGTCCCGCACCGATTGATTGAGGGTTTGCATTGCGCTGCGCTGGGCCGCAAACCCGTTGCCGACTTGGACGACGAACGAGAATTTCGACGCGATCGACGCGCGCTGAATACCTATTACCGTCGAACTGAGCGAAAGCGAGCGATTCCCCCGCGCCCGACGGACCGTCCGACCGCGATAACTTTCTGTAGGGGGATCGGTTCTCCTTTTCGCAAACGACAACAGCGACGCATTCGACAAACCCGAGTTTGACGAATCCCGATTTCGACGACAACATCACCGCATTCATGCGCCGACCCCCGCGCCATCATCCATGACTACTCTCATACAAACCCGCCAGCCGCTACAAGTCTTGAGCATTATGAGCAACCAGCCGGAGCGCCGGCAAAGCAAGCGCCTCGCGGGTGGGACGTCGTCGCTGCCTTTGCTGCCGTCGCGCCCGGCGGCCTCGTCTTCTTCTGCGGGTCAAAGCGCGACGACACGGACCACAACAACGACATCAAAATCTACCGGGAAAACCGCCGCAGCCGGAAGGGGGAGGAAGCGCAAGGATACAGGCGGCGCGGATGGTACCGACCCGCCGTCGTCGTCTTCGGCAGCGGCTGCTGTGTATGACGAGCAGGATGGAGATTTCCTGTTTACGCGCGAGTGCAAGCGGGTCAAGACGACTCCTGCGCCCGTGCCGGAGGAGGATGAAGATGGCGACGAGCTTGGAGGGGGGGAATTCGCGCCCGCGCCGGTGCCAGTGAAGAGGGGAGTTGGGCGACCACCAAAGGCAGCGCGCGGACGAGTGACAGGGACAGCGACCGGACCGCGGCGTGTGGCGACTTCATCCCCTGCTGCTGCGACACCAACACCTCCATTACCCGTGCAGTCTGCTGCGACGGGGAGGGGGAGAGCGGCGGCTGTGGTGGTGCCGCCTTCGTCGACGGCGAGGAGGAAGCCGTCGAAGAGGAAACAGAGTTTGGATGAGCCGCCGCCGCAGGTGGAAGAGCAGGAGGAAGAGGAGGAGGAGGCGGAACTGGTGGTGCCGAAATCGAGGACAAGACGGAAAGCGCAGGCGCCGGTTGAGAAGAAGGCTCAGGGGCGGGGGAGACCTGGGAGGGCATCGCAGGTAAATGGGACTGGGACTGGGGCGAGCCGGAGGACAGAAGCGGAAGAGGAAGAAGACGAACAAAAACAACAACATCAACCGCCATATCACCACCCCCGCAAACAAGCCACGCCCGGATCCGCAGCCCACCCACACCCCCACCCAACACATACCCAATCCCAAATGATCGCCCTCCCCTTCAGCGACACCCCCGTAATCAACCGCAACAAAGAGTTCCGCAAAAAGGCCGCCGGCAGCGGCGCGGGGGGAGGCCGGCGCAGCAGTCTGGGGATGCGCGGGCGACGGGCAAGCTCGCTGATCGATAACGGGCACAGCGCGCTGCCGCATCGAGAGGTCGATCCGGCCGAGTTCTACAAGTACATCTCGGCTGATGGGTTGAGTGAACCACGGCGAATGAAGCAGTTGCTGATTTGGTGTGGGGAGAGGGCGCTGAGCGCGAAACCGCCGCATGGGAGGCCGGGGTCGAGTGCTATTCTTGGTGGTGAGTTTCTTTTGTCCCTCTCTTTCCATCTTAAACTAGGAAACCTGGAGGTTGGTTGAGATGAGATGCTAACGGAAGTAGCCCGCGCGATACAAGACCAGCTGCTCAAAGACTTTGGCGCGCGGTCCGAGTTCTCGGACTGGTTTGCGCGCGAAGACGTGCCGAAGCCGCCGGTGCCTGTCGTTCTGCAGCCGAATCCGCGGAATGTGGATTATGATGCCAAGATTGCGGAGCTCGAGGCCCGGATTCAGCAGTGCGTCTCTCTCTCTCTCTCTCTCTCTCTCTGAATATCCATCAAGTACTAACTAGTAATATCCAGATTAAAAACCCAAAAAGCCGCCTGGCAAGCCATCGCCGCGCCTTTGCCTACAGTCCCTCCATTATACCCCGATCCATCACAACAACAACAACCCCCGGTCTCTTCTTCCGCTGCTACATCACCAAAACAACAAACCCCCCCCCCTCTCCACTACCTCCCCCCAGACCCCACCCTCCTCTCCCCCCCCGAATCCACCATCCTCACCTCCCTCACAACCGCCCCAACCTCTTTCTCCCACTTCAAACGCCAAGCCCGCTCGCGTCTACAAAATGCCCAGGCCGCTTTGGAGTTGGCAGTAGATCGGTTAGCGGATGGTGTGCATAAACTTGATGCGAGGGTTGAGACAGCGGGGAGAGAGGCGGAAGTGGTGTTGGCTTTGGGCGCGGCGAGGTTGAGGGCAAGGGAGGAGAGGGAAAGGAGAGAGGTTGGGGGGGTTGGGAGGGGGGGGGTGCTGGAGGTTTTGAGGAGTTTGGGGCGGATTTTGCCGGAGGGGGGGTAGCTGGACTGTATGAGCGGACTGCAGGTTTGAGTGGGAGGATGGGTGGAAGGATGGATGGAAGGCTGGATGGGATAGTAAGGTGATGGATGGACGGTCTATGGATGGAAGGGGAGGTGGGCGGAGTGATGAGTTAATGATATATTCTTTTCGCTGCTGGTCTTAGTGCTCCGGGTGCTGCTGACCGTTCCTACTGCTCTGGGTGTTTTTGTTTGTTGAGTTGACTTGAGTCGAGTTGACTACAACTCTGGGTGTTGTTGAGCTGGGTTGAGTTAAGTTGCCTTGTGTTTTTACTTTATGTTCCCGGCTTCTTTCATCGCGCATCCCGCGCTCCTGTTGTAGTTCCCTGTCTTTGGCGAGGTATTTCCGGTGGGATGGGTGGCATAGCGGTGGTTTTTTGCTGCGGACGGCGTTTGTTCTGGGAGGTTGAGAAGAAGGTTGTGAAAGTGGAGTGGTTGGTGAGGGTGAGAAGGTGAAAACGTAAATGTAGTGGAGAGGGAGAGAGAAGTGTAAATAGGATGCAGGCTGGGGAAATTATACCCACGAGGGGAGTGTCAGCCAGCTTGAGAATGGAATGAGAAGCGTGTCTCCTGTCCTGCTGCGTGATAATGTGTCCATGATTTTTGTATACGTCTTTGTAAACACATGAAATATCTCCCTGCTGTACCATGTATAATACACATCATACCGTCGCTCATACCTGACATGCATGCTCGTCGAAATCCCCTTGTATCTTGCAACGACTCATTCAACCCCATCAGCCCAGCACATATTCCCTTCTTCTCTCCTTACCCCCCTCCATTCCAATCCTTCTTTACATTCTTTTCCCTCTCATCCTTAACCCCCCCTAACCCCCCAACTGCTCACCCCCGATAAGCCTCCAAAGAAGGCATGAACCCCATCCCCCCCTTCCCTTCCCCCCTCCGACTAGCCACATGCTCCCGCAACAACCTCAGCACCTCACTCTCCTTCCATCTTGCCGGCACCGGCCGATACGCAGGCTTGAATGTGCCTACTGTTTGAGCCCATTCTCCTGGTCGGGGGGACTGCGACGGTGTATCAGCGTCCGCACTAGTTCCTTGTGTGGGGGAGCCGGCTTCGGTATCTGCCGCGGTGGCGGTCGTAGAGGCAGAGGAAGAAGAGGTAGAAGGAGAAGAGACAGAGGAAGGCGGCTCCTGAGTAGCCCAGTAGTAAATGTCCCAGTCATTTTCGTCGAGGAACCGGTCGTATTCGGCGAGTTGGGCGGGTGTCATGGTGGCGAGGCGGGTGGCGGCGAAGGTGGAGAGGAGGAGGTCGGATTCGAGGGTGCCGCGTTTGCGGGATTGGTCTGGATATTGGGAATTTTATGGTGTTAGTCTTTTTTCTTTTGTTTCTCTTTTCTTTTCTTTTATTTCTTTTTCCCGTTTTGATTTTGAGGGGTACAGAGGGGAGGACGCACATAAAAGACGGGCGCGCATGGTGGCAGGGTCTTCACCAACCCGGCGGATGGGCTCGACTTTGAAAGAGGCGCCTTGGAGTTCGCCGACTTCGAGGTCGCGGGCTGGGGGCGAGGAGTAGAAGCGAAGGGGACTCGTTGAGAATGATGCGGGAGAGTATGATGAAGAGTTAAAAGCAGGTCGCGCGCGGGCAAAAGCCCGGGTTGCTGGGCGGAGGAAGGTCATAATTCTGCTGTTGGGTTGTGCCTTGAGAACCAGCCGATTGGGAGGATCCGTAATGTGTGTGTGTTGATGTTGAGAATTAAAGTTAAAGTCGTCGGGATCGCTAAGCCGAGACCTGGACCGAGGCCGAACTGTGGGACCGTAAAGACCGGCACGCGACAACAACCCTAACCCAAATGATTGCATTGATACATGGCATCTGAACATCGACCGCAATACCAAACAGTCCATTTTCCCGCCCTTGTACAGTAATATATCATAACCCGTGCCCGCCTTGCATGCGTAACAATCGTGTCAACTCCTGCCCTGCCTACGCCAACTCTAAATCCGCCGTGTCCACCCACCGTCCGTCCGCCGAAAAAAATAGCCAGCCAGAATCCCCCATTAAATAAGATGCTTCGACCTAAAGTACGCACGCAGGTACATAATCTGCCACGCCCACAGCGCAATCAGCAAGAAAGTCGTGCCGAAACCAAACCACTTGACGCGGGTGTTAGTGCTCTCGTTGGTGTCGCGCAGGGTCTGCTCGCGGGCCCGCAGGTACTCCATCTCGCCGACGACCTCGGCGACCATCTCCTCGATGCGGCGGAGTTCCGTCTCGAGCGGCTTGAGTTTCTCGGTGGCTTGGATCGCCGACCAGTCCTTGGCGTCCGCGCCGATGTCGATGTCGAGCTCGATGTGCCGGAAGGGGTGTTCGACGTAGCGGGCTGTAGGAATAGTATAATCAGTAAACGTCGAAGATGTTATCGTTTATGTGGATTGGACAAAGGGACGCACCGCCGGTCAGGACGTTCTCAAAGCACACGTCAAACGGGGCGTCGGCGTGCGAGGTAAACACGGTGCGCTGCTCGCCGGCAATGTCCTTGGGCTTGCCGTACTCGTTTCCTGTCGTGTCGGAGATCTACTAATCCATATCAGCATTTATCCTCTCACCATCCTCCCATCATCCTCTCCATCCTTTTGTTCTCCATCCCATAGTTTCCCAGAGGAGAACGCACATGCATATTCAACGACATGCCATCGCCCCGGTACCCGTCCGAAATGGCCGTGACAACAACCAGCATGTCCCGCGACACAAAGTTGCGCACGCAGCGCCGCGAGTGCTTGTCGTGGCCTGTACCGGCCTGGATGTCGAACTTGAGCGCCTGCGCGCCGACCGCCAGCAGCAGCAGCACGCTGCACACGCGCTGCAGCAGCGAGGGGGCCATTTTGCCGTTTCTCGTTTCTCGTTTGCAGGAGCGGTTTCGGTCTGTTCGGTCTGTCCGGTGAGTTCGGATGGGGGGAGTTCGGCGTCGGTGGTGATGGTGATGGCGGGTTGAACTAGGAGCTTGACGATTTCAAGAAATTCGAGATTGGAAAGCTGGCTGCACGACGCCCGGCTGCTCGATTCGGCCAAGGTGCCAGCTGTCGATTGCCCCTGGCGGTGTGGGGCCTTCACTCAGTTACACTACCTAACTAATTACAGGCGCCAATCACTGAAGCTCAGCACCCAAGCACCCGCAGTGCCGCAGCACCAGCCTTGCACTCGCTTCTGCCAACGCCAGGCGAATCCGGTTGGCTAGTCTTGTTCCGGCACCGCCGCCCAGACCTTCCTTGCAAACCGCTGCAGGCCCTGAATGCTGATCACAACGTCTGCTTCAGGTGGAATTGGATGACGCAGAAAGAGAAGACGGAACTCAAGCCTCAATGGATCCCTAACAACATTGTATGACGGGGGATCCGTCGTCTCATCACGGGCGATAAAGATCTCTTGCCGCTTTACCGGCTGGAAACTGCCGCCCTGCTGTAATATCGCAGCATGCCGCGCCCGTGTCATCGGTCCTTGGACTAAAAGTTCCTCCTCCCATCTCTCGATCAAAATCTGCTGTTGCTGGTGGTTGAATTTCACCAGAAGGACGATCTTGACATCGTGGTTTGAGGCCAAAAACCACCACTCCATATCGCGATGAAGCTCCTGGAGGGTTTCTGAGTCGCCGGCTTCAATAACCAGTGTTGGCCAGCTGTTTAAGCCTGACCGTTCGGGGTCCGGGCCACCCGCTGAATCGCCCTCCCCACCAGATCCTCTAGGAGCACCTTGTTGTCGAAGTGTAGTAGGACCTATTTCAGCCCAAGCCTCACCTAAATCGTTTCGTACGAGATGGGCGATATACTGGCGATAAAGTTGGAGATGCAGGCGCTCGTGTAGCAGGTTAGGGATCGTGATGAACAAGATCCGGGTATCAACATCATAGCGACGAAAGCGGATCTTGGAGCGTCGCTGCTCCCGTTCACGATTGATTTCAGAGACTTGTTCCAGGTCAATATCTAAATAATTAGCATATATGTTTCTCGGTAGGAATATAAGGGTAATACTATACCTGTTACAGTCAGGAAATCTCCACGACTGTTATTAATGGCGTCGAACAGATCTTGTACGTTTGTGAATTTCAGGGTCGGGGTAGTATTATCCTGCATCGGCTCTACCGAAGTAGGAAGAGTAGACACCGGGGAACCCGGTGCCGACGTCGAGGGAGATGCCGCGTATGCAGCAACCTTGAAGTGATTGAGGCTATGAAAAATAGTTATTCGGGCTAGGTGGGATCCGTGAAGTGCGATCGCTTTGATGGGTGTAGAAAAGGGCTAAAGTCGAAAGTCCTCGATGCTGGCATGGAAAGCTGCGCACGGCGGGCAGCTACCTAAGGTAGGTACCTAGGTAGGTGGCGCCACAACGTGCTCCAGCCTCGCCCCACCGTCGCGTCACTGCAGCGTTCCTCAGCCTCGCGAATTCGGCTTTCTTTTGTTTCGCCGCCATCCAAGCTTCGAAAGTCGCATCGCATCGCATCGACAAAACGGCACCCACCAAACTCGCGTATCACCACAACATCTAAACACGATCAACATCTCGGCGCATCGCGATTGTTCGCGACCCTATCCGCCAAGATGCCGAAATGTATGTCCCAGCTTCAGTCTCAATCTCTGAACCCGATATTTTCTATTTCTATTTTCCTGCGATTTATTTCCCTTTCCCTTTTCCTTTCCCTAGTTGCCTTCTCTACTTTCTCCCTCCCGATGAATTCACCCACTAACTAACTACCCCAGTCTTCTGCGACTACTGCGATGTCTACCTCACCCACGACTCCATGAGCGTGCGCAAAGCCCACAACAGCGGCCGCAACCACCTCCGCAATGTCGTCGACTACTACCAGCGTGCGTCCCCCTCTCTTCTCCCCCCCCCCCCTCAACTCCCTTTCCTCTCAACTCCCTTCCCTCTTCCCCCTCACCACTCAACTTCTTTCTCCCATCTTCCGAGAACTATGCTAATGTAATACCTGGGAAAATAGAAATCGGCCACGAAAAAGCCCAATCCGTAATCGACTCCATCACCTCCTCCTACGCCGCCGAAGGCCAAGCCCACGCCAACCCCATGCTCCCCCACAACCAGCCCGGCGGAGGCGGTTTCGGGCTCGGTCCCCGCGGTGGCGGTCCCGGTCTTCACTTCGGCGGTGGTGGTCCAGGCGGTCCCGGCGGCCTCGGTGGACACGGACACGGACACGGGTTTCCTGGTGCACCTGGCGGTGGTGGACCGGGAGGATTTCCCGGTGGACCGGGTGCTGGTGCAGCAGGACCAGGTGGTCTCCCCCTCCCACCACCACCGTTCCTCTCCTCCTCCGGTCCCGGCAGCGGCGGCGCAGGTGCGGGTGCCGCGCCAGCCGGATTCCCAGCCGGCCTCCCCCCTCCCCCCTTCCCGATCCCCGGAATGCCCGGCGCACCACCTTTTCCCTTCCCTCCCCCCTTCCCACCTACCGGAGCCGGAGCCGGAGCTGGCGCAGGTGGAGCAGCTGGAGCACCGCCTTTTCCGATCCCGGGGTTTCCGATTCCGCCTCCTTCTGTTAGTGGTGCCGGTGGAGGTGGGGCGGGCAGCACGGCAGCGACACCGCCGTTTCCTGGTGGTGGTGCTGGTGGATTCCCGCCGCCGGGTGCGCCGGGGGGGTTGCCGTTTCCTCCGCCGGGGGGGTTTCCTGGGTTTCCGGGGGCGCCTGGGGGTGGTGGGGGGTTTTCTGGGGAGGGTCGCTGAGGTTGGTGGGTGGAAGGTTGTTGGGTGGAATAAGGGATTTACGATAGAGGGATTGACAGCAAGGAGAGTGTACAAGGGGGGGCTTTACAAGGGTAAGAGTTGACGGGAGAAGGGGGTCGGAGGAGAATCGGCAGGTTTGATGCCTGATGCAAACCAGATACGTGATTGCTATCGCTCCTTTATTGTTCATTCTTCCCCTTCCGACTATTTTAGCATTCAGTTAACGAGGGGTTTCAACTCGCACGGCGTACCGGCGTTTTTTGCGGCTAAGGGGAAAGGAAATGAAAGAAAATGGTATTTTTGTGTGGAAGAAATAATTGCCTATAAAAACGTGTAATACTGTATTATATGTATGCAGTCGACATGAATGGGATGTGTGGAAATATTCTGTTTCGAGGTTCCCACTGACCAAATCTAGTTAGGTGAGATCATGCGAATTAACTATGTTAACAAGGCACGGTTTATTAGCTCAGCTTGACTCCAGCCTTCAGATACCAGGTTCATTCCATGTCAACTTCGTGCCATGTCAAGATACGACGAGGTTGCACGTACCCAAGAAACGAACAACACAACCGAGTAGATGCCACAATACAAGAGGGCCCCCATTTGAGTAAAGCACATTTATCTTTTGCAATGGTAGATCATCATCATCTTCAATTGTATAATGGTATCATCACCCCTTCCCCAAACTACAAGGCCCAGCCATCTTCTCAATCCATACAGTCGTCAGATCGGACTCCAACCTGACCTATCTTCGTTCAGATAACCCAACAAGTCACAAAATCTCTCCTTGTCCAGACAAGATATAAAAGGACAAAACGAAAGTAAAGAAGAAAAAGCCCAAGGAAAGGAGATGTCGTTCGCAGAACCAGAAAATACTTGGTCATATACGTTCGTCACGCCATTCCCGAATCCCTGTGTTAGATGCGCTATCCCAGAACGCCCTCTCCCATCAAATCATCAAACAGGCTCCCGAGCCCAGAAACAAAAAAGACATGGCCGTGCATGGTCGATATAGACAGAGAGAAGAGAAGGTAAGAAAAGAATTGAAACGAACGGAAAGGACTCATCAAATCATGACCCATCATCCATTTATGTGTCCACCCAAACCTAAACCTGTATAAGCCCCGCAGGAGAGAAAACCCAAAGTCTGTCTATACTTCGGCCTCCTAAAGTTGCCTTTCCAACCCCTGCTCCCGTCGCTCTTGCTGCTGCTGCGCAACATACAAGGCATCACGGTCCTTCCATGTATTCCTTCGAATCACCTCGCCGACGCCATCCCGAACCTCTCGCGGGCCCGAGATCATGCCTCGCAGCTCCTGCGTCCGCTTCTCCCGCCTCCTTTCGCTCAGCCGCCGGGGAAAGTTCATGCGATCACCCAACGTGGGCAGGAAACCAGTCGCCTCTCCGCCGGCCCGCTCGCCCGGCGCGTTTCCGCCGGACTGCGAGGCGCGGCGTCGGATAGACGACCGGGCACGAGCGCTGAGAGACCGCCACAGGGTGGTATAACCCCTACCGGCTCCCGCCCGTGGGGGGAAGTACTTGCTCGGTCGAGTCGTGCTAGTGTACGGCCGCACGTTGTTCTCCGGTACGCCCCGTGTTAGAGACTCGACGCTCCGCCTGAACTTCATCACCCGCAGGTTGCCACTCGGCGTGCGGCGGATGGTCCGGCGGTCCGGGCCCTCCTCCGAGGTGGCCGAGTAATAACTGTCGTACCCATCGTCGTAGCCATCGCCACCCCGGCCGCTGTCTCGCGTGGGGATGATGGCAAACGTCCGCTTGATACGCTCGCTCAACCTCCGGCGAGGAGGCGCAAAGGCAGGGGAAGGCAGGTAAGGCCGGTTGTCGATGGGAGGATAGCGGTACGTTCGGTCGTCCTCAGAGCGGCGGTTGTCGTCGTCACGGTCATCGTCATACTCGTCGTCATAGTAGTCATCGCCATCACGGCACTCGTCGCAGTCACAAGGCTCATCCTCAGCATACGCCGGCCGCCAGTGCGGGTGGAGTCTGGTCTCGTCCATCGAAACCGAGTCCGCCGTCGACCGGCGTTTGAGACGAGGCCGATCCTCAAAGCGTCGAATATTCCGAGAGAGCGAAAATGTGCGCGTCAGGAGGCCCACAGGGCGACCGGGAGACGGGCCGTAATCCGACTTCCGGCGAGTAAGAGCTTGCCGGAGAAGCGAGAGGCTACGCTTCGGCTTCTCCCTCGTCATCTCGTAATAATTGCCCAGCTGCACCTGCCGCTCGGTCGATGGCGTCAAGCCAGATGGCGTAGCGGGAATAAAGTTGATGATTGGCGGCTGCGGAGGCGCTCTCGGATTCCTAAGCGGAGAGTCAACCTCTTCTACGGCAAACCGTTGCGGTGGTGTCGTAGGAACACTGCCGTCCACGTCCGTGGCTCTAACAATCGGGATGTTCGCAGCAGTGGGTTTCTCCTGCTCCGGCGAGGAGCTCTCGGACGGCTTGGCTGAGTGGTCGACGAGGACCACAGACTTGCTCTGGTGCGGGTAGATGTTGACGGCCATGGCCTCGGAAACCTCGGCATGAGAGGTGGCTGCAGTATCCGCCGACGCAACAGAGAGCGGCGTGTTTTGTACAGACAGCCTTTTCCCGAAGAAAGGGTCCTCATCTCGATCCACACCAAGACTGCTGTGCTCTCTCGAGGTCCCGCGTGAGTCGCGGAATGTCAGAGCGGGGCTTCCGCCGAATTCGCCCTGCTTATCCCGGAGCGTGCGCTGCATCGGGGTGACGGGTTGCTTGCGCTCAACCAAACCGTTCTCCGGTAGATGGTCCCCCTCGTTCCGATGCTGTGCTCGATCAGTCTGCACGGGCTGAGCCTGGCCGTTCGCTTTCTCGAGTGCCTGGCTGGCGTTCTGCAAAGCACGGTGTGCCTGCTGCGCATGAAAAATGTTGTGCGCATTCAAGCTCTCCGCCGTCAATGAGCCGGCCCTCGACGCGTTCCGGCTGGTAGGCGCCGAGAGAGAGGACGAGCGGGTGGGAATGACCGGAGGAAAATCCATGGTCCGCTCATCCCCCGGACGGGAACCGTCAGATTCCGAGTACGCTCTGCTTCGGCGACCAGGTCGTTCAAAGATCGGACCTTGCTCCTTGCTTTTTGAAGGCTGAGAGGTAGGAACCGAACTGACGCTTCGAGACCGCCGGCTGCTTGTCGACCGCAAAGAAGGCGATTTGCTGTTCGATTTGACTGAAGAGCGACGCTCCGGAATCACAACAACCGGCACGGCCCCGCTGTTCCACACAGAGCGACGGGCTTTCCGGCTCGAGATGGAGTTGTTGGTAGCAGTCGAAACATAGCTGTCACGGATCGGCTCACGCGTAACCTCCCGCACGGCTTCATTCGCTTGTGGTGCTGGCAGTTCGGTGGGTTGAAATCCATTTGCGGCAGCAGTTGAAGCAGATGTTGGCGGTGGGGATGCCTCGGAACTAGAATCCCGTAGTAAGCTATGTTTCCTGATGTGCCGCAGCGTCTTTTGGCGCTGCGGCGTAGAGCCTACGAGGACCGCCGAGACGATCGTTGACGCGTTTGACTTCGTGGATACAACTGAGGACCGCTTCAACTCGGTGCTTATCGGAGACTCCAAATTTGTAGGCCCCGGCCGAGTAGGGTATCGGTCCGAAGCGACCCTGCGCGAAGGGTAGACAATCGGGCTCTCCTCTAGTGACATGGAGCGCAGTGCCCGAGTAGCGTTGGTTGGTGTTATCGCTCTGTCGTCAATGATTTCTGGTTTGAGAACCGGCCGCCGAATTTTCCTGACGGTCACATTCTTCATGAGTTGGGGATCCCACACTCCCTCGGCATCGCTCGTTCTCGGCCGCCTGGTCGTGTATTCCCCATCGAACTCGCCCAACCCCGGCACCGTTTTCGGCGTCGAGCCACGGGAAGAATTCGACTCAAGGCCTAGGCCTAGCCCCACGGGTTGGGAGACACTTCTCGCAGCCTTGCTGACTTGCCGAACCGTACTCTGCGATGTCTTCGCCGAGGGCAAAGACGGGCGTAAGGTCGGTCGGCGGTCATCGTCGTCTGAAGAGTAAGGATCTTCTCGCGCTGTAGTGAATGAGTCCACCCGAGAACCGTTTGTCACCTTGGAAGAATTCCGCTCCGCTAGCGGGGGGCGTCGCTGAGCCTGGGTTGCCGCGGGGCCAGGCGGTGTTCGATCGGGTGTTAAGTTTGGTGTAGGTGGTGTTTGCTGGTGTGGTGGCGTCACAGGAGGGAGCGGTTCGACCGTGCCCGTACTGCTCAAAGGGTTGTTGGCGCCGCTCGCAGACGAGGAATCGCCGGCATGGTTCACAGAAGATGTCCGAGAATGCGCTGGCGGCGTAGGTGGTGGTTCCGGGCCCGTTCCTGTTCGGCTCCCCGGCGGGCGGGTGTATGGACTTGAAGTTGGCAAGGAGCCATTCTGCAACAACGACCGTTCGCTCCCCCGGCCGTATCTCCACGGGCCGGAGCGCTGGAGCTCCTCCTTCCGGGGATGTGGAAGAACCTTGTGCTTCTTGAACATGCGCGAATGGCTTCCTAGAGCGTCCGCGTCTAAGCCCAGGGCAAAGTTGGCATGGGACGTCCCCATGTTGGGAAGCGATACCCGAAAATCGCTGCCCGTGGGCATGATGGCGGAGTTTCGTGGGGTGAGCCCGAGGTTGCGCCCCAGATATTTTGTTCTCTTCTAGAGTGGAGAAGGAAGATGCAGGAGAATCGCGCGCATATTGCTGGCGGCGCAAGATTGGTCGTTTCAGCAAGGGGCTGATGCTGCGACAACAAAACAGCAAAAGAGCTCGTCAGGCTTGCCGAGGCGCAATTGGAGGAGCCTCCTCGCCGGGTAGCAGCGCAGGGGCGAACGGCGACGACTTGTGATTTGGGGGACGGATCACGTTCGGTACAGAATCGCTACCTGAGACATCGACGAGTGGCTGGCGGGCGCTGAGTGGTTTGTTGGCCAGGTTGCGCAGCAGCGCCTTGGTCCGCAGCGAGTCCGTCCAAGCAGGTATGCAGTGGCAGGGAAAGCTCGAGCTGCTTGGTGTCGTGGCCCTTTTTCGCCTCTCGATGGGGGGCTCCAAGGCAAGGCAGTCAGTGGGGGGGTGTGGCTAGGTCCCAAAGCAAGGTAGATCGATCGTTAGTTCAATCCGTCAATCATGCCGTCACCGGGCCCTTTAATCGCCGGTTTGGAATGATGGCCGCCCTCAAAATGCCGATACATCTAAAACATGGGAGACAAGAGGTGGGTGAGCTGGTGTGAAGCTCCGGGGCATATGATCAGAAATGAGCAGAGAAAAGCAGAAGGCGAGGGTTGCAGCGATGGCGCAGGCCGGGAACAATGCGATGTGTTCTCGATCGAAGAAGGGACGGCCCCGAGGGGAAGGCACGAGCCACTCGGCGGGGGGCCCAGGGACCGCTGTGAAAGACCCCGTGGACCCGTACGCCGCGATTGGCCAAACACGTGCCCAGGCCCTCATGCAGTGCAAGTCGGCGCTCAAGGCAGGAGCCAGGAAGGTTGCAGATGGCAGGAGGCACCCACACAGCAGGAGCCTGTGCAAGAACCTGGAAGCCCCCCAATGCTCACGTCAACCCGGATTCTCGCCGGACGGCAGGCGCCTTGCTTTGCTTGTCAAACTCGAGCGGGGACGGGAGATCGCTTTTGTCCCCTTCAGCTTTCCGTTGTTGGTGCCATATCGCGAATCACACCAAGGATGTCCTTGAACGGCGCGGAATACAAAAAATGATACACCTTTCATCCCCCGCCGCTGCGCGGGTTGTTGGACGCTTTTGCAAATGTCGTTGTTGAGAACCCACCCCTTTATTTCCCCCTCGCGAGACGTCGCAAACGGGTCTGTATTCAAGCAGGCGACGAGTCGGCACGGGCTATCTTGTCTGTCAATGAAACCGCCTAGTGGGCAGCGCAACGGAGGAAGGACGGGCTCCAGCGGCAGCAGTCGAGACTTGGACGGTTCTGGTGCATTTCGCTGCGAGTTCGCTGCAGGCCATGGCCGAATCAGCTCACGAGGCCGCCTTGTCTTTCCCCGACACCTGCATACGGAAGCAGCTTGAACAAATCAGCGCCCGGTCCCCCGTGGGTTGAGTGGCCCGGTCTCGCCAGTGAAGCTAGGAGAGCTTCGAGTCGAACGGAACGGCAATGATGTTGTGCTCGCCGAAGAGCCCCCTCTAGCCTCGGAACTGCGGCGTCGGGCAGCCGTCGGAGGCCAAATCGGTTGCCGTTGTCAGTCTTGCCCGGCACTTCGACCGCCTTCCCTCTCAAAACCGCCGGAAACCCCGTCCTCTTCTGACGCATAGTTTTATGCTTTTTCTTTGACCTGTGTCTCACGACCACGTGTTGGGCGCGACTGCGAGTTTCCGCGACAGGCAGTGGGAATTCGGACCTCCGAGTCCGTTATCGTCGCCCAAAAATAACGTTAGCTGACGTTATCGCGAGCTTCCAAGGGAAAATGGGCCCACGATCCCATCATCAATATCCCGAGCATTGGATTTCCAACTTCCCTTCTCAAGCGGGTCGTCCGTTCTGCTTACCAACATCCACCATTCAGGAATCAAGGGCCGCTGGTCTAGTGGTATGATTCTCGCTTAGGGTTACAACCCAAGGCATTCTTGCGAGAGGTCCCGGGTTCAATCCCCGGGTGGCCCCCTGAACAATGTTCTCTTTTTTGTTCATTTGCATCCGTTAACCCCAACCCAAGGGGCAAGAGCTAGGCTGGGCTTGTTGAAAATGCCTGGGCCAACCCCGACATGGAAATCGACCACTTGTTACCCGTCGTGTAATTCCCTTCAAACGACTCCGACAAACTCTAAAGCTTTCCCAAGCCCAAAGTGACGTGGCACTTTTTTTTCGACGGAAGATACTGGTCAGCCCTGCAAGGCCTAGCACTGCCGCTTTCCTTCAGGAGTTCGTTCATGCAGGGCGTTTTGATGACATTCTCGTTCTTTTGGCTCTCGGCGCCTAAACTATCAAGCCAATGAGAGCTCAACAATGTAGCACTGCCAACAACCACGGGCCGCAGCAATGGGCCTGATCTATCAAGCCGGGGTCTATAGGGCCACCGGCTGGCCCGGTGGCCGGCCGGTCTTCAATCGCGCTTTTCGCTCTCCTCATAGCATATTCTCGGTGACCGGCCGGAGCTTCAGGTGAAAGGAACCTCGGGGCATCCGGCCACGGACTTGAACGCCGGGACGGCAATCGATCACCATGGCGGAGATGGTGGGCCTCGTCGCCGCCATTGGCTCGATCATTGGCGCCGGCTACAAAATCACCAAGGCGATCTCCGCAGCCCGTGAGGATATCGGGGCCGCGGAGGCGAGCGTTCAGGCCATTGCCACCGACATGGCTTTCGTGACGATGATCTTGGGCCAGATCAGGGACAGGCTCAATTCCATCCGAGTCGTCGAAGTTGAGACGCTCAAGATCCTGGAAGGGATACTACTCCAGTGCAAGACCGACATCGACGCAATTGAGAAGACACTCCTCCCGATTATCGCCAATGTCAAGGCTGGAGGATTCAAGAGCAAGAGACAGCGCATACGCTTTCTATTTGCGCGGTCCAAACTCTGTACCCAGCGGGCAACATTGGGGTCGTTGAAATTGACCCTGTCATTGTTCATCCACACCTTGCAGCTCTCAGATGGCTATGATGTCGAGTAAGTTGAGAATTCCACCGCAGTCTTCGGATCGATGTTGAAGCTAACAACCGCCCTTCACAGAATCCTGAAAGATGAGATCCTAGACGCCATCTCCAAGTCCAAGGAGACCAAGACGATCTTCCTTAATGCAGAGAGAGTTGACCACGCCGTCGCCAAAGCCTGCGAGATCCATGACCGCACCTCCATCCCGGAGAACAGCTCGGCCGGGACGGCAGCCCTGTCCATAGAGGATGCGGACCGCCCAGTACTCCCGGGTAGAGCGATCACGCTGCCGGCGTTTCAAGCCGCGGAACCTGGAGCAGACATGGTCGACCTCAACTCGGACCCGGCGAACTGGGAGCTTCAATTGCGAAGCGCGTCCGAGTTCGAAGTAATGCAAACCATTTCGGATGATTCGTTCATGAAAATTGCGGAGCATATGCGGCTTCAGAAATCTGTGGCGACGTTTGCGCTCGGGACGATGGAACCCGGGCCGAGGCCAACGGATATCAGGAAGCCCAGCTTTGAGCTTAACGCGGATCGTGACGAGGGCGTCTCTCTTCAGGATGGGTACTCGGCTGAGAGCTCGCCTGCTGAATCAATTGCAAGGGCGGATTCGGAGGAACGCCGATCTAGTATTCGGGAGGGAAAGCAGCCGGAATACCCTTCCTTGTTTGATGAGACCTCGGATGAAGGGACCCCGGGTCCATTGTTGAACCCTGGGAAACGCGTCCCGTCGCTGTCGACCGAGCGCCAATCTGAAGCCGAGACTGTGGTTGATACTGCTGGATCATGGCCACCGTCGAACGAACCTGCCCGCAAACAGGATCTGCGACCTAGTGAAGAGGACGGGCAGTCATATGCTTTGGCGACGGACTCGGGTTCGACGCCACAAGCCGATAGCACGCCCCAACGACAGCCAGATACCGATGTCTTAACTCCTGCAAAGATTAAGATGGGCAACCCGCAAACCACCCAGGCGATGGTTGAAGAGATAAATCTACGACTCGGGAACCTTCGGGAGAAGCAGAAGCAGAAAATTGACGAATTGGCACAGAGAGCTGCTGCCGGCATGGACCAGGAAGCGCTGCTCGAAAAGGCCCGTAAACAAACCGAAGAAACCATACTTCGCGAAATGGAGAGAATAAACAAGGCGCAACCTACTGTGGAGGAAAGAATGGCCAGGATGCAGGCCGAGGCCGAAATAGAGCGAAGGCACCAAGAGGAGTTGATACGCGTTCGGGAAGAAGCATGGGAGAAGGCCAGCGCCCAATATAAGCTGCGCCAATATCGGGGAATCGAGGAACCGCAACGGGATACAAGCGCCGCTAAAACAGTCAAGGGCAGCAAAAGAAAGAAGTTCCGCCAGTTGCTAGGACTGGGTCGTTCGTCCAAGAGAAGCGTTATTGTGTCGGGGTGATCGAAAGAGAAGAATGTGGTGCTGGGGACAAAACGCTCACCGCTCACTTCAACTTAACCCCCCTCGGTAGGGACGAGATATATAGCAGGCGGCTACGGAAACCTGCAAGGTTTATTCACGGCCACTGTGTCATCCATCCATGGAGACTTTTTTAGGGGGGAGGGCGGTTCTTCTTAACGCAACACTTCACGCACCTTCCTTCCCTCCGCCAACACACCACACCATATAAGCCCGCTGCTCGCTCACCCAGTCATCAGCTCCTCCCAATATGCCAAACAGCGGTGTTTGGCGCAGCGGCATTGGGAGGAGCACCACGCCACTACCGTCGTAAATCGAAGTGGCCCCGGGTTCAATTCCCGGGGCCAGCGAAGAAAAATCTTTCACCGGAAAGATTTTCGTAACTTCCAACCTCTGTTCTTTCGGATGGGAACAGGGCTTGGGGGTGAGCTTTTTGCGTTTTTGGTGTCTACTGTACTTGATGTATACTTCAAATTACCTGCAGTCCGAGAATTAGAGGAGGGAAAAAAAACTTAGAAATGGACTATTGAAGCAATAAAATAATTTTATGGATGGGTAGTAGACATTCGGTCTTAGTGTTATCATCCTCTTCAATCAAGCAACCCTCTTCATCAAATATTTACCTAGTAAACACAAGGTGTAATTTCACAACACCCAACCCGCTTCAACCACTTTACACTTTACACGCTCCAGACACTTGCCCAAAATGGTCCCTCTAGTGAAGGTGATGCTCAACGGGAAAAACTACCACCGCCTCTCCAAGCGTGTTTCCAATTATTTCGGTTTCAAGGCGTGCTGCTGTCACGGGGCAGGTGAAGAGTGAAGAATACGACGTAGGGGGACTTTCGGCCCGGTTTGAGTTGACGGGATGGTACTGTGTGTATGTAGATAAGGTAGTTGGGCTTTTGGAGGTTGAGATCAATATTTCCGTGATAAGAGTTGAGAATTGGTTTGTTTGGGTGAGCGTGAGAATGATTCTACATGTTACGAGTGGATGTCCGTTTCATGAATTTTGTTTGCGGTGCAAACCTGTGTGTATATACATAGTCAGGGTTAGGGTCGCAGACGTTTTCTTGTATGACCTCTATTGCGATATCATGAGAAAGTCTAACAATATTAAAATACAGGTTTAACATTTTGTCACCCGCATTTGATTCAAATGAACAAAACAAACATCATAATATATACATTACATCATTACTGGGTATATCCTCCTCTCTCGGCCCCTAACCACCCAACACCCCCCCTAAACACCAAAACGAACATAACGACTCCCAACTACACCATCTAACTCTTACTCAACCGATCCATCTCCTCCCTCCACCGCGCCCCATACCTCCTCAACGCCCACACCGCCGCGACCCCGGTAACCAACGCCAACCCCCCAACCATCGTAAACAACCACCCATTCCCCATAGCCACCATCAACGGCTGCGCAATGACACTCCCCACACACGAAAAAATATTCCTCACAAAATTATTCACCGCCACCCCACTACTACTCCTTCTCGGCATAAACTCCGTCAACATCGTCGTCGTCACCCCAAACACCAACATACTCCCCAACCCAAAAAAGAAATTCGCCACACACGGCACCATAAAATGCACCCCCCTTTCCGCCGTCCACCCATACCATATCATCGCCCCTGGGTACAGAACCACCGCTAACCACATATTCTCCCTCGCCCTATCCTCCGGTAAATACACCAACCGCCCCTGGGCATCATACCGTGCTGCGCGGCGTGCCTCGCGCGCCATGATGTAATCGATCCAGCGGCCGCCGAAGGCAGAAGCGATGAAATACCCCAGGGACGGGGCGAGGTAGCAGGCTCCCAAGGGGATGGGAGCGAAGGAGTAGGGAGGGGAGGAGAAGGTGGATTGGATGGAGATGTTGAGGACGAAGAGGGAGAAGAAGGCGATGGAGGCGGAGTAGACTGTTATGAAGACGGGGGGTTGGCGGAGGTGGAGGATCACGGTGAGGGGGTCGAGGAGGAGGCGTTTGAGGGTGGAGGCTGTGAGGCGGGTTCGGTGGGCGGCTACGGGGGAGGCGCGGTTGTCGGTCGTGGGTTTGGGGTCGGTTGTTGGAGGAGGAGGGGGTGGTCGGGGAAGAGTCTCGGGGAGACAGAACAGCAGCATCAGCAGCATCACCCCGCCAAAGATAGCCAAAAACCACATCGTCGCGCGCCAGCCGAAGCCCTGGGCCAGAGCGCCACCGATGATGGGCGCGCAGAGCGGGCCGACGAGGGGACCGAGGTAGAAAATCCCCATGGCGCGGCCGCGCTCGGCGGGCTCCCAGATGTCGGCGATGGTTCCCGCACCGACAGCTTGGACTGAGGCGGAAGCACCGCCGCCGAGGATGCGCAGGACTAGTAGCATGGATACGTTGACACTGACGGCGGTGAGGACGGAGAAGATGAGGAAGAGCGAGAAGGAGATGATGTAGATGGTGCGGCGGCCGAGGGTTTCCGAGAAGGAGGACCTATATGTTCAGATGTGTTAAGAACCAGCAAGGAGAGGTGAGTGAGAGGTAAGTGAGACATACCACCATAGCGGAAAGATGGACATGGCCAGCATATAAAACGAAATAGTCAAATTCGTAACCGTCTCAGTCGCCCCCAGATCCTTAGATAGCCCAGGCAACGCAGCTACACCTCAGTTAGTCTCTCTCACCACCCCAATACCCCTCTACAAAAAAGTCACCATGTAGGCAAAGACTCACGCAAAAAAATACTCGACCCCATCGGCGCCCCCGCCGCAGCCAGCGCCACAATAGCCGTAATCACCCACTTCGTACTCGTCTTATACTCATACGGCCGCTCCACCTCCGGAATCAGCGTGATACCGCCGAACAACCCCCGGCGCTGGCTCCGCGGCACGATGACTGCCGTGGTCCCGGCGAAGGAGGAGGGCCGGACGCTTTGGGGACGTGTGCTGGGGGATTTTTCTAGGGCTGGCCCGTGACTTGTTGGGTTTGGGTTTTTTTCTTGGTTGTTGTGGGGGTGGTTGTCGTCGGGGGCTTCACTGATGTTGTCGTGTTCGTCGTCATCTTCGCTGCTTTCGGAGATTACATGGTGTTCCTTGGTTGTGGGGTGGTCTTGGTTCCGGTCTTGGTTCTCCGGCAGGCCGGAGTCCTCGGGAGGAGGAAACGGGGAAGCTAGTGCTCCGGCCATGGCGGCCGGCCCGGCTAGCTTTTCGTCCGATGTGCTCTCACCAGCTGCCATGGTGTTGTGTTGAACAAGGGGCGAGTAGGCTTAGATGTAAGGTGGACTCGTCAAGGCAGATGATCACACCAGGATGTCATTATACCAGTGAAGATTTACAGATAGACACAACAAGAGAAGCTTGGGGAACGGGAAAGGAAAAGACAAAAAAGAAGAAAAAAAAGGAACCGCTAGAAATGGCGAAACCCAACAGCCGTGTTGAGTAATGGAGCCTCCCATGCCAGTTCTGCTCGAGCGCAATGGCACTTTGACACTGCGGGCGGGAATAACATGGTCGGGTAGTGTGCCGGGGCTCTTCCGACCGACATACATAAAACTGGGTTACATGGAGGGCGGCATCTTTTCCATGGTACGGAGTCCACTTTCTTAGTGGATGAATTCCGGCGGACCTCGAAGTTTGCTGCAGACAAACCTCGGGATGGCATCGGACAGGGACCGCTCCGGAAATTTTGACAACCGGGGGGCCTCGGTTCTTATCTAGACTGCCGTGGCCAGGGCAAAAATTCGCCGGGCCGAACGGGGTTATGGGATTCTCAAATGTCCATGTTTTTCTTTTCCCATATTCGAAGTCTTCCGGGTTCGTCCCGTGCACCGCGTGGAGTCGGCCGGCCGGTCTTGGCTTAAGAGTGAAACGGCGCCGGGTGTTGACAAGGGGACCTCCGAGACAAAATACCGGAGAAGGCTGGGAGAGCACCGAGTTCGAAGTTTGTCGAGCGTCGAATAGCGCGTGCTGGAACGAGCTACCAGGGCCGGGAAAAAAGGGTTTCCCCCATCGATAAGGCCCGGAGCTCGGCACTCGGCTTTAGGACTCAGCCCGTGGCTGCAGAAGGATGGGAAATGATCGGGCCGTGTTCTCGCTTCTAGCAAACAGGAGTGGCGATTACTGTGAGCTCTCCCTTTTCAATCGGATGAGGGACTGTGAGAGGGAGGGAATCCATGGTTGATATGATGTCGTCTTCAGGGTTCTCCGGCACCTTGTTCCGCCGCTGAGTTCAGGTCAACGGTCAACGGCCGGTCAACGGTTTAAAAAGCAAAAGTCGATCTAACCAGAGGATCGGCACATGCATAACTTACCGGTATTTTTACCAGGAACCAAATCGCAATGAACTATTTTGGTACATCTACACGAGACACCGCAATGAACATACAGAGATACCACAAGCGAAAGCGAGGAATCCGACCCGATTGACGTCCTCGAACGAATCGAAACAGTCAATTGCTCGTGGAAGCTCGCTGCGTGCCCACAGTGGCTTTTCATCGCCAATTGACGAGTACCCCGCGCTGATCTGTGCCCCACTTTATTTTGCCTGAAGGGCGCGGGACGGCGGAGCACAACGCCCAAAATGGAAACTCCATTAATTCAAGACAAGCTCCGACCTCGCTTCGCCGGTGACTAACCGCTCGTTCTGAATCTCAACCTCGACGACAGTTTTCACGACAAAGTACAAGTACGAACACGACGACCAAGACGGGATATCGGAAAGCGACTACGGCCGTACGACGACGAGTCCTAGTAATCAAGATATCGACCTAAGGAGGACGAAAATCGGACGAAAAGAGGTGGGGTGAAAGGAAAGGAAACAAGAGACAACACAGGGAACAACTCGGGGAACAAAAAAAGATGTCCCTCACCAATGCCTCCCCCGCCGACGCGGCCAAGGCGGCCAAGTCGGCGTCACTCGTGCTGAGCACGCTATCAGCAGCCGCCCGCAACGAGGCCCTCGACGCCATCCACGCCGGCCTGACAGCAGCGCGCGACGACATCCTCGCCGCCAACGCCCGCGATCTCGCCCTCGCCCAAGCCGCAGCCGCCGACGGCACGCTCAGCCAGAGCCTCGTCGCCCGGCTCGACCTCAGCCGCAAGGGCAAGTGGGAGGACATGCTCAAGGGCATCCTCGACGTGCGCGACCTCGACGACCCCGTCGGCCGCGTAACACTACGCACCCGCCTCGACGACGGCCTCGACCTCGAGCGCGTCACCTGCCCCATCGGCGTGCTCCTCATCATCTTCGAGGCCCGCCCGGAGGTGATCGCCAACATCGCCGCGCTAGCCGTGAAATCCGGCAACGCGGCCATCCTCAAAGGCGGCAAGGAATCGACCGAATCCTTCGTCGCCATCGCAACCGTCATCTCCGCCGCGCTTGCCCGCTCCGCCGTCCCCAACGCCGCCATCCAACTCGTCACCACGCGCGACGTCATCCCGCAACTCCTCGCCCTCGACCACGACATTGACCTCGTCATCCCCCGCGGCTCTAACGACTTAGTCCGCTACATCAAAAACAACACCCGCATCCCCGTCCTCGGCCACGCCGACGGTCTCTGCGCAGCCTACCTCGACCCCTCCGTCGACGCCACCCTCGCAGCAGGCGTCATCTTCGACTCCAAAACCGGCTACCCCGCCGCCTGCAACAGCCTCGAGACGCTCCTCGTCCACGAAGCCGCGCTGTCCACCCACCTGCCCACCATCGCAACCGCCCTAGCCGTCAAGGGCGTCGAACTCCGCTGCGATCCCCAAAGCAAAGCCGCTCTCTCCGACACCCCCAACCTTACGCTCCTCGACGCCGTCGAGTCCGATTACACCACCGAATTCCTCTCCCTCACCCTGGCCATCAAAACCGTCTCCTCCGTCTCCGAAGCCATAACCCACATCAACACGTTCGGCTCCCACCACACCGACTTAATCCTAACCGGTTCCACAGACCAAGCAGAGCAGTTCATGTCAGCGGTGGATTCCGCGGGTGTGATGTGGAATGCCTCGACAAGGTTTGTGGACGGCACGCGGTACGGGTTTGGGACAGAGGTGGGGATTAGCACGAATAAGATCCATTCGAGGGGACCGGTCGGGTTGGAGGGGTTGATGATTTATAAGTATAAGGTTAGGGGACGGGGGCAGGTGGCGACGAGTTATGGGGAGGGGGAGGGGCAGAAGAGGTATTTGCATGAGAAATTGGCTTTGGATTGAGGGTCTTGGTTCGATGATATAAGGGGGGTGTAAAAGGTGGTGGAAGGATAGGAGTTAAAAAGGATAATAAAAGTGAGCGAGCGTGTCAGAGCACTATTACGTATATACTGTATCCGTATCTCCCTCCATTTCGTGCTTGGTGTCGAATATTTCGGACGGACGAATTAAACAGACGATGAAACGGGACTTAGGCCCAACATCCCACTGGAACCACTCAAACCTTATACTCGTCCATAGGCAATAAAACACACACGGACACACATAGACACACACACACACACACACACACACACACACACACCACAAGACAACACAGAGCACAGAGCCATCTATAGCATTGACCCTACTGTACAGTCCCAAGCCCGAACAAGAACAGGTACAAGAGAGGTATAAACATAAACTCGGAAAGAGCCAACAGGACAGAGGGAAAAACCATGAATGGTGGAATGACATGAGCAGTGGCATGAGCAGTGACTTCCTCCCATCCCACCGTGTTGTGAAGAATAGGAAGACAGGAGAAAAGAGAAGAGTGTGATGATTCCCAATCTCAATCTCAACCACCAATGCCAACGCCAACACCAACACCAACACCAAGGCCATACAGCAACACCAACGGCAAGCCCACTAACACCAACATCATACAGTAAGTTAGCATCAGTACCACCCTCAAACTAGCAAAAGCCAGCCCAGCTAAGCAAACAGCCCGCCCAGCCAAGTAAGCAAAAGTCAGCCCAGTCCAGTCAAGCCTAGGCCATTCAAGCCCAGCCCAGCTTAACTCATTCGCCCTTACACTCTCCTCAATGCAGACAGAGAAAGAGAGATACACAAAAGCCAGTACTTCCATCCCTCCATCCATCCATCATCCATCAATACCCCCACAGCAAAAGTCATAAAACAAGCACCCATCATCCCTCATCATCAAGTTCATCACTCATACAGTCTGACCATGACCAGCCTGACCAGTCTAGCCGAGTCAGCTAGCCAGCCAGCCAGCCCGATCCAATCTACTACGCCCTCTCTGGCCTCCCTCATCCAACTCTACTCTCCCCTCCTTCCCATCCTCTCAATAGAACTCATAATCCCCCCATTCCCCCTCAACCCCTGCCCCGACCCCGGCCGCGGCACACCACTATACCCCCCACCGGCACCATGACTCCCCATAACAGCCGCACTCTTCGTCCTCTCATGCGGACCCCTTCCAATCCCCGAAGGTTTGCCAATCCCACTAGCACCCCCACCAAGACCCATACCAATCCCCGACGACCCAGGGGCCCGTAGACCCGAGGCACGGAAACTGTTGGGGCCTGTGGACATGCGGAAGGAGTTGCCCCCCGCCGGGCCTGGGCCTAGGCCGTGGCTGAGGCCGGTACCGGGGGTTCGGGAGGTGTTGTTGTGGGTGGATTGTCTCCTATTGGGCGTCTTCGCTGTGCTCGCGGGTGCGGGGGTATGATGCACCTGCTGCGTTTGATGATGCGCCTGCGGCTGGGGCTCAGGCTCCTCAGACGCAGCAACAAAGCTCTGCATGCTCTGCATATTCATCATCTCCTCAGCTAGCTGAACCAATTCACCCTTCTCAACGCGCTCCCGCTCTAGCAGCACGCGCAAGTCGGCATTGTCCGCCTGCACCGTCTTGAGGACCGCCTCGACCTTCTCAACCTCGGCCTCGAGCTCCCGGATCTGCGCCGCGTTGCGCGCTTTATCGGCTCGGCGCTCCTCTTCGAGTTCCGCCAGCCGCGCCGGGTCGATCCGCTGCTGCTGGGAGCCGTGGTTGCGCCGGAGGTCGTCGTTGGCCTGTGTCAGCTCGTTCACCTGCCGCTGCAGCTCGCGCACCCGCTTGTCCCAGCGGTTCTCGTAGCTCTTCTTGAGCGCGGCGACTTTGGTCTCGTGCTTGCTCTTGTACAGCGCGTGCAGGTCGCGGGCCGCCCGCTCGACCGCGTTCTCGACCTCCTTATTAGTCGAGATCAGCGATCGGGTCTCGCCACCTGCGGCCGCTGCCGCGGCTTCCGCGCTGGCCTTGCCCGCCCGCATGCCCGCCATCTTGCTTTCGGCATCCTGGGCCATCATCTCGGCTGCCTCGCGCCGCTTCTCGGCCTCGTCCAGCTTAAACTCGAGTTCCTCACGCTCGCGCTGGCTGTTGCCGATTTCTTCCTTCACCTTGCGCAGCACCGTCTCCATCTCGCGCCCGCGCCGCTCCCAGCTGTCTTTCTCGGTCTGCAGGGCCTCCTGGACCCCTTCCACCTCGCGCAGCTGCTCCATGCACTCGCCCACCCGCTTCTCTGCGTCCCCAACTGCCGTCTTGAGTGACAGCACTTCGGCCTCCTTGCCGCTGAGCGATGCCTTGAGGCTGCTGATTTCCGAGAGGAACCCGGACTTGAGCGACTCCAGCTCCCGCGGCGTGATGGTCGGGATGCTGCGCGGTGTCGGCGCCGGCGGGATGTCGAAGTCGAGCAGGTTCGCTAGGTTATTGCGTTGCGGCGTGGCCGCCACCATGTTATCGTTATTATGGCCACCGGGCCCTCTCGCGGTCCGCGGCGTCTGCGGCACGCGGCGAGACGGCGTCTGTTGAACCCCGTACCCGCCGGAACGCATCTGTTCGGTGAAATCCATCAGGTTGGTCGTCGAGTTGCTGCTACTGTCGTAGGCCGACGAGCCACCGTTCGCCCGGGGGGTCCGCAACGGTGCTGGGCCGCTACCAGCGCGCGGAGTGGCCCCCGAAAACTTGGTCGGGCTGTCGCTGCGCATCTGCGCTAGCATTGTGAGATTCGGCACCGTCGAGAATGTGCTGAACGTGCTCATCATCGTGTCGTCAGCCGCTGAATAGTCCTCGTCATGCATCGTGTGACTCTGCTCGTGTTGTTGCTCTTCGTCGTGCTGTCGTTGGTGCTGGTGACTCCTCGTATCATGGCCCATAGACATCGCGTGGTCCCCATCCTCATCAATCTCCTCCATCATACCAACGCCATTATGGCCGTTGTGGTGATCGTCCATATCGACATCATCATCCTCAAAGATATCAATAACATGCTTCGCAAACCGCCCCTCTTCATTCTCCGGCACCGTCTCCGGGACGCTCGCCAAACTAGGCCGGCGCTCAACCACCGACGACCGACGTTCATTCTCCACCGAACGCCGCGGCGACTCGCTCCGGCCCGCACTAAGCGGGCTCACCTTGACAGGGAACCGCTTGATTGGCGGACCCGTCTTCCGCGGGCTCTGTGGCGGCAGCGACATGTTCTTCGCTGGGGAAGCCAACGAGGCCGGAGGATCGTCGTCGGGTGTGGTACTACCAGGGGGCGAGACCGACGCAGCCGAGCGCGGGGGCGATTGCGACGAGTTCCGCGAGTGTTGTTGTTGTTGCTGGTGTGCTGCGGCCTGGATCTGGTTCTGCTGTAGGATCTTGAGCGGTGAGAGTTCGTTGCCTGTGATGATACGGGATCCGGGTCGGGCGGCTTTGGGCGGTGAGGGACCGCCGCGCGGTGTGGGCGAAGTCACCTCCTCGCGCAGATGCGGGCGGAACGGGGAGCTGTTGTTGTGGCTGTTACCGCTGCTGTTGTTGATGTCGCCGTCGTCATCGGTGTGGTGGTTCTCTGTCCTGTCGGCTGCTTTCCGGCCGTTGAACGGCTCGTGGCGCAGCTCCGTCGGCGTCGAGTAATTCAATGCCGCACTTGGAGTCGGCGTCAATGGCGCAGCCATGGTTGGAAACCCGAGAGGGGGCAAAAGAGCGGGAAAATAAAATGAACTTGGTCGGTCAAATCACACAAGAAAGCTTCCCCCCACCGATGGACTCAGCTCTCTTCAAATGCCAGCGATTCGTTCGTCGCCCGATCGATCCGCTGTAAAACGGTTCCGAGTTTGTTAACGGTTTGGTGGTGTGTTGACGTTATCGTTAGCGTTTAGGAGTGTGTCAGTTGTGGGTTTGTGCCGGAGTGGATGTTTCTCCCCTTCTGGGAAATTGCTTTCATTGGGATCGCGCTCCGCTCGGGCCAATGAGCTGCGGGGAAGTCTCGGTCACTGTTTACCGTTCTGACCCAGCAACCGACTGCCAAGTCACGTGCTGAACCCCTATTTTAGTCAGACCACACCTTACCTCGTTACATAGGAGGCCAGCTCAATCAGGAAGGGGATCAAGGAGGAGGGGGGAACGTTTTAAAGAAAGACTTCCTCCTCGTTGCGTGAGATTCCATGAAATTCCATGGGAGGGTGCAGGGACACTGGAGACCGTCTGACCGGCCCAAAGCGGCTATCTGCAAACATTTGAATCGCCAACCGCCAGGGCGGCAACTGAACACTGAGTAAACGCTGAGGCAGAAATATCCCACAACTTCAACATCAGTAATCCTAATCGACAATGGCTCGTTCTTGACGTCCTCTCGGCACATGGTAGACGTGGGGGACGGAAAAGGTTCAGTACTGGGACCTGTTGCAAACGCCAAGACAGGTAATGGAATTCTGGGTGAGCCTGTGTAAGAATAAAGAAACGGCTACCTAAGGTCTAGCTCATACACTAACAGAGACCTCCCCAATCTTTGATCATTCAAGCTCTTGCCGCCGACCGTCTCCCCTGACACGCTGAGACACCATCAGTCCCGATACTTGATGATGATTTACTTTTTCAGGTGAGTCGACGGGTAATACAATCATATTACTGCATTTTACGGATCGTTATCTCATCGAGTCCTCGTTCCTGTCATGAGTCGTGAGAAGGAAAAAACATCAAACCCTCTTTCATAAAGGGAAGGAAAAGAAGAAGAAAATAAGACAAATGAGAAGCAAAGTCATGCAACCGTTTATCCACGAAGCTGCGTAGGGACGGCGGTCGGCGAGATGGAGCCGACTTTGCGGCGCTTAATGTCGCGGTCGCCGCTGTCATCATCGCGACCACGCTTAGTAGGCACACCGCTGAGAACGGGGGCCTGGGGCGGGTTGTATGGTTGGACATAGTAGGGTTGTGGGGCTGCGACGGTCCTAGGGGTCGCAGGGTGATCGTTTTGGAGCGACGACGTGTAAGGGTTTCGGTTCGAGTGGTACGGGGCGCTGCCGTGCGTGTACTCGCCATCGTGCTCGTGGGCGCTAGTGGGTGGTGTTGGAAACGAGTGAGAGCGATCCAACGAAGGGCGCACCATAGAAGGGGGGGGCGGGTGCGATGGGAGCTGCGGATGAGGAGGGCCTGGCAGCGCCAGGTGATGCTGCGGCAGCGACGGCAGGCCAGGGTTGGCCGGGGGTGGGGGTTGGGTAGAACGCATGTTCTCCTGCTGTTTTCGTTGAGCGGCGGCCATCGCTTGATTAGAGCGCCCCTGGTTGGCCGGGTGGCACAGGAGCTGGTTGATATTATGCACAAAGAGCGGATAGAGAAGCTCCGTGATCTTCTCCTTGTTGGCGAAGTCCAAAGCACGCTCATACGGGATCCTACAGCCGCTGGGTTAATAAGGTGCTCAAGTTGACGACATGCGGTGCTGTACGTACCAAACACCCTTGAGGTGCATCGGGCCGATCTTGACCACGTGGCGGATCTTTTCGCTCTTCAGAATGCCGTCACGGCGTCCGCGGGTCATGCCCGCCACGTTCAGCAACTTGGTGCCGTTGATCATGGCGTTGTCTATCCGAGAGAAAAGGTCAGCATGTGCTCGATGGGCGAACAAGCCAAAAAAAAGAACAAAAAACCCGCAGATTTCGCGAACCTGCGGTACCAGACGTACCGTCCCGACGAGCGACACAAATACCCCTCGCTTCGACCTGGAAACAAAGCGAACCCTCGTCCTCCCACAGAGTGGCAGTCACACGGGGTTTCATCCCCGGGGGCGCGATTTGCCCAGTCACGTCAAACCCATTACTGTATCCGGCGGGCGCCATGCCGGGCTGGCTAACACCCGGAAGCGGCAGAACCGGTTGGGGGCCTGCCAGGGGGTTAGACACCGGCGGGCCGGCCGGAGGGGTCAAGCCGTTGGGATAGGCATATTGGTTGCCATATTGCGGGGGGGGGTAGGGTCCCGGAGCGGGCTGCATCGGAGGCGGATGCGACTGGGAGTGTGCTGGGGGATGCGAGTAGGGCGCCGCGACGGTCTGCGGCGGAGGCGCCGGGCCGGCAGACATGTGATGCGGATAGTACATGTCGTGACCCCCGTTGCTCATGGCCGGGTACTGGTCGTACGGGTGCGGTTGACCGTTAGGCGCCGGCATTGAGGAACACGTAGCGGGTGCGGGGGACAGCGGCCCTGGTGTTTTAGGCCCGTTCGACGAGGCGACGGACGTGTAAGAGGGATGGGAACCGAGATTGGAACTCGACGCTGATGACATGGATCCGACCCGGGGTGACGAACCACTCGACGAGTACGTCTGTGACGAGTGCGGGAACGAAGCTAGGGGCGGCAGCCTCTCACTACCATACAGCGGTCGTGGTAAGTCCTGATGGTAGTACGCTCCGTCCGTCGGTCCCCGGGTTTGCGGTTGTAAAATTGGGAGATCCAGCTTTTCGGTGTTGGGTGTGCAGGAGCGAGTGCTGGTATGTCTGCGAGATTCTGCAGTGCAAAATGCAAGACTCGAAATCCCAAGGGATAGAGAGCAGATTCGTCCGTGGGAATGTACAGAGGGGACTGAATAGCTGCTTTATGTCGGCCGGTAGGGACTCAGCAATGGAAGTGTCGGGCCCAGCGAATTGGTCTTTTGTGACGATACTTCAGGTTTCTTCGACGCACGCTGCTCCGGGTGAAGTTATGTTCTAGTGATTTGCGCTGCGTGGGGACTGTAAATAAGAAGGTTGTTAGTAAGTCATGTAATGTGTGCATGAAGTAAGGCCTGATGTTTCGTCCTGAGCTGCATGAGCTATGGCCAGCAGAGTCACCCGTGGGTCTGGGTCGGGGGCTCTGGCAGAGAGAGAAAAAAAATTGTTGGGATTGAGGGGGGAACGCGCACACTCAAAATTGGGGAACACACACTGGGATGGCAACACCTTCCTCGCCTCTTCTCTCAAGTCGTCCGCCTCGAGTCCTGATTTTGAAGGGAGGTCGGCAAGGTGTGAGGAGGAAGGAAGAGCAGGACGACGAAGGGAAGCGGCCTGATTTAGGTGGAGGGAAGTCGGTTCGAGAGACGATCAGCGACCTGGAGCGAGAGAAAACAGAACCCAGGCCTGGTCTGCCGTTCCGACCCTGTGCGATGTACACTCGCCTAGAATCTGCAGCGGAAGGTACATGGCTGCCGCTTGCTGGCCCCCCTGTCGACTGGCCAGCCGCCAGGCCAGCCACTCAGAGGGCCCGAAAAGCACCCACTGCGGGAAAGGTCAGGGTGGGGCCTCTGGCTGAGAGCAGGGTTGCAATTCAGAACATCTCTCCCCTTTTGCACTGTGTGAGTTAGCGAGCAAGGAGGGAAAGGGCCAACAACATCATCCGAGCCCAGGGCGCTCGCTGGCAGTGGAGTTGTTCTTTCCTCAGTCAGTTTTCTGTTCCCCGCACGTCTTCCGCCCGCTTCATGGTCATTTTGAAGTTGAATTGCGTTGCGCAAGCGAACACGGGTACTTGGCTCTGACCTGCCTGCTACCTCCTCGCTCTCACATGCCTGTCCCGCTGTGGGATGGTGTTTTGATGTGAAGATTGGGGACATCAGGACGCCCGGGCATGGATTGGAGACTAGATCCACGGCAATGAGGGTATTGTCTTTGACCAACACATGCCCACCACCCGTGCGCCCCCTCAAATCAATCAATTGCAGCGGCGAGTTCGGGACCAGACTCAGAAGGGCTGGCGTGGTGCGTTGTTTGGCCCCGACCCAAGCAAGGGTTTCGCGTGCAAGGGGCGCGGAGGTTGGGGCTTGGCTGGCCGGGGAGGCGTCCTGTAAGCCGGTTTGAGGGGTGTGGACATAATACACAATGTTTTCCAACCGTACGAATTAAATCAGATGAACACTGTAGGGTGGGTGTGCGGCAAGCAAAATTCAACCTCAAACGGCCAACTTGGGCTCGGGTTCACACTTGGAGTGAGCGCAACAAGCCTCCTCTTCACAAAAGCTCCGGGGAAGAAGATGTTCTCTTCATACAGAGCATCACGAAGGTTCCATCGTTCCCAAATCGATAATATTCACCCGTGTCACGGGCCGGTGAGCGCGAGAGGACCTTCGCTTCTCGGGAATCGCCGTACGAACCCGTACTTGCCTCCGGCTGCCGGGGAGCACGGTCCACCATCTGCTCCTCATCGCCGAGACGGGTGGCCAGCCAGAGGGTCGAAACCATACGAAGTCGTCCCTTCGATCAGCTTTCTCTCTGTCGAATTAACATAGCAAATGTAGTAATTCACAAATTTGCCGCACTCCGACAACATCGGGTTGTAGAGGAGATATATGTCAATATGAGAGATCAAGGTCCCCGAGACCCTGTGAGAAATCTTCCACACAGACCTTGCTGATGCCCAAAACTGCAAGACACCAAATGGGAAACCCCCGATTGACGGACTGCACCCTTCCATGCAGGGCCCTTGCTCGCTGTCTTTTCGAGAACCCAACTTGCATATGTCGAGGAATGCCTAAAACTCGGGCCAAAAAAAACGCTATTCAACGCTGTAGTGTATATGCCCATCTGCGAGTTATAATTTGCAGTCCCATTCGTCGCACACATGGACTTATCTGCACACACTGCGCACGGGGACACAGAGTCAGTAGGGATCCAGTTAGGGCTGCTCGTCGTTTCAGATCTCAGATCCACCGCAGTGGCCTCCAACATCGATCCATAATGTGGAGATTGAAAATAAGACGCTCCATCGTTCATCTGAAAACCATTCTTCGGACAATTAGAAGATTAGGGCAAGTTACAGCCCAAGAATACTAGACGAACGAAACATATTCCGGGCAGTACCACGTACGCTAGGAACCGGGCTGCTAACTTTGTTATCGGACCGTACTAATCCAAAGTTAGATGGAACCGAATCAAAACCGAGCCCTTTCTCACCAGAATTCCACGTTATAGCCCCCGCCCCAGAAGCGCACAGAGGAGCGCATGAGAGGTCTGTAGTCCACGTCTTAGACAAATCGGCACGCACCCCCCAACGCCCAGTTCTGGTTTCCCGGGACAGGACATCAGGATCTCACTTCAACATTAAATCGTGGTAAAGACCAACATACGACGGCGGGCATACACGTGCACGCCTCAGGCGCTAACTAGCCAAAGAAAGCCCTGATGGCGTGGCAAGCAGGAGTGGCCTCGCTTACTTGTACATTTTCCTTTTGTTTACGCCAGCTGCGTCGTGGCTGTCAGAAATTGGTTAACCTCCAAATCCAACCAACCAGCTGCTCCGCGGGCGAGACGCGCGATCCGACAATGTCCCACATCCTTCAAACCGACCCCGGTGGGCCGTCAACTCGCGCCCCGGGATTCGTCTGACTTCCTTCTCATGTTTTGATTCCCCTCGGGTCCGTGGAGACATTGTCAACGCGGCGCATCGCGGCGTAGTGTTCATAGTTCGGCCGGTCCAACCAGAGTTCTGGGACATACTGTACAGCAGAGACTGGGCTCGGCGCCGACTACCGTCGAGCAACGGGTGCTGCATAACTCACCTGCACAAAGAACGTGGGCGAAGCGGCGCGGGGGCCTGCGCCGTGAAGAAAACCTGGGATGCTCGGCTCGCCTGTCACTCGGGGTTCCTTGGCCGCAGCAAGCAAGCAGCCTTGCCATGCGATGTGATGCGGCGCCCACGAGAGCTCCAAACGCGCCGCCGGGAGTTACGAAAACCAAGTAACTACCAAATATCCCGCACATTTCATTGCCCCAAGTGGGAACAGGACCTCGAGGTTACCAAATAGATTGCCCGATCAATATCGGTTAACTTTTCGGCTTGTCCGGCCTCAGCCAGATCTACGTCTCGTGGAAGATCCTGCTGCAGTGTGTGGACAAGATAACTGACTCGAAATTGATCTGCGGCACGGACAAAGAAGCGACGGAACGGCCGACTCTGTACGACACCTGCCGCAAAAAACAGATGTAATTCTCTGTCCAACTATCTGAGCAGGCTGCCAAAAAGCGACACGAGTTCGTCTCAGTCGAATATCAGAAACGTCAGGAGATAGCCCGCAAAGCACAAAGTATGTAAGGGGAGATATTGTCTGCAAGCCACAAACCCAATGGTCGGCACTGCTCTCGCCCCACCTTCAGGTCCTTCAGATGAAGAATTTCCAGGTTGCGAGCGCAGAACCTACATAACGTTAGAGCATCTTTCCGCAAGGGGCGAAACGGCCAGCCGCTCGCCTTCGGAGCCTCAAGAGGGGACATATCAAAGATTGGCGGTTCCCGCACCCCAAATTTAGGACTTGAGAACTGTGTACATTATGAGACCTGTGATCGGCCAATCTTCAAAAAGAACCAGGGACGTCAGGAAAAGGGAAGCCACAGAAAAGACCGGGTCCTGAGGTTACAGGGGACATCCCGATTCAGAATCCCCAGGCTCGCAACACTTGCAGACGGGCCAATGCACAGCGGTTAGGTGCTTGTGCGTCCATCTCATCGGCGGACTGGCCAATCACGACGAGATCTGATCGCGCGGCATCTGGTCTGTGTTTTTTTTTTTCGCCGAAGATGGCGAGGGCGACCATCAAAGTTGTGTTTCAGCCGCTTGCTTTTGGCAAGGCGCACTGAACGGTGCGCGCCCTCGTCCGCACGGCAGATTGACCTTCCCAGCAAACCACAGTCTCCTCATCACTTCGCCGGCCCGCTCCCAGCATCCTGGACTGGACCAGCCCCCCGGGGAGACGCCCCCAAACACGAAAGGCTTGGAGGGCCCGGCCCTCACTCCGAAGGGCCGGGGTGTGGGCACAAAAATAACCAAAATCCAGATGACCAGCAGTGAGACCCGTCAGTCAGTCCTTCAACCTCCCGCGAGTAGAAGCAGTAAATTAAAAACAGGCCAGGAACTCAAGCCTCGCAGCCCAGAACCCAGACCACAAAAGCCAGAAATAAATCCCCGCCAGAACCTGAAAGTCGTGACCAAGCTGCCTTCTGTGAAGTTGAGAACGTGGGTGTCGTGACAGCAAAACTTTCGTTTCGGGTTTGGCGTTATCTTCCGCTGCAGTTCCCGGTGAGTGGTGGGGCAAGACTCGTCCGTCAGCTACCCAATCAGTGCTCACCACGTCTTCAAGCCCACACCCACAATGGGAAGCCCAGAGGGCCAGCCTGGCGGGACAAGCGCCCTCCTCATTCCAATGTT